GGCGGGAGTGTTTATTTTGTCAAATATCACATTATTGCATTCCTAACAGGGACTTTTTACGAAAGTACCTTAATGTTTAGAGAAAAATGATTTGAAGCAACGTTATGCGCACTCACTCAGAAATGAAAAAGTGTCTTTTCTCCAAGAGGTGACCACTTTAGTGCCAAGAGCTAGAGAATCGGTACTGCCGTTGTGTGTGTACCAGGGCAGGGTTATTTATTCCGAATTTCCTTATTTTAGTTTTATTACGAGTTCGGGGACTGTCTGTGTTAGCCAGAGTAATGTACCCCCTGCCCACAGGTTTCCGTCCCTTTACACAACTTGATGTAAAGTAGGCGAACACAATTAGTTACCTCCATATTGGTACGCACACTTCTAGAGCACCAGATAATTGTAAATAACTATATCGGTGAGTAATGTAATGGTTCAAATATAACAAACAAGTTTGGCATTAATATATTAGGAAAAATGGCGACGTACATGATGTTTGGCTTCTAGTTGATTTGCTGAAAAGAATATTTGAATAGAAAAATTGTCACAATCACAAATTGGAATCCTCTAGATATTATTTTATCTCCTTCGTCGAAATTACTACAGCTTTAATATAGATTTCCCAGATTTGTAACTTACAGATTCATTTTATGTGCTCTTACAACGTGTTTATGAGATATTTTTAGGGTTATCAACAATAATTCCATGTATCGAGTTCTCATTGAACTATTTATGGCATTTCAAACTGCTTCCGCTAGATGCGGTACAGAGCAGTCGGAATACTTGGCTTTACTATATTTATTAGATGAAGTCCATTGTATCCTCATTCGCCGCAAGTGTTCGTCGATGGAACGTACGTTTGTCGGTACAAAAGAAAAATAAGATATAAGGATACTTTACGAAGCAAGAGGTACGTTGATTTTTAATGTATTTATGCACTTTGATAGTTTATTACAAAGTTTGTTGGTCGGCCAATTATGTATTGTTTTTGCAGACTTCATAAATTCCAAACTAAATTTTGTGAAACACCTCTATAAATTATAATAAACGCCGTCCAACCAATAAGGACTGTGCTTCTATTGTTGTATTTGAAGAAGGTCGGTATTCTTGTAGCCTAGGTTTGGTTGGTATATAGAAGATGATTTTGGGAAAAATAAAAGTCGGAAAACGGTTTGATCATACGGATAACCACGGAATTTAGTGAGGGTATTGGTCTAGATTGAGGCTGGGTATAATGTAGATTGTTGTAATCTCAAGCACAAAAAAAATCAACAATCGAACTAATTGTCGTTTAATAGATAATTGGATAGACTCAATGATTTGAGAGGTTTACGAATTTACTTTGTGAGTTACGGTGGCTTGGGGTGGCGAAAGTCATAGCATTTGAATGTCACGGAAGTTCAAAACTAGCGTAAAAGCTACCGAATGTATTTCTAACTAAAGGCGAACTTTCGACTCCTTGCGGATTCACCAATTCCGTTCAAAAATTTTACTAATTTATTTTTTTTTGTGAGTCATCTTCAAATTTGAATCTTATTCATACAAGCAAATATGTTGGGGGTTGACATCGATATTTGTATGGTCGTATCGCTCCCTCCTGTCCACAGCAAAACAATTTTATGGCTGGTATATTTTTAATCCATTTGATTGACAACATAATAAATCTCTTTCTCTCATGTTTTGCCTTCTTATCAAAACAAAATAAATATTCCGTATTTTCTCATATCTTCCAGGTACACTTAATAACTTCTTATCGCAAACGAAGCTATTTGTCTTCCGGTATTTTACGGCTTCTTTCCTCGTATCGCTCTATGTATATAATGATCCTTCGAGCGTGTCTTGTCAAATATTCATATTGAGATTCAGATTATTTAGCAGACCTCCTTTTTAGGTAAAACATTTTCAGATCCACGGTCTTCTTTTTCTTAAATCACCATTAATGTTAAGTTAACGCAATTAGGTAAAGCAGTGGTTCCCAACATTTTATGGCCCCCTTTCCGAGCCTTTCGCACTTATGGCATTTTTGTGAAAAATATCGTGCAGGGTGCAATATATTTGCATTAGGAATTCGTAATTACCTTGCTACAACGGGAGAATTAGATTTCTTTATTGCCTACGTTTGGACTTGAGTCTAGCTCAAGAAAACAATAAAAGGTTCCGTCTACCAAAAGCGTTCATTATGAAATCTGAAAATAATTTTTGGTCTTGAGAGTGAAAATTCCACAACCTAAATTTTTAGTTTTGAATCGCTAACCCGACCCACTCGGCGAAGTTGGACTTCATCACAGTAAAATTATCTTTAAACTTTCTGAACTTTTATGGAAGTATCGTTCTAAATATCGATGAATATTATGCGGTATCTATATAACTGTATAATAGAACGCGGACTGTTTATAAATTTGTTTGTTTGCCGAAGTCCGCACGAGTACTCAATAGCTAACAAAAGTGTAAGATTAACTAAAATTCGAAACGGCTATTAAAGCTCCGAACCAATCAACATTTATTGACGCGTAAAGCAGCGGTTCTCAAACTTTTGGTGTTATGGAGCCCGTGAAAAAGTTGACTATTATTTACGGAGCCCTACAATAAATTTATATACAAAATAAAAAAATTAAACTTACCGATTAATGTTCCTGAGTAAACTGAAATTACTTTATTTAATGACTTGGATGTATTTGCTGCTTTGAGGCTCCGTTTGGTTCACTTTGAGGCGTATAGCGTCATCATAAATTATATGGTATTTAGTTATCTCTTATCAGTAAAGTAGTCCGTCGCTCATATCTTTGGTCATGGTTGAGTTTTCTTTACTTCTGATTGATTGTTAGTGACCTTGATTTAAGCAAATTGGTATAAAACAAATTAAAAGTATTTACGTCACATTTGGGCAAGGTTTTCGGGCCAGGAGCTAAACATTCTTCCCACCTAGACTGGAAGGACATGTATGTGTGACGAAAAAAGTTACATTATATGAACAATATTCGCAGTGTTACAAAAGAAATGTGGAAACAATGAGCCTCGTGTCAAAACAAAATTTAATTGCAATCTCAACAAATTTCTTAAGCTATTTTTATCTGAAACATCTTAACGAGCACATCTTGCACGAGTTATAATGCTTACTTCGAAAGGCTAATACACACCAAAACAGCTGGGAATATATATTGTATACATGGTCCTATCCTCTATTTGAATGATATACTCCTAAGAATTCTATAAGACGGAATTGATTTTAAGGGCAGCTGCACAAGTTGCGTATAGTGCACATATTATCGTATCATCAAGAAACTCTGTTGAATATGCCATATGGATGTCAAAAATGTAAATTTCAGTTTGTTTTGCTCGACCAGCTTTTTTGCATTTTTTTTGACAGTGTATAGTAATCCGACGAAATGTACACAAAGCTTGTACAACATGTTGAATTGTTTATTGACACTTTGTGAATAAATTTAGAGTCCAAACGGTCAGAATTAATCTTATTGTAAATATAGTTAGATACAAACTGATTTAGAACAGTCGTGAATTAAGACCGTTGGTTTGAAGATAATTGAATTCACTTTTTATAAAAGTGTGAAATTTGATGCTTTAGGATCATTTGTAAAAAGTTCTTGCTACACGGAGATTTTAGGAAAAGACACCCGCCATGTTTTAGAATTAGAAAAATTAGTAATCATTCAGTTATGGTTTGATTAAGAAATAATTTGGAAATTTGAATTTTCAGCGCAATCTGAGCCTAACCCAAACTGGATAATTGCAGAATTTTTATTTTGAGCAGTTGCAGGGGTGCACAACTCGAAGGGTTATGTGCCAATGTTTCAAAATAATCTTGTTGCGTGCCACGTCACGTTTGAATGATTGTGGATAGGGCTGGGCATTTCGAATCGAATATTCGAATTGAATCGAATAGTAAATTATCCGCCATCTTGTTTTTTTTTCTTTTTGCAAATGGTCGAGGTGAATTCCCCAATTTTTTTTTTCATTGTTGAAGTCATATTTTTTCAACGCAATTCTAACATATGACTATTTACTTTTCGATCTTGATCAGTTTACAACCGAATTCTAGTTTCTGAGTTATTGATAAAACGTGTTTGTTATTGTGTGTGAACGCTCCGTAATCTATCTAAGTGATGTATTCTATGTCTTCAGTAATTCATTTGTTAAGAAGAACCAATTACTATAAAAAGTCGCTTATAATTGTATATTTCCAAGTGTTCGAGATTCGATTCGAAAAAATTATTCGATTCGATTCTAAAATCACAAGGTATTCGAAAATGTCCAGCCCTAATTGTGGGTACTGTAAACGAACTTCCGTAGAACACAAAACGAATACCTATTTACTGAAACAGTTTAATATTTAAAAAAAACTTCTGCTTTGAAGCCGTTCTTTGATGGGCCAAATTTGAAATGCGGGCTTTCAACCGAGATATAGCGACGGTAAAACTGAATCTAGCTCTTCACGTGCCACGTTATAGCTTACGGCGTGCCACATTGGTCATGCTTGCTCTGTATTGCGCCCCTTTTAGTCCTAGTCCAGCGTCCTATGGGTCGCTGGGTCGCCTGCAAATTTTCTTGGGTCGCTCGCTTTAATTCAACAAACATCTGTAAGTTACTCAATAGTTATTATATATATGGAAAGTATTATTGCGTAAAAACTTGGCAGCATTCATTTTGCTAAGTGAAGCCACGCAACCATTCCAAAAACTGAAACGCTGATGGCAAGCAAGCGCTGCCTTCTCACTTTGGGGCAAGAAATGTTTTTTTTTAATTTGATATATTTATTTTACTCATTAAGTTTGCGACCATAAAAGTACTACATGCCGCTTAGTATTTGAGCTGGTCTTTGGGTCGCAAAATTTTACAAAATTTATTTGCTAAAAAATTTGGTTCGTTTGAAAAAAGGTTGGTTCGATACAGTGATACTCACCCCCTTAGCCGTATTTCTCAATTTTGTCGTATTTTCGAAAAGTAGATGCAAATGATATGAATAATCTCACAGAACTATAAACATTTTTTACAGATTTAAATTTAAAAGAAAGAAATGGCCGATGCGGAGGCCGTAGAGACTGGAGATAAAGAAACTGCGAAGCCTCCATCGCCAAAGCCAGATACGGGTGACAGTCCACCGCCACCGAAAACCGGTGAGTGAATTTGAGTTTGATGAAAGAAGATAGTATCTCCTTGCGAGTATCAATCACTCAATGATTGTATAAAGTCTTGTTGGAAAATAGGTTTAAAAACTTCTTAATAATATTAAGAGATTAGAGTGTGTTATTGGACACGAAATGGATCTATAAATCGTTTTGTTATTACGTTGTTGTTTAAGAAAAGAAAATAGTATCTCTTCGTGAGCATCACTTAAGGCTTGTTCATACCCATAGTTCTGAGAGATGGTGACAGTTGCTCAAAAATATTGAGAGATTAGAGTGTGTTATTGTACCGTTCATTTCAAGATCCTGATTCAATGACACGACCTTTAGATAAATGGAGTTGCAGTGTTTGTATAAATTGCTCTTGTACCCGCCATGTATAAAGTAAGTCAGGGGATTAAATCTGATGTTTCATATTGGTCCGAACCTAAAATACAAACCCGTCCCCGGTCTGAATCAAAAGAGATAATCATACCTATTAAATAATGTTTATTTCGTGTGTCCTGCTTTTGCGGGATTAATTTTTAAATTAATTGACTTCTTGAATTCAACAAAATGTTCTTGTTGTTTTCTTTCAAAACCTCCATCAGACATGTTGTACTGGTGTGTCGTACACCAAACAAATATTTTTATAATTGAATCGCAGATCGGGGGGGGGGGGGGGGGGGGGGATATAGTTAATATATAATTAAAACGTCATATTTGGCAATACATGTTTGTTTGCCGAAATAAGTAATTGCAAACAACATTGATCCTGAATCTTCATCGCAAGGTATCAAGTTTACCGTTTTCCGAAAAACTGCACGACTGCACGTTTGGTCGAGACAAGATCAACCCCCTGCAACTGTGTGTATTTGTTTAAATAGGGCCGCAATATACTCTGAAACTGTCACAAATATGTTAATTTTAGCCATACCATGCGACAATTCTAACTACAGCTGTGTTTTCAATAAAAAAATTATTCCAGACGTTCCAATCTTCCTTATTGCACCATAAAACAATACGCAATAGAACGCAAACAACACATTTGCTAGAACAATTAGTCCATGAAATGCGTATCTTGGCAACTACGTGTAACGTGAAACTTTAGTATTGTACGACAGGGCAATTCGATAAACCTGCCGACCTACTGTATAGCTTGCTAGAGCGGAACATGATTGCATAAAAAAAAAACAGAATTTTAAATACAATTTTCGGATAAAATTATTTGACTTTCAATCATCAGATGATGAGGCGCTATTTAGAATAGAGGCGTAAATATAGAGTGGTCGCTAGAAAAACAGAGAATTTCTCAAACAGCTGTTCATTTTTACAAAGAATACCTTTTTCAAAGTTTTTCAAAGACTTATGTTATATTCCACTTAAAGATGCTCGAAATGTCTCCGCGCACTTCAGAACAGTTTCGTAACCTAGAAGTCCAAGCTCGTGTTTTGAGGGTTTTAACCTGGGGATATCGTTCCAATCTCACCTATATCTATACGCATTTATTCGTGATCTCTCTGGCCTTTTCTAATGATTATCAGTGATATTTATCAGTGACTGCGAACAAACAATATTATCGATTGTAATTTTACTTAACTTTTACCGATTTGATATTAACGATTTCAACCCATCAATGCTGGCGCCTTTACATATTTAGATTTCTAATTCTCATGGCATTCAATCCGCTTATAAATATCCCGGTCCTCCCCAAACGTAGAAGCACCCATATAACATATACGTGCCGGCTGGTTTCAGGGCTTTGTTCTGTGCATCGGTTGAAACAATTAGAATCACATAAATAAAAAACAACTGTGGCTAATTATTTTCAATGCCTTTGAAAAGGTTTATACAAATGAAATCAAATAGCCAACCAAATTTAAACATGAATGCTACGAACAGAGGATTGCTTGTGTGATTCAAATCGTAGTTTAAATGTCTAGATCCGCCAAGGCCTGTTGGGTAATTCAATTTGGCCCTCCGCAACCAAATCAAAATCAAATTATGATGTTTTAGCTAAAAAATAGCTCGAGAAATTTGTTGAGTTTGATATTAAATTTAGTTTTGGGACGAGGCTTGATGTTTTCCACTTTTCTTTTGTAACACTGTAAATATTGTTTATGAAAAGTAACATTTTATGTCACACTTACATAGCCCGCCAGTCTAAGTGGCCGAAATTTTTGGCCTTGGTCCCAAAACCTTTCCCACCCCTGGTCCAGAGCCTGGACCAAATTTCAAAGGCCTACGCATATGTAACTACTATGTTCAAAAGGCTTTATAATATCGTGGTATAATTACGTTTGAACTTTGATGTTTTGTGTTTTCTTATTCAATAACAGAACGACATTACCTTTACGCCACATTGAGCCATCTGCGCTCAGCAGGGGGTGGAATCCTCCTTGTATTAAACCATAAACCACTCTTTAAAGTGAGATTATTGTTTCGTCACTATGATGTGTTTCGTATCTGAGGTCGAAGTTGTGAAACACTGATTTTTCTCGGCCAAGGATAAACGGAATTTGAAAAAATGTTGCATAAATTCTCAATGAATACGATTGTGGGAATGGTGAAAAATATTTTGTCTCTCCTCAAGGACACGGGCGTATAAAAATATTGAAATCTCGTTAATGAGTGAAGTTAATAATATTCATTCGCAATCATTTATTTGAGGTCGAAGCTGAGCTGACCGAAGGAAAAAAATTTTAAGTGTTAAATACCTTCGTTCATGTGGATTATGTATCTTCAAAAGAGTTGTTTTCGATAGTCAGTTCTAAACCAGTGGGCCATGGCTCACTGCTGGGACACAGAAACATTTTTCAGGTGGGCCACAAACCTATTAAAAATTGCTAAGAGTTGTTGATGAATTCGGTTAACTTATATCGTAGTAGCAATGATTGATGACGCTGTTTTTTTGCTACAGGGTGGAAATTTTCACTCGAATTATTAATGTGAAATCGCCTGTTTTTGCAAAGAATTATTTGTTTTTGTTGTAGTTTTTCCCTAATGTGAAAAACTTGACACAAAATTTTTGTACAGCTAAAAGGGGCCACGAAAGAAAAAAGGTTTAGAACCGCTGTCTTAGTTTATATTATGAACAAAATATTTTCTATTCCAATTCAAGCTCAAGCAGAATAAACTAGAACACACGTTTCCCTGCAATTTGCGACTCTGGGTGCGAAAATGAAACACCAGATTTTAGGCCTTGATTGTCGGGGTACGGTGATGATATAAAACGTTCTATGAAACCTACTTCAAATATTTGAAAGGAAAATAGTAAAATTATATAATTTGATAATTATTGCAGAGAGACGCATCTCCGATGTCCCGCAAAAAGTCCTAGCTAACTCGATGTATATAAATCGTTATTAAAAATTTTGTGAACGTTAAATAGAATAAAATACCGTAAATTTGTGGTGTTTTATTTGTATAATGTTATCCCAAGCCTAGGATTGGCTTCTATTTAGCTAAAAGGCCAAACTTCAGATTTTCGCAATATTAGAATCCTTATCAATTAGCAGCGATTTGTGTTTCTCATTGTCGACGACACAATAGGACCTATCCGGTTACCGCAAGATCTTTTCATCGGGGCCGATCTACGCTTCCATCCAGATCTATTACAGGCAATAACAATAGTCGTTTCCATAGCATGCCCCATGTACCGTTTGAAAATAGCATTTTCTTTGTCTATTCAGACAAATCTGGTATAATATGAGCACCTGTGTTATTGTTTTTGGAATATTTTTGTTTGTTTCATTCCAAACTGCGGTTAGAACTATTGTGATTAGGATTTGTTCAGAAAGTCGACTTTCTATCGCCACCGTGCGTGCAAAATTCGGTACTCTCGTAGTATGTGTACCAGGTTAGAGTTAGGCCATAATTTCATTCCGATTTTCCTTATTTCAGTTCTATTATGAGTTCGGGGAATGTCTTTGTTAGCTAAGTAAATATCCCCCTGCCCATAGGTTTCAGTCCCTTTACACAACTCGATGTAGAATAGACGAAAAATGTAATTAAATAGTTTCCTCCATAATCGTTCGTCACACGTGATATTTGAAATGAAACAGAAATGAAAGATTACGCAAATCAGACTGAATTTATATTTATGAATCAATTTATTATGTTTCTGTATTGACTTTACATTGTGTTATCTTTCGAAGGACTGAGATACTGTAGTTTATAGGTTCAGAAAGTGCTCCATACGGAGCCCCAGGAATCCGCAAGAAAAACCTAGGGACTCCGCGAGTTATTCCTTTACTCATTAAAATACTAGATATTTTTTGAATGCAAAGCAACATAAACATCCAAGTCATTAAATAAAGTAACCTTAGTGTACTCATGGACATTAATCGGTAACCATTCTTTTGTTTTTATTTTTACAAATTTATAGTGGGGCTCCGCAAATAAAAGTCTACAATTTCAAAGGCTCCGTAACACACACACACAAACACAAAATAAAATAAAAACGAGAACCCCTGCTGTAGTTTCACAAGTCGTATTGACTGATACCAATTACGGGATGTTCTTATGGTCTAAAGGAGAGTCGGGGCTCCCGAAGTATGCGAACCAAGATGGCGGACATCGGAATGTAATATGTGTACTAGGTTAGGGTTAGGCCATAATTTTAGGTATAAATACTACGGGAGGCTCTTGGCTAGTCTTCGAACTGATAATAGGACTAAAATAAGAAAAATTGGAAAAAAATTATCGCCTAACCCTACCCTGTTACCCATGATACGTTCCGATGTCCGCCATCTTGGTTCGCATACTTCGGGAGCACCGGAGAGTCTTAAGTAGAGTTCTCGGTCAAGGACTAACAACCTTTTTTATGACAAAGTGATAGCCTCGACTGACTTATCATATACAAATTGAATCTAATGTTGCGTGTTTTTATAATTTCAGAAGTCCCACTCCATGGAATACCCACTGGAGCCACTGGAGGAAGTAAGAGACGAAGAGTGGGTGGTGGAGCCACCGCTGGAGGCGCTCAACGTCGTGTGACGTCACAGCAAGCACAATCTTCCACAACACCGGTGAGATTGCTTTTTTATGGCGATATTTTAATTTCACGCTAGAACTAAAGGAACGTAGCTAGTCAGAATGATCTGTATTTATTTCAAAGGCCCAAATTCTGCCAAGTTACGCTTCATCAATTTTGTTACATTTTCCAAAAATTAGCTCTTATTAAATTGGGTGACGGTCACTAATGCTCGTTCAGAAGCAGCTAATTAGGAAAAATTATATAAACTAAAATATAGTTGAACAACTCCATAATAAACAGGGAATTCGTCGAGTTAGTAGAATGAATAGCTCTTCCTTGTCACAGTGAGAAAAATCTAATCCACACAATCTAATTTTAAAGGTTATATTTTTCTCGTGTTGTTCCACCTCGCCCCCTCACGTCGAGTCATACTTTGCCATAGCAACAACGACACACGTGACTATAATATGTCGACACCCGTCCTTCACACTTGATAATGTTGTTTGCCACCCGCAGATTTCAGTGTTCTCTGTGTGTAATTGAGAAATATATATCGAAATGGCCCTTAACTTATTTACATAAATGTGTAATAAACTTTTTAAAATTAATAATTTAAATGAAATGAATTCAAAAAATTTATCATTCAGTAATTATCTTGAAAAATACGTTTTTATAAATTACATGAGGGAACACGACCGATCCCCTTTAGTGAAGTCTTATCTCCATCATTAAGTGGCAAACATGTATTTTGTCAATTTGTTGGTTTAATTATTTCTAATTTATCTGTGTAGTAAAGTATTCTCAATTGGATTAAAGCTTTTGGCGGAGTTTAAGGCGCAGGGCTGTCAAGGGCATTGTGATATCTTAGCTTAATTTGTGCTTCAGTCTATTCAATATCGTTTTATTCAAATAAAGCAATGGTGTCTGAATAAATCAGGTATATTCACGCGGAAAAGGGATTTATAGAGTTTATCTGGTCAGGACAAGATAGATAAATTTGGACGATTGAAGAAGTAGCAAAGCGGTAGTTCCTAACCGACGGCCAGGGACCCCTAAGAGGGCCATAGGGCAGTTGAAGGGGAGGGGACACAATGCTAATTTACATTGTGTTTTTACTTGATCATGAATTGTTTGAACATAATGGGGTTTGGAATCTATCAATCAAAATAACACTCTAATTACCAGATAAGGATAAACGGGGGAGGTGGCATGAGTGCATAAAGCCTTCGGGAGGGGGCTACGAGCCCTAAAAAGCTGAAAACACTGCTGTAAAGTTTAACATTGATTATGTGGATTCAATTATTAGATACCACATGCAAAATTTGAATAAAATTTCAAGCATTTTAACAACCATAACTCGCGTCGGCGAAGAGACCCAATATCGATACGAATCATGCGCTTTGTGTTGAGTCACGTCTTGGTATAATACATCAACATCGGGTTTATTAAAATAACCTCCATAAAACAACCCATAGCACGAATATTTCGGCTCTATCAACGCTTATTGTATTAGTTGCTTAGACTGGTGGTGAACTATAAACAATGATACCTAGTGATAAACTATGTATTACCCCGTTTATCTTAAGAGTGGATTTATTCTGAAGTTTGTGTATTGCCGACAGGGGGTTTGGGGAAAAGGTTCAAAAATGTATTTTTTTATGAGATTGGTTATTTTGTAAATTGGAATATTTTGATTTTATAATTTTATCAGTGAGAAAGTATTTGCTTTTTATGAAAAGAGATTTTTTGTATTTTTCAAATACGGCTATCTCAATTCAGAAACCTATAAATCGAGGGCCAAAATGTAAATATCAAATCAAAAGAATAGCGTCGGTTGGCGATTTAAAAATATATGTAAAACAAGTCACTCGTTACTAATTTCAAATTTAATCCACAGACCCGATGCAAATTAAAGTTGAAAATTGAATGTCATAAAATTAATTTTAACACCTAAATTCGATCAATATTTCTAAAAATATTTGATAGTCTAACGAAATTTAAAAACCAGCAGGAGGTCGCGTTTTCAACGTCTAGACTGGTAAGATTTATTGAATACAAACATGAATCGAAAATTTAGCGGAAATATACAAAGAGTGTTTTGTCTCTGAAGTTGTAATTCCTGAAAAAATGTGACAACTCTTCCATAGATGGTCGATCAATAAAGCGTAATGAGAAAGCATCTTTATGTCCTCACCAAGTTTGGTCGGGGCTGTATTGAGACTAGATAAATCTGCTGTGAGATTTTTTTGGGATTTAAAAAAATGCCACTTATGTGTCCTTGTACCTACTTATTAGTTGTGGTGACACTGTTATGGAATACTTTTAGTCGAGGAATAAAGTGATACTGTTTCAGGCCTTTATGGTAGAAGGGTATGGATTCGTTTATATGTATTAGAAAAAAGGACGAAACTATGCCTATCCAGTATATGATCCCAGTGATTTTAGATATTTCATCAGGAATTTCTTGGTTAAAGGCTTTAGCTTACACGGTGATGGAATATCAGCTTCTTAAAATTATCTTAATATCTCGAAAAGAAACAACTTAATTCTGAAGGAATGTCTTATTGCAATTGACACCACGTTGAGCAAGTGAGATCACCTACCAAGCAGTTTTATAACGCTGAGATCGAGTGGCATCGGAAAACCATTTTGATTTCAGCCATTGTGCAAAATTAAATTATATCATTTAGTTAAAGTATCAGCAATATACTCCATCATAATCAATTATCTCCATTATTTACGTCATATTTGTGATGAGAGTGTTTTAGACAACTTTTAGTTGAGGATGGCAACGTGGTGATGTTTTAAGGAGACTGAGCATATATTAGTGTTCATGTATTTGGGGAGGGACAAAAATATATTTCATTTGTATTGTTACGCAAGAATAAATTTCAGATAACTAAAATATTATCAATTTACCATACAAAATACTTTACGTTTTATTCGATAACGAACTTGCTACTTATTCAGTTATTTATAGGTATTGTATTTATAGCAAAATATATGTCAAAGTTTTTAGTTGAAATTGTTTTCCCAATTCACTGATCATGAGTGAAGTCATTGAAAAATCTCTATCGCCAGTTCCCGCCGAACATCCGAGTGCCGTGGTAAGTATTGATGCCATAAGGTATACAGTTTCACACTGCTCTCTTACGCAAGTTTTTTTTACCATTGTCATCTAATTAATAAGAATTCAGATGAAAACAACGAAAAACTACGCGAAATCTCACTTGTTTTAACTCACTTCACTAAATAACGTTAATTACAAAGCCGAATTAGTGAATCAAAATATTCGCGGTGGCATGGATGAGGAGCCCCGACTCTCCCTACGATGGCTATGATTGAAAAAGATATTACAATAATAATCGCTCGCTATATTAGCAGGCATTGTTTTATATTTCAAGTTGTCGGTAATTAAAATCCGCGTCACAGGTTCGGGACAGAGTGGCTACGAATCCGAACCTACTGAGCCAAATCAAACTACATAGTTATTTGGACTATGAACCAACGTAAAAGTTTGAATTACCCAATCGGTTACGGAATAAAGGTTGACTCGAATAGTAATATAAATTTAACATTTATTTGTCCTTGTCAAACTTGAGTGCGAACTTGAAACGGTACAACGAGTATTAAATTGGCAAATTATAAAATTCAATCGCTCTGTCTTGTTCATCCTAAGCGTTAGGTAATATTTACAACTATTTATTTACCCTTCGATTGTCTGATCAGCTTGTCTTTACAAAGATTTTGCGATCATGATCGTCCGCTATAAAAACAGTGCAAATAGAAAAGACCAAGTTTATATTAACAGAACGAAAACACCGAGAGATCTAGAAAAGACTATTTTGACAAAGAGAACGCACGTACTTGTATACGATAACACAAATAAAGTTATTTTTACGAACCGAAACACGAATATGGCAAAGCATGAAACGGATTGCGTTTAAAATTAAAATTCATTCTAGTTAACTCTATATGACCCAAATTGGTGCTCCGAATGTATGTGCACTAAGATGGCGCACAACCTGAACCCTGACCTGATAAACATACTATGTTCAGGTTGTGCGCCATCTTGGTGCGCAAACTTCGGGAGCACCCCCAAATTTTATCAAATACTTTTGTACACAATTATATAAGATTAATGGCAGCTGATTTAAAGTCTTGTTTTGAGCGTACGTGTGTAAACATCATCATTAAAAATATAAAATTGAACCTGTGTTATGTGTAGTCGGCATTATTTTAAATGCACTACAAAAAAACCTTTCTTCATATGAAGATCGTCTCTTCCAAAGTATCCAACTTAAGATCCGCCCCCTCAGTCGTGCTCATATGGAGGGAACCCATTTTTTGGAACCCCCATTTTTTTTATTTCACCCGAAAAACGCTACAAATTGACCCCGAACACAGCCACATCAAATCGTCTTACATGCGTTTGTTTTAATATATATTGCGGTTCCATTACATTTGAACCCACGTACATTTGAACCCACGACAATTGCACCTGTATACTATTACACCTATGGAAATTTTTTGTTTCACGGATGTTTGAATCCATTCTAACCCTAACCCATGGGTTTTAGCACCCGCATATAGATTGAACCCGCGGATATACACATGGGTTCAAATAGATACGTGGGTTCAAATGTACGGTCACCATATATTGCTATAACCTTCTAAAATTAGTTTTTGATTTCGGCTTAGTTTTGTTTATATGGGATTATGTAGACTAGATCCCCAGACGGTTGAAAAACATTGAATATGAATGCCAGGTTATATAAACAAATAGCCTTTTGATCGCGACGCTAGACAATCACTTCTAATTCATAGATGCGCTGTTGTTATCAATAAATCGGGAGGTATCAGAAAAACTTTGCCTGACTGGCAAATCTTTATTCGTCAAAACTTTCGTTACTCCGGGTTGAGATATACTCTTGTCGTTCGTTCTGAGTAGTTTTTGTTTGTGGTTATATAAAAAAAGCCTCTTGATCGCGATACGCGAGAGTGAATTATAAGTTATACAAAAGATGCTGATCCTTTCCTTATCAACGATCACATCAGAAAAACTTTCCATGACTTGAATTTATTACTTCGTTACAACTTCAGTAACGACTACAACAAATGTTTTTAAAATTTGTTTAATTTTGTACAAACTGAGATAAACTCTTGTCGTCCGTTCCTATTTGTTACGGTTGTATATTCTTCGCCTGCAAGAAATTATATCAAACATGTCAAATCGCTATTTTTGATAGCATCCGTCCAACTTCATAACTTAAAGCTAATGACAAGGACTGATTACTTTTTCATGTCATGTAGCACTCAATCAAAATGAAAATCTGAAATTGTATATAAGGCTTTATATCTTGTTGACTATTTTTATTTGCTTTATACTATTAATCACTTTAAATAAAAAAATATCCAGTCCAGTATGAATCCAGGTACCTTTTGTATAAAGCCCCCGCCACCAATGCAAAAATGTGAGATTTGAGAAAAACACCTTGCCACATTTTTAAATAACAAATTAGTATTATTCAGCGCAGTCTGCATTCCAAACCCTAACTGGTTAATTACAAATTTTCTCATTTTGAGCGTTGTGGGCGTGTTTCTTGGGCGGGGGCTTTGTGCAAAAGATCCGAATCTAGGTCCAGCCAATCTGTACGGATATCATTCATATCAAGCCCATGCATCTGACACAAATAACTAGATAAATATTTTCATACTTGACATGAACTGGTAACCGCACAAACATGGTTCCCCGTATGATTAGGCCTCCGTATCGGCTTACCTCTCCCCCGAGATAAATATGAAAATTATCTCTTAAATTGTATTTATTTTCATTTACAGCAAGCGGGTAAGAAGAATGTCGTTTTATCGGGCGATGCAATGAAAGAAATGGCGAGACAAGCGAAAGCGGTGAGAGAAGAACGACGCGGTGGCCTCGATACTAGGCACAAGTGGATTATTACCAAGGTAACCGGATACGCTTGATTGCTCGAGCATGTCTGCTTGAGAATACTTCTAAATATACATTGAATTTCTTTCGTAGACAACGTTGTTGAATACAATAACTGTATGGGATAATCGGGAATAGATTTTAAACTTACTCTTTTGGTATGGCCCTTTTGTTGAGTCGTCCCGCCTGAACAAGATTCGCATTTACTTATGCCAACTTATAAACACTCAAAAATAATCTGCCTTCGATTGAAATAAAAGTTGAAATATGGTTTAAAGTCGGTATAGGCTTACGTACCACATCCATAATGACCATTTTACGATATTTACGACGTTAGCCGTCTTTCACATATTTACATAATATGTATCCTATTAGTTGTATGCGTTAGAATATAATAGAAAAATAGGTGTGGTACATAATGTTTCTCTGGTTGAAAACCCACATTATGCAGTCCCGGGTTATCTTCGTACTTACTAATTAATAGCCTAACGTTATCGCTTGGTCCTTATTTTCAACTTTTTGGAAAAGTTCAATGACATCTAATTAACTGTTTAGGTTGCTCAAGCGATGAATGTGGAAAGCACAACCGTAGAAGATCAGATAGTGGGAGATGACAGATTTGAACTGATGGATTCATTCTTCGCACCAAACGGGCCGAAGAAATTGATGTTTTATTTCCAGGTATAAATTTTATATCAGTTTATGTATTAGGGTTTGTCCCTTTTCCTTTTAATCGTTGTGGAATGCCAGTTAACGGCCGTCTAATAATCTACCGATGAATATGGAACCAAAATTATATTTTTGGGACATGGTTAGGGAGCTAACTTGTAAATTTTTTGAATGGTTTTTAAAATATCGAACGTAAATCTGATAATATGCATGCTACATAATGCAAGAAGAATGCGAAAGAGACCAGGACACGTGATAGTTTTTCAATACAACATTAACCAGCACAAGACCTGATTTAGTTTACAGCTTGTCCGTTCCTTGCTTAGCTAAAAAGTGCATTTTTGCATTTTATAAATTTCTAGAGACTGCTTAAAGCTTTATTTCTGATTAGTTTTCTTACATATGGTCTGTATTTGTTTTTGATGAAGAAATGGAACTTTTACTTTCTGGTTAGTAAAGTATAATTTGTTGAGCTGCCATACAGTCATATTATGAGAATATAATTTTGTTAATATAAGATTGAGATATGTTTTTGTTTTTTTAATATTTTACGACAATAACGGATATTTTGCAATTTCCAGGACACAATGGCAAGAGAGTCAGCGCCATCTCGCACTGACCAAATGAGTGTTTACCCAACCGCCCCTTCGAAGGAGAAACTTTTCCTGACCACTGGCGATGCCGAACGTAAGTAACATGCAGTAACTGGGTCCAACATGCTGCTGCTTTGACAACCTGGGTTAATCAGGAATAATAGACTGACACAGTGGTTCCCTAATGGTGGGACGCGACCCACGAGGGGAGCGTAGACAATTTCTTGAGGGGGCCTGAGGCTAATTGAAAATAAGATTACTTGTTAGATTTTATCTTGCCCGCCTTAGTTTGGATATTTGCATTTCTTTATTTTGAATATTTACGTTCCATGCACGAAAAAATATAACCCAGATTTGTAAAGATTGATAAACACTGAGTTCACTGCAGTAACTAACGCGCCCGCTTTCAGAGCTTCGTTTGTCCTTTCCCTCGCTGTAAGTCATTGGCGATATCGCCATTTATACAGGATGTTGGAAAAAGTAACGCAAAATTAACAATAGTTAAGATGAACTGCTACTTAAAAAAATAAAACGACTGACACCTTTTACCAGTATTGATTTACGGTGAAATGCCATTTAAACATTTCACGACTGACGCTTTTTAACAGTTACTTTTTAACTCTACCCTGAGAAAATATTTTGCATAACATTTTTTTAGCAGTGTAGTTTATTAAAACTAATTTGTTTGCGCATTTAAGTTTTAGGCAATCTTTCATTCAGTTTTGATCACCTTTGCAACCACGGTTACCATCAGTTTTTTTGGGAAAATCTGACTTAAAACAGATGAAATGTTACAGAAAACAAATTTCATGTACTTAAACCGTAACCCCAATTGCGTAACCCCACTTTCACGTCACCCCAATTGCGAGTATTCTATGACCATTCTGTTTTTTTTATTATTTCAGCTTTGATCGGTGTCTGCTACTACTTCGTTCGAACAATCTCAAAGCCAATTACTTCTGCTAACATCGCAAATGAAGTCAACTTTGGTATCATTGATGCAAGTGACGGAAACCTACTCAAAGCACTCGAAAACGTGCTTGCTAAGGTTATGGTTCCCGCACTGCAGGCGCAAGAAAATTGGGGGAGATTGACTGTAGCTGGGAGTGAAGGAAGTGTGACAAAAACACAGGAGGTAGGGTTAATATGATGTTCATGAATATATTCATAAATGGGCAGTCTAGAAGTGTGTGTACCAATATGGAGGTAACGGATTTTGTTCGCCTACTTTACATTAAGTTGTGCAAAGGAACCGAAGCCTATGGGCAGGGGCTTGTCAGTCCCTGAATTCGTAATAGGAGTAAAATAAGAAAAATCGAAAAAAAATTATGGCCTAACCTTAACCCAGTGTTTCCTAAACTTTTTTCTGCCACTGCAGAATTGTTCATTGTCCGGTTGCACATACGGTTACAAAATTATACAAAACACAACATAACGCCGATATCCGGACCATCATCGTGATCATTGAAAGCTAAGCGATAATATTAATGAAGTCTTTTTAAAGATCATACTTATATGAAATACATCTTTATATATACAAATACTATTTTCAAAATTATTGAATGTCCTTATTTTGAATCTTTGTTATCAAATATTTAATCCCACGACTGCAAACCTTTCGCTTGTAGGTGATATTTTAAGTTCGTTTGCATGAGTCATAGTACCGCCAAAGCTTATATAACTATAGTTGGGTTATTTCGTCAAATACTTGATCATTTTTTTTTCATTACATTTAATTAGACAAATCGTTTGCTTATTTTTATTCAAAATATACTCATTTAGACTGATGACTTCTTTGAATCTATCGAGAAGTTCATTGCCACACTCGCAACAGCACGAGGAAACATGGCGGGAAGATTTGAGCTTGCTGAGTTTGACATCGGGTACAATCTGGAGCAATATCGCGGACCAACTGACTACGCTCATGTTGCTTCTACGCAGGCTGATCTTGTGGAGAAATTGGAAACTGTGTTGATGGGGTGGTCAAAAGAGATTGAGCAGGTACAAGGATTTTACTTATTATACTTGGATACTTACGGGTCCGAATCTATGTTTAGAAAATAAATTCTTCTTATTTGTGGAAAAATCTATCGCAGTCTTAATTACAAATGATTATGATCTAACAAGCTGTCTTCCTAAATCAGGGGTGGGCTCGGCCCGCTAAGCCATTTGGTTTGGTCCTTGTCAACACTCAAAATTTTCCCCATTGAACCCAATATTCTAATCCGACAGTGTATGTTTGATAAGGCGCTCACGTGAAATTAATACACAATGCTTCTTTGCTCTTGTCATTGCGTTAAAGTTTTCGCCGTTTTGGCGGGTCCATGTACTACTGTACTGGTAAGCGATAGCTGCTCTTCTTTTGTCTTTCTCGCTGGAATTTTTTGTGGGACCCAGATGTTTTATGGCCCATCGACAAAATGTCGCACATCCTGTATTGCAGTATTTTAATCAAATCTATCTTCTCTATAAGCGCCAGCCAGATTTAAATTGCGTCGGTTTTATTTGACACAAAAATTAAGCACGTTAAAGCTTTTCTATTTGCAGTCGTAAACATTTGTTACCTTCCCATATTCCCATGCTACGAATTTTTTTACCTAGGAAGTGTTTAGAACAAGTAATGAAAATAGCATAAATTTATTGTTCTAATTTGACAATATCTCATTTCCTAATCGTCAATAAAATCGTTCGAAAAGCATTTTATTTAAAGCTCAACGTTTAGTGTTTGTAAATTGTGTAAACTGTGGCTTAACAACATCTTTTTACTGTTGCCATATTTCAGGTTCTTGCCGAAAGCGAGCAAATGCGCAAAGAAGCAGATGACATTGGTCCAGCAGCAGAATTGGATCATTGGAAACACAGAATGGCAAAGTTCAGCTCTTTGTTGGACGAGATCAAAACGAACAGGGTAAAATCCCATTTCAGTGTTTCCTGATTTTTTTTTTAGCTGTCCCTTTTGAATAGTTTACAATATGCACTTTAACCGCTAAGCCATCGCTATTCCTAAGCAATACTTCCTAAATAGCAACTCGATAAGCGGTACAGCGAAAAGTTCAATCTTATATTTAAACTTTGTAAACATTGGGGCAAGCATACTTATACTAAGCCTGTTATTTAAAACAAAAACTAACAGCAGCAGCACGGAAATATTTATCCATGGATTAAACTTTTTCCTAGCTGCGCACAGTAGTTGGCATTCTTTGTTGCTGGAGTTGGTATTCTAGTCGAACAAGGTCCGGAACAGTTATCCAATAATATGTATCAATATGCGAAGAGCTACCATTTTTGAGAAGACCTGTTCGACATTGCCTTCCCAAATTTATTACACCCTGGGTGAGGTGGTCGGGGTTCAATCAATTTTTACAAAGCCATCGAAGCTATGTATAACCTTTCAATCGTCATTTCTTGACAAAGTCAGTCCGTTCAGGAGAACTTTCCCCAAAGAGTTAAAATCTCATTTGGCGCTCCAGAAGTATGTGCACCAAGATGGCGCACAACCTGAACCCTGACCTGGTACACATATCATGATAAAGTTGTGCGCCATCTTGGTGCACATAATTCTGGAGGTCCCTACATTTTTATTATTGTAAACATTCTGATAAGAATACTTAAACTGAGCATACTTCAATAAAAACTAGAAATAACGACGAGCAGTCTTGAAGTCGTTTATTTCAATTTTTCTTAGGTTCGCACAGTAGTTGGCATTCTTCATGCCGCCAAATCTCGGACTCTTCGACACTGGAAAGAACTCGATTCTAGAATTACAGATGCCGCCAACGAGGCGAAGGATAACGTGAAATATCTCTACACCTTGGACAAGTACTTTGGACCGTTGTCGAAATGCACTCCTCAAGGTAAACGTAGAAAGTTTTAGTATCTATTATACCCGTAAACTAAAAGAAACTTTTCTGAAATGGTATGTACTATGTAGTACTTCATTGTATAGGTGCTACGTGTATTGGTATTTGAATCTGTCGGATTTTACAGCATTGTCATTAGGGGCGTGTCAAAGGGCACAGGGGCAGCCGCCACGGGCAGCACGTTGTAGGAGTGAGTTTTTTGCCTAGTTTGATGATTTGAGTACCAATAATACAAATATTTTATTCTTACTTGACCTTTAATTTATTCATTTTCATGTATATAATATCATCGTCTCTTATTTCAACTGTTAGATTACTCCAAATTTCTGTACCTAGCGACCAGAGTGCCTCCTCGAAGTTTATAACTATAATTTTGTTTCTTCCTCTCAGGAATGATCGAAGTGCTTCCAGGGCTCATGAACAGCATCCGGATGATTCACAGCATCTCTCAATACTATAATACATCTGAAAGAATGACGTCACTCTTCGTCAAGGTAATTCGTAGTCTGCTTCTACTTGTCTACTTACAAATGCCTTCACCTAGGAACTAGCTTATATTTTTGAGTTTTTTCCGCAAATCAAAGCGTCATTTGATTTAGATATTATGATAAAACATGTCACACATGATGGCTGAATATTTTGGTTTTTTTTTTTAGTGTAAAGTCAAGAGCCGTCACTAAAATACCAATAGCTACTGAGGAAGTATTTCTTTTCACTGTGAACATTAGGCATTGGCGAATGCCGTCTGTCTGATATTTAACTAAACACTAAGGCATTGGTATTTCGCCGATTCACAATTTATGTTCTTGGCAGAATATGTCTATTAAAATACTTACCATACGTCAACACCAATGACAATATAGTCCCATATTGCGAATAATTTCATTATATTATATATATATCTTATTCTTGTTTTTTTTAAATAGTTAATGGAATTTCTAAACCTCTTTCAGGTGACGAACCAAATGATCACAACATGCAAACATTACATTATGGGAGGCAAAGTCAGAGTCTGGGAGATCGAGAGAGGAGCTTTGTTAGAAAGGATCGACAATTGCAGAAAACTGAATGAAGAATACCAGAAAGCATTTCACAGGTAACAGTGTTTACGAGCTGTGATCTCACTATATCTAATGATTTGTTTTTACTTTTTATTGGTTGGTACATTGATGAGTTATTGACCTTCCTTGAACATATTTATAATGTTCAAACTATTCAACTTGAGATATTTGCCGGATTAAGTAGAGGCAATGGCACCAATGCGACTTTCCCAAGTAATTTGGAACATATTCTAGACTAGAGAGAATATAACTTTTGGGCAAAACGTCTGAAACGTCTGATTACTGAAATTTTGTGTACAATCACACAAACAGAAATTCAAGCGTTAGATAATTTTATTTATTTTTATAGTAATTACTAAGTTTTGGGTTCTATTTTTTGAGGGAATCATGTACTTTTTACTCAAATTTACTTCACATGCTTTGTCGACTTGTATGAGGAATTACCATGCTTAGAGCCTGATGAATAGTGGTCGCCAAATTAATGCTTCTACATTCTTTGATTCTCTTCAGAACCAAGGAAATTCTACGTCAGAATCCGAAAGAGCGTCAATTCGAATTCAGCGAGAATTATATTTTTGGAAAGTTTGACACATTTTGCAAACGACTTGAGAAAGTGTCTCACATGGTTTACACCATGAAAAGTATGGCTGGTCTGAAGCAAGTTAAAATCGAGGGAATTGATTCAATATACATGAAGTAAGTGCGTCAATAGAGAAATGCATATCAGAAATTATTTGTGAAGTTGATGCTGTATGCCTACAGGCGGAGGTTGTGATTGTAATGCAATTTCTAAAATAATACTTCTGAGAAATTTTTTATTTATTCATGAACCCAAAAAACGTAGACCACAGGGTGAATAAATTGGGAGCATTCTTTGGTTTAGGTAATTTCTTCCAAATGCCGTGTGACTATTTTCTTATAATAGTCCAAGTTCTAGTTTATTAGTACGTGTACTTGCCTCCTTAGCTACAATAACCTCAATTTTTCATGCTTTGATGAGAGTTGTATTTAAACTGAGTAGACCAATAATTTGAAGTATTCAAAATTTCCTTGTATGAGTGCTTTGTGCGAAAGAAAGTTCAAAGCAAGTTCAAAGCATTCGGAAAAAGCTATTGAATTGTAAAGCAATAGTTTTTAATACAATCTGAAATTTTATCAATGGTGGAACAATAAAATAGTACGTTTTTGGGATGTCGTTGTGAGAGATATGAGATGGTGTGAAGATATCAAGATGTAAAACAGCTAAACAAGGAATTATCGTGTTTTTAGGCCCATTTGTTCATTTCTACTTGACAAAACTTAAAAATTCATATTTACCAATGTGTCTGAAAGCGTTTTTCATGGATATTTGCGTTGATGAAGTATTTATAACCCGCGCATTTCGATTCTTTCAGATACCAAAACATCGTTGCAAACACGGAAAAGAAAAAGTACGATGTCCTCGACCACAGAAAAGCAGAATTCGAAAGCGATTTTGACGATTTCAAACAACAAATAGAAGGCTTACAATTGTCGATTCAAATCTTCATGGATTCGTGGTTCGAAAAGTCACTTTCTACTGAATATCTGCTGAAATTGATGAAAAAGTTTGCTGGAATCGCCGGAGCCAAGTAAGTTGCAGTTAACGAATCAATTGGCGGCACAATTACTTTTTTATTCTACAATTTGAGCATGTTACTTTATAATATTTTAATTACGTTCATGTTAACGATGCCTAAAAGTGTGCTGTTTGTGTTGAACATAATTCTTTTGAATATTTTGGCCATTGCCTATATTTATATACTGTACGTTGTTTTCAGCAAAGCTGTATTTTTCATTGATCCGAATTGGGGAGACAAATAAATTAGTTACATATTAGACTATTTTGTGACTATATTCCACTGAATTTTATGGGCATATGCAAATTTAAATACTTCGTAAACGACAATACGTTTCAATAATTTATACCTAAATTATTTATTTCACACATTTTACCTTTTCCATTTCATCTTCTTGGAATTTTTGTATCTGTTGCGATTTTGCGTTTACAATAATACATCTAAAGCCATGTTTCATAGCCCGGAAGAACCCGTCGGCTCATCAGTAAAGCTGTATTTTTAATTATGCAAATTTATTTAAAGTTAATTACTACCAAGTATTGAATTTTTTTTGTTTGGCTCATACATATGCATTCACTTACTTATTAAACAATATGAATGTTTAAGTCTGAAAGTCTGTTCTAATTGCCTTTTTTTTTACATATTCCCTTTTCTCTGATATTTGACTTTTTTGAGACTTTGCGTTTGTAATTGAATTTGATTCAAATGTTCTATACGCGTTATTAAAGCACATTGTCTGTGTTTACAGTCTCGACTTCCGCGAGAAGTACGTGTTACTTCTGAACAAATACTCGAAGGATCTTGAGAGTGTAAGAAAGTCTTATCAGAAGTTTAAAACTGATCCACCGATTGCAAGAAATCTTCCACCCATCGCAGGTGACATTTGAAGTCTGAACTTATGAATATCTTTGAGCTCACGATTTATTGCTATCTTTGTGCTGCAATACGTATTAACGTAAAGCATGAAATAGCACAGGCATGGGGAAATCACGGCCCGTAGGTCGGATCCGGCCCACCGACATAATTCATCCGGTCCACTTGTGTCTGCTGGAATTTCCACTATAGTTAATAAATATAGATTTTAGGTAAAAATATTCATGAAAATCACGTTATAATGATCCCGATTGTTAGATTGTGCGTCTTATTAACTATTTACGTTAGCCTGGCTGTTGGACTAGCTTCTGTAAATAAACTTATTTTCATTCATAACTTTTCATTCATTTTCATACATTTTTCATGACAGGTAAAATAACCTGGGCAAGGCAACTGTTCCGCAAGATCAACACACCGATGGATTACTTCATCGAGCAAGCTGAAGCCTTGAAAACTCCCGATGGAAAGAAAATTGTGAAAACATTCAATAAAATGGCTGCCGTACTGCTGGAATATGAAGTCTTATACCACAGGGGATGGTGAGCCGTCTACTGAGTTGATTTTATTTTTGCTTCTAAATTTAAAAGGTACAGACGCTAAGATCTTGTTTGTTCAAAACAATGCTACAAATATGAAGGATGTTCACCAGGTCCCTCTACACTACACTGGTACCCAAACTATTATGGTTTGTGCTCACTTCCAAGGCTTTGCTTGTCATTGCAGTAGTATTTAAAGTGTTATTTTGATTGGTAGATACTTTAAACAATTAGGTTCGAACAATTCATGCTTGACAAAGTAAAAACATCTTGTGAAATAACCTTGTCAAGCAATGAAATGAGAAAAACGGCTTTTCTTTTAAAGATAAAATTAAAAGCCGTTTTGCGCCTAGTATTTTGGCCCCTACCAACTGTTTTTTGACCTCTGGTTTGGGAACTTCTGCTACAATTTAAAATATATTACAAATTTTATTTATTAACTTTTTACTTGTAAAACGACAATATGAAAACTTTTTTAGACTATATGTCGTATTCATTTTTTTACAATTTACATTTCCCTAAAACATAGTTGTTCTTCCATTACCACGAGCTCTAAATTTATCATCATACGTTATCATTATCATACATCATACGTTACGGCGAATGACGCTGTACATCTCACACACGTTATGATCAATAAAAGGGTCATCCTGAAGCAGTGGTTATCAACATTTTTCTTCCCTAGACCACTTTCGTTACACAGAAAATTCTGTGGCCTATTAACTTTCAATGCAAAGGAGGAACTACGAGAAAAGAAAAATTTCTTTTCGTAAAGATAAACGCTTCTACTTCAATAATTAAAATGAAACTTACCATGTAATAGCAAAAACCAGCATTCATTTCTAATACAATCAAATTTAATTAATTTAATAATAAGTCCAACAAATTTTAATAGATTTGTGGCCCAGCTGAAAATGTTTCTGTGGCCCGGAAGTGATCAAAGGCCCACTAATTGATAACTAGACTCTAGAAGACTTTAGAGCAGGGGTCGGCAACCTACGGCCCACGGGCCGGATCCGGCACTATAATCTGGCCCGCGACGCTTCACTGAATTATAGTAACAAATTATAGCTGTTTTGTCGATTATATTCTTTACGAAAAAGAATTTACGTGTAGACTAAATTATATTATAACGTAACAAGTAAATAATTCACAGTTACTCGTTTAATGAGCCTATACTTTAATTATAATTTAGACAAATGGCAACAAAACGCAGAAAAGTTGATGCTAAGTGCAAATGGTTCAATGGCGCAAAAAATATTCAAATGATCTTCGCGCGCTGCTCAAAATTTAATTTTTGATCTGTGTGATTAATTGTGATTCATAGGTCATTCGATTTTTAACTTTCTAAAAATATGTGCGGCCGCCAATGACTTGCAACCTTTAATTTTGGCCGCGAGCGACAAAAAGATGCCGAGCCCTGCTCCAGAGCAATAGCTGGGTCACATACAATTAAAAGTGACTTTTTGAAATCTTTTTGATTTGTGCGTGTTCAGTTTCTTATGTTTATTTTATACATCCATGTCTAAACCTAATCAATATTACAGGGTCCGTGCCGTTGAAGCGGTCAAATCTGGAATGAAGTCAACTTTATTGGTCAGGAACCCGGATACCAACAAACTCATGGTGAACTTTGACCCTTCTATCTGGGAACTTCTTTACGAAGCAAAATACTTATGGAAGATTGATCTGGACATTCCTGATGCCGCATTCAACCTTTGCTTGAAAGAAGATAAAATCAAACAACATCAGGTATTTGGTACTGCTATGATATCTAAGAAATGTTAGTGAATAGTGAGTGAAAACTGAGTAAATGAAACGAACGATCTAATATAACAGAACAGGGGCTCCTGAAGTATGCGAACCAAGATGGCGGACATCCGAATGCAATATATGTGTACTAGGTTAGGATTAGGCCTTAATTGTAGGTACAAATACCACGAGAGGCACTTGGCTAGTCTTCGAACTCATAGTAGGACTAATATAAGGGAAATTGGAATAAAATTATGGCTTATCCCTAACCTGTTACCCATGCTACGTTTCGATGTCCGCCATCTTGGTTCGCATACTTCAGGAGCACCACAGAACATATTGAAAAGTGATGCAAATTTGAATGCCAGAGTTTAAAAATAGATGTTCAGAAACAGTTCTAATTGACGACATAAAAAGGGTGCTCCGGTAGTATGTGCAACAAGATGACGCATAACCTGAACATTGTATGTGTACCAGGTAAGGGTTAGCACTTAGCAGGTTGTGCCCCATTTTGGTACGAATACTACGGTAGCGCTGCCAAGTGGATATACCTCTTGCCCATAGGTTTCAGTCCCTACACACAACTCGATGTAAGTTAGGCAAACAATATTAGTAACCCCCATACTACACACACTTCTGGAGCGTCACTGAACTATTGTGCCGACTTCAAGTTAGGATATTTAATTTAATTATTTTTGTAAACAGCATTCATAATCGTTGATGAGCTCAAATATTTGAAAAAGATACAATGCTGACCAATAACAAATTAAAAATTAGAAATCAACTTTTCGTACCAGGTTGATCTTCAAGAAATGTTGAAAGCATTCGACAATACAGTTGCCAGCATTCAACCACTTCTTGTACCGTTGATGAAGCCGTTTGTTGCCCGCGTAGAGGACGCACTAAGCCCTGGCCTCACCATTATCAACTGGAATTCTCTGAATATTGACAAATACATCAAGGATGTATACGAAGCAATGAACGAATTGAAGATTTTGATCAAAAGAGTGAGTATATTCAACGTTTTTGTTCGGTTTAAGTATCAGAGATAACCTAAATTACAAATTAAAGTATTCACTAGTCGCAACAGGGAATTGAAGCTCGGTAACTTCATGTAGAACGTAATGATCGTTGCAAAAATTACGTAATATCAAAATATTACCTTAGTACATTTGGTACGAGCAATTAATTCGCCTGTTTTCACTTATTATATATGATGTAAAGACAGGACATTGCCTTTATTACAGCAAGATATATTATATATATCACAAGCAAACGAGTACCTGTTTTTTCTAATGTTTAATATTTTTCACTCGTGGAGTAATATATTGTGTGGGCACTGCCGAACAGTAAAGATCTGGAATTGAAGTTTCGACAGACATGACGTTTAAAAAATATGGTTTATATAATTAGTATGTAATTTAAATCAGATGCAAGGACCTCGGAATATCCGGGTATTAGAATATGGAAATGTGTGCTTAATTAATTTTCGGTCTAATTCATTCGCAGATCCAAGATATCATGGATTGTAGAATCGATGCTACTTTGGACGACATGGGTTCCACTGCACTGTGTGATTTACCAGAAGAGAAACCTATTACATGTGAAGAATTCGTGGAAAATACTGAACAGACTGTCGTAGTATCCGGAGAAAGATTTGTCACTGGAAGCGACTTTGTGGAAAGAGCGGTCTTCGAAATTATAGATGTAAATAATAGCAAAAACATAATTCAATTATAAACATTTAAATGTAATTCCTTTCGAAATAATCTTTAATTTCTGATTTATGTGTTTATTCATAGGTTACGATTGCTCATATCTTCTTATATTTTCATTACAACTAACAAATTGTAAATTTAATTTTTGGACGCGTAAACTTGAATAACTACTATTTTTCACAGATTCTGAAATCTCGATACACTGAAGCCGAACTTGCAAATCTCGAATCACACGCAAAATCAGAAACCATTCCTGTTTGGTATTACACACTACTGGGGCATGTCTGTCAAAGAAACACGGATGCTATGGTACTTTGTTTAAGACATTTTCAACTTAATTCAACGCACTTATGGGTTTAATTTAATATTTTCAACAAGAAATGTTTCAGCGTTTATTATTCAAGTTGTTTCGTAATTTGGTACTTGCTGTGCAATGAGTTACACATTGCTGGAGCATGTCATGTAAGAACACAGACGCCACGGTAATTTGTGTAATACAGTTTTAACTTATTTCAGCGCACTTCTGGGATCAGTTTAATAATTTCCATCAGAAAATGCTTCAATTTCAACGTTCTCATGAAAGTTTATTGTTTGAGTTGTTTCGTGATTTGCTAATTGCCATATAATATCTTTAGAATAAAATGAGTGGTCATAATTTTTTGAAAACTCGACACAAGTAGCATTTGAAAGTATTTTTTATTCACAACCCCGATTATAAAAACAGTATTAGAAGTTGTGTACTGACAAGAAAGAACTATAGTGTACATTTTTGCAGATTAATGTTCATTTTCTTAATCGATAAGTGATTTAAGTAAAAAATAACAATTAGTAGTAAGCAAGGCCAGGAAAGTAAAATTTAGTCTTGTCCTTCCACGTTTTTTATAAACACACATATATTATGAGGAAGAATCGTACTTATTTAACACTTTTTTATGGAGTCAAAATGTGAATGTGAATGCAAAAAATTCTTTTTGCCAAACATAAAATAATATTGTGGCGCCAATTTTAGGTTAAATCAACCCGCCAATCACTGGATCTTATCAAACGACGTCTGCAACAAACCTTCAACAAATACCAGACCAGCAGTCGATTCAGCTCCGAAAAATCTGATTCAGACAAACCACCATTGTTCAAATCAAACATTGTGTTGGCTTTACCAACGATTGTGCTGAAGCCAAGCCTGGATGACATACAAGTATATTGCTAAATGTTTGAATGAAATGAAATTTTACATAATCACATTTAGGAATTTATTATTATTTCCGATGGAGAAGATAAGATTGGGATTTACATATTTATCCCGGGGGCAAGAAAGCCAATAATACGGCTTAATCATATGGCGAACCTCGGCCTCTCGTCTGGTTACCAGTCCATGTCGGGTATGGGGTTGGTTAGTTGTTTCATATGCATGAACTTTATGATGAAAGAAGTCGTAACCGACCAGCGGTTATTTGTAGGCTAATACCCTTTTATTTGTTGTATTTATATATAAATTCCATGTATTTAGGCTTTGCTTTTTGTTGTAAATATACCATTTTGGAAAAAATGAATTATCCAAACTATGGATTTTTCTTGAGCAATAATGCTTATAAATCTTTTGCAAGTCTCTTTTCAAATCTTTATTTTTATTTAATTTTACAGACCGCACTCAACAGAGCCATTGATATGATACTGAGTGCAACAAAGGACGTTGCGCTTTGGAAATATGCTGACTTGCACAAAATTCAGCAAGATATGGAGGCAGAGCAAGCACGGAAGATGGGAGAAGATTTGAAACCTCAAGTTAAAACTATTAAACCGATCGACAAGCAGATGAGGTGATTTAAACATGACATTGTTTAAAACAGTGGTTCTCAAACTTTTTAAGCCGCGCCCCATTTTTAGAATTTGTCAAGTCTCGCGCCCCACCTTTAAAAATAACTAGCTACCAATAAGCTACAAATAACAGATAGTAAAGCAAAAATATGTTTTATTAAAAAATCACGCTGAAAATACGTGGATCGAACGTAAATAATGAAATAAATGTACATATTCCAAAACCAAGGTAAACGAAATGTAATTATTCAAAATAAAGCGGACAAGATCAAATTCAAATATCTAACTTTTACTTTTAAGTAGCTCCACCCCTCTCAAAAAATTGTTTTCTCCCTCCTTGTGGGACGCGCCCTAATGTTTGAGAACTACTGGTTTAAAATATTTCTCTGTATATAAATACTTGTGTTTTGCATATAAAGGAAAATGGAAACAAATGTAAGATTTGTTGCAATACGAAATGTATATTATTCAATAGATAAATTTGACAATTTCGTCTGTCTTCATTTCCTAAGGGGTAAGTTGAAACATATTTTAGGGAGAACATATAATTTGTGTACAGTGTAGATCCAAACTATTATGTTGGATATTGCATAAACAACTTTTACCTGTACTTTAGCGAACACAAAGACGTCCTCAAAGTCGTGGTCGCGCTTCACTCCGTCATCAGCTCTTTAAAATCGGACTGCGACGTGGTAAGAAATTATTGTTTTTTATATAGTTATCTCCAAATTAGAAAATAAGTGGCATTTTGCTTTAGAGCAGTATGTAAATCTAAAAGTAACACTTTATGTTTTGTTATTTTCTGCCATTTATATTAAGTTTGCTGCTATTACCATTTTATTCTACATGAAGTGGCCGTTTCTGTTGAGCGAGTTTTTGTTCTTTAATAATAAACGGATAAACTTGCTTTCTCACCAATTTGGATAAGTCCTTCTCTGTTGTTAAAAGATATCTAAATACGACTGTTTAGAGATTTATTAACTGTTCACATTCTGATTATTTTCAGCTTCTAACAAACTTCAGCTACTTCAGTGAGCTGTGGCAAGAAGATCCGCAAGAGAAAGCAGAAGAATTTGTCAAGAAAGAACCTTTGTATTCTGAGTTCGAATCCCAAATCAGGTAGATGATCAGTGAATTAGTATAGATCAGCGTTTCTCTTTCTTTTTTGCCCCGGAACACTTACGATTTTTATCTCAAGAAATCCTTTATACCAAGAAATAGTAGTTTTCAAAAAGTTGGAACAGTTTGCTGTAAGCATAACGATTAAAAAATGAGGCCAACGGGCAACGATATTGAACGGTTAATGAAAACTCCATGCTTTCTAGACTGGCAGGAGACCTGTACGTTTGTAAGATAGCAAGGCCTGTTTGTCGTCAGTTGTGAGACAAACTTACGACCCAGAGTCGCCGAAGTACGCCTAGATCGCCATTGCGAACAATTTGGTCGCAATTTTGATCCCCATTTCGCGGCATGCTCCGAATAACACTGCTTTTCAACGAGCCCATATCAGTTTCTAACTAACATTCAAATTTTGTTATTGCAGATATTACCACAGCATGGAATCCAATGTTGACGATTTGCCAGACAGCTATCGCGTTGGATCTGTTCTTTTCTTGACAGACGAGCTAAGACTTGCTTTGGTGCAAGAATGCAGAGCATGGAAGAGAGCTTTCGGTGGCGCCTTGAATGAAAAGGCAGGGGCTGCAATGGAAAACATCTTCAACTTCATTGAAAATCTCGGCAAACGTCTTGGGTTAGATTTTTCAATTGAACTTTTTATAATACAAGTATAGTTGAATAATTGTTGTAACGGTCAAAAACTGCTGCTTCCGAGTGATTATATTATTATTTTAATCTGTTATTATATCCGTTTTTAAAAAATGTTAATTTCTTCATAAATTAAATGTGTTCTGTTTTTAGTAGAATTATATCCATTATAATTGATTCAATAACGTTGCCGATTTGGTTATTGATTTTTGTTAGGTTCGTTCCAACTCCCCCCATACCTCACACCTGCACTTAGATGTATACTTGTTTCAGCTCTCGATTGACCGCTGCCTTGCTCTTTAATTGATAGATTATCGGTTAATATTTGCTTTGAAGTTGTGAGTGATCCACGCGCTTTCAAATTATGTTGTTTTCCATATAATATGACTTGCGTTCGGATCTTAGCATTATAAACAAATAATTGATTTTAATAAGGATTTGATCACTAATTCAGGTACCAAAATTAATTCTTTTTCTTTTTCTGACAAACTTTATAGTACAGTTACATTATATTTAGATGGGCAATTGTTGAAGAGCATGATTTACTGCTGCCTTGTGTTTATTAGAAAGATTGTAACTCACTTAGAGTTTTCAAATTTGCTCATAAATATAACCAAATACTAGCTGCCCTTGAGACAGTATGTTTTAAAGTTGTACTAATATTATTATGTCTATTCAATCCTGACGGCCTAACATATGTTGTAATAACCATGAAATGATCTGCTGGTTGCTTCAAACGCTTCAAACACTTTACATCTACGTTGGAGTCTGGTTGACGCATTATATGCAATGTCTACTCTACTTATGATGAGAAAAATATGGTCTAATATGGTTTACGTAGGATTTTTTTATCTACCGCATCCATTAACGAGTCCGTAGCATTGTATTGAACAGAATCTCATTTATATTATTGTTATTATGTCTGTTTAATCCTGACTGCCTAACTTAAGTTGTGATAACTATAAAATGATATACTGATTGCTTCTGGTTGTAGCATTATATGATTGGAAACGTAACCTCATTTTTTAATTTTATTTCAGTCGTTCTATCAACGATCTCGACGATGTCCGTGGAGCAATGTCAGCCCTTCAAGAAATCCGTGAAGAGCAGACCAAAATTGATATGAATATTGCCCCAGCAGAAGAATCGTACGCCTTGCTGAATAAATTGGAACTCTTTTTCAATGATGGAAACGCTGAGAGAGTGGATGGACTTGCTTATGGCTGGAAGAACCTGATAGCGCAGGTAATCTTAAATGAGTGTCCACCGAGCTTCATATTATATTTATTTTCTGAAAAATTGTTGTAGAATGATCGTGTATATACTAAAAGAATTGGCGCTCCCGAAGTATGTGCACCCAGATGGCGCACAACCTGAACCCTAACCTTATACATACACTATGTTCAGGATGTACGCCATCTTGGTTCACATACTTCTGATGCTCCAAAGAACAACATGTGTCACAACATTTAAATGAGTACTTAACGTGAACAGAAGTCAATTGCAAAAGAGAAACATATTTATCTTTCTGAATTTTTAAAGTCTTCATTTCTTCTGATTGGTATTGATAAAATGTTAGAATATATGTATAAAAATTCTTAAAAATAAATTTAATTTATGTGCCGCACCTACTTACATCACATGCATCTATGTCTATTGGGAACCGCAATTGATTGTCGGAGACTTAGGTATTATAATCTTATAAAATACCTACTCATATAGTTTGTCGGATACAAAATCGCTTTAAAATAGAAATAAAGGGGTCTGGGATGTAAAATTCATCAAGTTCCAAACACATTTCTTCCAACTAACAATTTACTACTGAAAAAAAGATGTGAACCGATCACTAAAATGGCAAGTGATAATGCGATCATTTATGTCTAGTGCTGGCATATTTATGATAATGATGAATAAGATATCAAGTCGAAAGTTAAGTGCAAAATAAGAACAAAACATCTACTTTTCGGCTAGGTTGTCACAGTTCAAACTACCCTCCTCGAAGTCCAACCTGGATTCAAGAAAGACTTACTTGCGGGAGTTGAAAAATTCCAAGGGGACGTTGGACAATTTTATGTTGATTATGAAGAAAGGTTTGTGTTTGTGTTAAGAAGTAAACTTTAGCTAATAATGTCGTTCAAAATCTATTTTATTTAGTATTTTAATTCTTGAATATTACTAGATTTTGTTGATCATCAATCGGTAATCGTCATACTCTTTGATACGCATACGCAGTTTGTTAGGAAGGTTTGCATGTTGCTAATACTCGACATTGGCTGATAATGTTATAAAAAATTTGGTATTTCAAATAGATTTCAGTATTTAGAATATATTATTATTATTCATATTATATTACTGGATTTTGTCGAATTTATATCAGTGATTACCAGGCATTTAGCATTGATTTTTTTATTCACTGATTTCAAGTACTGAATATTGCATTCAAAAAGTGTCAAGATTATTTAATATTTGCCCGCAGTGAATTTCTTGACAAGATGTAAAAGTATACGTTTTTCTTTCAATTTCCATTAATTACCGGTACTTTACATCCAAAAGTCATTTTGGATCCGGTTTTAGTCCTATTCAAAAGACAACATTTTATGAATTATTTGCAGGGGTCCGAATATCCAAGGTCTTCCACCACGTGAAGCAAGCGATCGTTTGCAAATATTTCAGACCAGATTCGATGAATTGTGGAGAAAGTTTACAACTTACTCTGGCGGAGAAGAACTGTTTGGATTACATGTTACTGGTAAGTTATGTTTGAGAACATATGCACTTTTTTTGCTTGCGCATATGCTGTCATTATTTGTGTTTATCAAGAAAATACTAACTATTTCATTGATAGCCGGTAACTTTGTTAATGTAGCGAAAAATATAAAATGACGTCAGTATGCACACAATTGGGGCCAATTTTGAAAAAATTTAAAACTTGATCGTGCGCCGTACAAACCAGTTATAGACCAGGTAGTGCTTTATGTTTTATATTCTACACTCGAAAACAGTAGCGATATTATTGTTTTATGAACAAACTGCCGTTTTCACGTTTTTTCAGTAACCCGATACTCCTTAAAAACCATTGCGTCTTATATACAGGTGCCCTCATGTGGAGACAAAACCCAATATAAGCAGTTTATCGACTGTGCGCCATAAAATACTGTAATTTAGAATTTTGTTCGCCTACACAGCGTAAAAACGATCATTTATTATATATATGAGATTTATTTTTCACTTCACTTTACAGAATACACGGACTTACAACGTATCAAGCGTGAGCTTGCTCTTCTACAGAAACTGTACGGACTCTACAACACTGTTATTGACAGTATCAATGGCTACTATGACATTCTATGGGCCGAATTGGACATTGAAAAAATCAACCAAGAGTTACTAGACTTCCAAAACAAGTTAGTACAATTTTATTTAATTTCGCTGCAACCATATGTGGAAATTTTTTTTAAAATAGTTGTCATTTATCCACGTGATTTATTCAGCCTGTTGATTTGATCATATCTGTATTTTTGAATCCCTACCTATCCCAAATAAATTTCTGTAGGGTATGAACATTTTTACTTATCGATCCCAAGATCGGTGAGTATGTTGATAGGGATTTGTCTGTTTGTCTGTCTGTCTGTCTGTCTGTTAGATGCACGCGATATCTCACGAAAACAAGGTTGAATCTGCTCCAAATTTTGCATGTACATTCATCATATCTCGGAGCAGAAGCCTATTGATTTTGGATGAATTATGTCGTATAATTAGCGAGGTATTATTTAATTAGTGATGGGACACCCGGTGTTGCTATAGAGTAAGAGCGAATGAATCGAAACCGCAGTTTCTGTTTTGGGGATTCTCTAACTTTTGATTGATAAGTCTTCGGTCTCCGACAGGTATTCTCGTTTTACTTTTGTCACATTAGTACCTGGTACAATTCTGTTCATCTTTAATATCTTCGATAACCAAATGTTGATAATAAAATTTTCACGTATAACGTTGCCCTCTAATTAACCTTATTCCGATATGATATGATGAAAATCTTCCCTCCTTACTATAAATCGGACAAGAATTTCAAATACCGCATTTTTACGGAAGAAAAAAAATACAATTGTGCCATCGTTTTCGGGTAATAATCATTCCACAATGTTCTTGATAACGTCCAAAATTTTAAAATATTTTGCCAAATCTAATGTATGCTGATTATACACAATGCTGCATTCAAAAATTATTCAAGCCTCTACATCTCTTTTCTTTAATTTGACAGATGCCGCAAACTTCCAAAAGCATTGAAAGAATGGAAAGCCTTCCTAGATTTAAAACAAAGCATTGATAACTTCAGTGAATGTTGTCCACTCTTGGAAATGATGTCAAACGACGTAAGAAAATGTTTATTGTAAAATATATTACAAGGGTTTTTGAAGAATTGAACTAATTTTTTTTATTTTCTCTGAGCCGAAATCCCATTGTAGCGTATGTTTCACTAATTTGAATTATTTGTAACACAGTGTTTAAAACATTATATTAGCACATTATTAGCCTATATTCAAACATTATTTTAAAACAGGCCAATGTTAAACACATGTTTCATTGTAATCCATTACATATACATATTTATCCTGGAGGAGGGAAAGCCGAAAAAGACGGCTTAATCATATGATGAACCACGGCTTCTCGTCCAGTTACCATTTCATGTTCGGTATGGTGTTAGTTGGACAATTATATTTTTCAGATGCATGGATTTGTGAATATCGTGAAAGACTTTTTGTTTCTATAGTATTATGCTCTTGAATCTCTTTATGTTCAAGCCTTCTTGTGTCGGAAGTGATAGATAAAGATCAAATCATCTGGGATAAAATTACTTGTTCATCTCATTTCAAATATTCCATGATTAAACCATGCTTCTTAAATGACTTACAACCTGTGTATTGCTAACAGTTGGGGTTACAAAAGACTAACTAACTACCTTTCCTAGCTCAATGCCTTGGGAGTGGATCCGTATGTAACGCAAGAATGCTGTAGCACGAATAAAGATGATTATAATATTTGAAAAAACAGTCAGTCTTGTCGCACGATAACACAAATGTATTTCTGTAACGTTTTGCTGACCGGGGTCAGACTTTTTCAGACAAGCATTTTTCAACTATAACGGTCAACGGTCAGGCGATACATTACAGAAATACATTTGTGTTAGTATGCAGCGAGCCTCTTCAATTAAATAATAAAACCTGTATAATATTTGTCGGTACTCCTGAAGTATGCGCACCAAGATGTCGCATAACCTGAACCCTAACCTTGTGCACAACCTGAGTTCAGGTTGTGCGCCATCTTGGTGCGCATACGTCAGGAGGTCCTATTTGTCTAATCAGGCTATGATGAAACGTCATTGGGATAGAATTGAAGGAATCACCAAACATAACTTTGACATCGAGAATGAAAACTTTCAACTCAGAAATATTATGGAAGCCCCACTCTTGCAAAACAAGGAAGACATCGAGGTGAACTGCGTTGCTTTTTTATTTAAAATTCTATCAATTTTAATAATGATAATATTTGATACTTAGCAAAGAAGAAATTAGTATTTTTTGGGGATTTGTTTTTTAAATACTCGCCAACTGTGTAATTGAATTTTCCAATCTCGCGTTGTTTCAATTACTCGTAATTTATGATGAACCAATTCTAAGCTCACAAAACCTGGACTGCGCAATTTTTAAATGTGATGAAAATTTTTTAGTAATTTCTGTCTACAACTGTTTCAATATATTTATGAAATATTTTTTAATACCGAAAATAAAAAAAATTGTAATTACCAATTCCATTATAACTTTTTTCTACTTGTAGTTTATATTTCTAAATTCTGATGCACTTGTAACGTTTTTATAATACTATTCAATGAAATACAGGACGTTTGTATCAGTGCAGTCAAGGAAAAAGATATCGAAGCAAAACTGAAACAAGTTGTTGCAGACTGGAGCGGCCAAGTTTTTACTTTCAGTCAGTTCAAAGCGAGAGGAGAGCTGCTCTTGAGAGGAGTAGACATTACAGATGCCGTCGCCCTCATGGAAGATTCACTCATGGTTTTGGCGTCTCTTATGAGCAACAGGTACATTTGTTATAAAGTGTGATACATTTTCCTATTTTTGACTGAAAGGTATGCAAATGAAATTGGAAGACTCCTCGTCGTGGTTGGGTGGTTCACGTAACCGCTGGTCAGTTACGGCTTCCTTCACCATCAAGTCCATGCTTCCGAAAACAAATGACTAGTTCACTATATTCTCATACCCGACATGGACTGATAACAGGACAAGAGGCCGCAGTTTGGCATGGGATTATTAAATCATTTTGATTGTTGTTTCAATCATCATTGTACTAGAGCAGTGGTTCCCAAACTTTTTCAAAAAAAATTCAAAACGGACCCCATGCAATTTTTTCAACGACTCCTGGCCCTGTGCAATAAACATTAAAAAATCAATGCTCCGTACAGTAAAAAACCTTAAAAACGAACGAAAATTATGATAAGAAGTTTAATGAGATGGGTGCACTTGTTTTGTTGAAATTATTTCATCTGTTTTGGGTTGGGTTTCGGAAAGCGCAACTCTCATATCATGCGTGACATCCAGTCTGTTTCGGTATTTTGTTTTGATATGGAGTAGAGTGGAAAAAGCTGCCTCGCACTCGTAGGTTGTGGCAAAGGGAATGAGCACTTTCAAAGCCATTTTTGCAAGATCTGGATAAGCCTGCGTCATTGCTATCCAAAAGTCACTGCAACACATTACACGGTGAAGATTTTTTGCACTCCCATCATTAATCATATCAATAAACTGTTCTTGAATCTGATTGTTTGTAGAAGGTAAATCGTCCAATTTGAGTCCAAATGGAGCGTTGATGAAACGATCAACTTTTTCAAAGTCCTGTAAATCCGGAAAATAATGTGTAATTTCTTCACTGAGAATTGAAACGTGGGACTTCATAACTTCGATTATATCGTCGCTTATTTGAAGTTCATTCTCATCCAAATATCCATTAAGATGTGGAAAAGGAGCAAGCGTTTTTTTGTCTAATTTAGAATGCCACAGTGAGAGTTTCATATTAAAAGCCGTCAACTTTTCATGGCAGTGGATCACGTTTACGTCTTTACCTTGCAGTGCCAGGTTGACAGAGTTAACAGATTCAAAAATGTCGACCAAAAACGACAGGAACATCAAAAAACGATCATCAGAAAAGTTTTTATTCATTTCTGGTTTTACGTCACGTAGAAATTCGTGTATTTCCTTTCGCAAAAGAAAAACTCTTTTCAGCATTTTCCCCTTCGAAAGCCATCTTACACGAGTATGCAACAAAAGCTTCTCGAACACTGAATCGCTTTCTTTGCACAAATCCGCAAAAAGACGCGAATTAAGTGCATTTGCTTTTATAAAATTTACTGCTTTGATAACATTGTCAAGAACATGTGATAATTCATACGGCATTGTTTTAACCATTAACGCTTGGCGGTGAATAGTGCAATGAATACCAACGACGTCCGGGGACTTTTCTTTTACCAAAGTTTGAAAACCAGAGCGACAACCAAGCATCGCTGGAGCTCCATCGGTGCACACGCCGACAAGGTTTTTCCATTGGATATTATGTTCCCCAAAAAATTCATCAACCTTGCGAAATATGTGTTTTGCCGTTGTTTTTGTGTCAAGGATTTCGCAAAACAAAAACTCATCCTCCAAATGTTCTTCATGAATGTAACGGGCATATACGCAAAGTTGAGCTAGATTAGCGACATCTGTTGTTTCGTCAAGTTGGATTGCGAAAAAGTTGAACTTTGAATTTTGTATCTTTGTGACTACTTGTGACAGTATGTTATTCGAAAGTTCAGCAATTCGCCGACTTACAGTATCATTTTACAGGGATACTTGGTTCAGTTTATCAACTTCAGACTCACTCATCAAATTCGACATAATAATTGTGCAGCATGGCAGGATCAACTGTTCGCCGATGTTGTGGGGCTTTTTGGCAATGGCTATTTCTCTCGAAACTTCATAGGAGGCTTTTAAAGCAGCTGTATTTTCCTTAAAAAACTTTCCCATGCTATCAAATCTAGAATTTTGTAAAATTTAATCATGACGTTTGAAGAAGTCTGCACCTTTGTCCTTTGAATTTGGATGATGCGTTTCCAAGTGTCTCTTCAGTTTGCAAGGCTGCAGTGAAGAGCATGCCAACACTTTATGGCACAACACGCACTGCGGTTTCTCTTCTCCGCCTGCGCCTATCACGATAAACCCGAACTTCACAAAAGATTCGTCGTAGCTCAATCTCTTTTTAGGCGGCATCTCGAACTTGATATTACAAAGCTGAACACGTAAAAATATAGGCCTGCCGTTTTTCGCTATGCTCTACTTACCTACAATTTTAGGCTATCTATCTGAAAGACCTTTCAAATGAAAATTATAAAACAGCATTCAGATGCGTACTAGCATAACTTCGTAAGCTGCCTACTGTAACTCCACCCTGTACCAACAAACCCATAGATATGACCCATATTACAGATTTCCTTCGCGGACCCTCGGCAAGTGCTTCGCGGACCCCAAAAAGTCCGCGGACCCCAGTTTGGGAACCACTGTACTAGAGGATCAAACATGTTTAAATATATCTATTCACGTATTCCATACGATGTGAAAAACAGTCTTTACATAGTGTACGTTTACTAATATATTCTAAATATTTACATTTTTACAGATACAATGCACCATTTAAACCTCAAATTCAATCCTGGGTTCAAAAGTTATCTGGAACAACCGAAATTATTGAGAACTGGCTTGTCGTGCAGAATTTATGGGTTTACTTGGAAGCTGTGTTTGTCGGCGGTGACATTGCCAAACAATTGCCACAGGTTTGAATTGATTTCTACTGTTGTTCATTCGTGCTTTGAGTTGGAACGAGCATTGTTTTTGTATTGTAGTATAGAACAAATACCAGAATTCGATTCGAATTCCTCCGAATAGTTTTGTGAATGATTATTCTGATCAATAATAAAGGCGCTCCAAAAGTATATGTACAATCTGGAGGTAACTAATTTTGTTCGCCTACTTTACATCAAGTTGTGTAAAGGGACTGGAACCTATTGGCAGGGGAAAAATTCACTTGGCTAACACAGACAGTCCCCGAACTCGTAATAGAACTAAAATAAGGAAAATCCGAATGAAATTATTGCCTAACCAAAACCTGATACACATACTACGAGAGTACCATAATGAATCTTAGAATGTAATAGTATTAATAGTAACGATTATTATTGTTTTATCCAAATAGGAAGCGAAACGATTTGGTAACATTGACAAGTCCTGGCAGAAGATCATGCAAAAAGCTCACGAGAACACAAACATTGTACAATGCTGTATGGGAGATGACACTCTCGCTCAATTGTTGCCACATTTGCTAGAACAACTTGAAATGTGTCAGAAATCACTTACTGGTTACCTCGAGAAGAAGAGATTGATCTTTCCCAGGTTTGTTTGTTTTTGCTTTGACATTCCCATAAAATAGATCAATGTTTACCGAACTTTTTGCTATGTTTCATTTTAAAAAGGCAACAAACCAACAAAAGCTAAAAACATTACTGCTTTACAGTCATTATAAATGTTATCTAGTGAAAGCATATGCCCGCAGCCCTCAGAAAGTATTAGAATGAACATAGGCATGAAGCCCAAATAGTTATATTTCTAATTCGAATAGTTACAACCTTTTTGAAGAGCATTTCAACCAAAAACTTATACTCGCTTCTGGTCGCCAGAGAAGGCCCAGATTGCTAAAGCATAGATTAGACTCGCTCAGAGGTTACTGGATGTTTCCTCGACTATCGAGTTCTTTGTTTATTACCGTAACAATGACCAATCAGCAAAAAGTAAACGATTACCTAACAATTGAAATTTTTGCAGCCGCTCATACACTTTGTTCAGAAAGATTTTCAAGGGTCAAGGGTCGGCGAAACATCTATACCATGCTCGAATAGAGTTATTTTTGTGAGCTAAACTTTTTTTAAAACAAACTTTTCAACCAAAATACTTATCCATATTTCAGATTCTTCTTCGTGTCAGATCCCGCGTTGCTTGAGATCCTTGGTCAAGCCAGCGACTCTCACACAATTCAAAGTCATTTGTTGAGTTTGTTTGACAACGTTTATCGAGTGACATTTGACGATAAAGTTTATGACAAAATTTTGCAAATCAAATCACAGGAGAATGAGGCTGTTGATCTAAATGAAACAGTGCTCTGCCAGGTAATTATATTGTTCGTTATCTGCTAGCATTTCATTTTATTGGGCGACGCTCCAGAAGTGTGTGTACCAATATAGAGATAAATAATTTTGTTCGCCTACTGTACATCAAGTTGTGAAAATGAACGGAAGCCTATGGGCAGGGGATGTATTCACTTGGCTAACACAGACAGTTCCCGAACTCGTAATAGAACTAAAAAGGGGAAAATCGGAATGAAATTAAGGCCTAACCCTAACCTGGTACACACACTACGAGAGTGTCTATTTGCCGATACATAACTTGAAAATATTGAGACTGTTCCACTATTCAGTAAACGACCGCCATTCAAATCAAAGTAATTATTATTAACTTTTGCTTCAAACAAACCTCTGGCCAACAGATAATTTCCATTGAATCAATTTCAAACCTGTTACGAAACAGGAGTCATTGTGAGTCACAAAAGCTATTGTTTTGCATTGACTGCCCAAATATGCATGCAAAGAATGGGTGTGCAACCTTTTATACAGGAAAGGCCAGATAGAAATAACTGGGTAAAACCGCGGACGCGCCTTTACTCAACCTAGGCTTTCCATTAGTTGAAAGCACAAAAATTTTGGTTGTTGATCTTATGGCATGGGTTATTTGCACAAATTAGCTGTTAGGGCATTGTAAAGTCATAGGCATTGATCATAAAATGCACCCAGATATGGGCTTTGCAACGCAAATGGGTTGGAATTACTCACACACCAAATCAAGTTAAAACTCGTGGGCCACATATCATTTAAAATTGGCACTTCTTCGCGGGCCGCACTATTTTTTCTTAAGTGCCGAATTCGGCCTGCGGGCCACAGGTTTCACATATTTGACGTAGAGTCTGTGGAAATTGAGCTTGAACCTGTCATTTTCAACTTGTTGTAACCAAGCACTAACCATTTTTAATAATTTTCCAGTAATGATTAATGAATGTTTGTCTGATTCAGTCAATTTTGCCTAATGAAAGTTTTATTATTTTCCAGGGTAACGTTGAAATCTGGCTTGGAAAGCTTCTCGATGTCGTTCGTGCCACAATGCATAGCTACATCAGGAATGCGTATGCTTCAATATCAGATCAACAGAACTTTAAGTTAATTGACTTTGAAAACGTCGTCATTGCTCAATGCGGCTTGCTTGGGATTCAAATGATATGGACCAGAGATGCAGAGGACGCTTTATCACAGAGTAAATCTGATAAGAAGGTATGTACTGCATTGCCCAAAACAACAAAACCCGATCACTCAATCACTTCAACAAAAATGTAGGAATAAGTTTAACACTTGAACTTCTATTTGTGTATTATTTCAAGCAAAAGTGTCTATGACTATTTGCTTATAAGTTATGTTTTCTCCAGAAGAGTGATTCTCAAACTTTTTAAGCCGTGTCCCTGTTTTATAATTTGTCAAGTCTCGCGCCCAACTCAAAAAATAACCAGCTAACGATAAGATACAAATAATAGATAGTAAGGCTAAAGAATGTTGGAAATACGTGGATGGAACGTAAATATATATCCCAAATTATAAAAAATTGAAAATTTTCAAAATAAGGCGGGCATGATTGAATCTAACAAATACGGTATTTTCATTTTTAATTAGCTTCACGCTTCTTCAAAAAAATCATCCACGCCTTCCTTGTAGGACGCGCTCCACTGTTTGAGAACCACTGCTCTAGAACAGGGCTACTCAACTAGTTTTACCGAAGATCCACATACAAAACTTCAAAATTATTTGGGTCTGGTTTTTCCAGAAATGATATTTCGGCATCCTTAAACACGCACTTCCTCGACCGGCTAATGATTATTAGCAAATCAAGATCATTTATTATGGTGTTATAGTTCTTTTCATATATATTCGAAACTATAGAGTCATTTTATAAAAGAAAATTTAAAAAGTTCGGCTAATGATCCAAATTAAAGAATTAGGTGCGGTCCGAATCCAATACTCGAAAGGTCCGCAATTGGACCGCGGTCCGATAGTTGAGTAGCCCTGCTCTAGAATATGTTCCAAATAACATGGGTTCTGTTTTTGAAGGTCCCCCTGTGTCATTGAAATCGTAATTGATGATTATGGGGAGTCTGAATAGTAAAATTGAAAGTTAAATTGTTAACTTTGTTTGTTGTGCCACCTTTGCCATTGCTCTGTAAAACACCACTGCAGACCATTCGCGAAATAAAGAGATTTGACCTTAGACCTTTTCCGGATGTATCTTGTGACTTCGAACGGTCCCAAACTTTTCTGATTGAATCATATCATTACCTTTGCAACTTGAACCCAGTCACTTTTTTCCATCACAGATCATGCAAAACACCAACCAACGGTTTCTCGAAATGTTGAACACACTCATTGGAATGACCACACAAGAGTTGACGAAATACGAAAGAACAAAATACGAAACCTTAATCACAATCCACGTCCATCAAAGAGATATTTTCGATGATCTGGTTTGTTTAAATTAATCTTTGTATTTAAATTCAGACCAAATAAAAAATTTTAATAACTGAGTCAAATAAAATAACATTTTTGATTCAGTTTTGCACACGAACTCATTCTTCAAATACTTATAGCCGTTGGCTCCCGTAACCACCTGTTGATTTTAATGAAATTTGCTACATATAGCGCTGTAGATATCGGGAAACGAAATATTTCCTGTTAGCTATTTTCTACCTAATACATCACACACTGGGATAGGTGGTTGCCATTGGCTTCTTATCGAGATATTTGACCTGATACTACAACACAGTTAGATCTTACCGCTATGCTTCGCTACCTGTAAAGAATTTTTTTAAATCACAATAGGTCTTAAATAGATAATGCTTTGAGTATAGGAAATGACAAACATCAAGGATTTCAGAGACCAAGGTGTTTTACAATCAATTTGTAAATAAATGAATTCATTACATAGCAACATAATGAACATCACTGAAGTTATTTCTGCTTTTATTTTAGATTTCCTGCTGACACGTTTGAATATAAAGATGTTATGATTATAACCCAAAATGCTTTACAAGTGTCATTGTTTATTTGCCCAGCAATTATCATATTATAGAATGATACAAATCCACTTTAACATTGAACATTAAAAGTTCCTTTTCCTAAGTTAGAATTATTTTTCTTAGTGCCGAATGCATATTAAATCATCCAACGATTTTGAATGGTTGAAGCAATCTCGTTTCTACTTCATTGAAGACACCGATCGTTGTCTGATCTCAGTTACTGACGTCGACTTCGACTATTGCAATGAATACACTGGTTGCACTGAACGTCTTGTAATCACTCCGCTTACTGATAGGTGAGAGACAGTTTTTAGATTTAACATATTTTGTTTTGAATTTCCGTTGAAGTGCCCAAAAATAAAGACAAATAAATCGTTATAGAAGCTGGTAGGCGCCCATGATACATGAGGCGCCCACACTTCAGTTAACCGTTACCATCTACGCAAAATTACTCCCATAACGACGGTGTGCTGACTGGTATACCGAAACTGCCAGATTAGTTTGAGCACTGGGCGTTCGAGTCAGCGGTATACTTTCGGCGACACGCACTATACTGGGGTGACAGCATAACCCACCTAAGAAATTCAACCAGATCGGACCAGCAGTTTGAACGCTACAGCTAAACACACATCTGTGTTTTAGGCACTTTTCTGCAAATGCATGATATTAAAATCTGTATATTTTTATACAACGAAGCCTGAAATTTTTTATATGGTTTTTCACTAAATATCTTAAACGATGTTCAACTAAAATTTGATTATCTCGTCGAACTATTAATAAAAAATCGATGGCCAAGACAATCAAGTCATTGCTTTAATCGTATGCTGATGTGAAAGTTGCATTGTTAATCAATACAACTATTTCAGTTTGCTATAGTCTGTTACATAGGTATACGGATTAACGCCATCATGATGAACTTCCTAATCTATAACATGCAAAAATCACATGACTTAACTGCACTGTAACAGTAAAGCAGTACTCTTCATTCAAATATTCATTTAATTCATTTACAGATGCTACATCACCCTTGCCCAAGCACTGGGAATGAGCATGGGAGGCGCTCCCGCCGGCCCTGCTGGTACAGGCAAAACAGAAACTACCAAGGACATGGGAAAATGTCTCGGAAAGTATGTTGTAGTCTTCAACTGCTCTGATCAGATGGACTACAGAGGACTTGGTCGTATTTACAAAGGTAATTGTGTTGCCCACAAGAGTCACTCAATTGTAAATTTTTTTATAGAGTTTTCAAATGTAGATTGGAGTCTTGAAACATATAATCAAATCATATTTAATTTCTAGGAAATGCTTTGAATAAATACAAAAAGAATTCCATAATGTAATGATTTTTTATTACCGCTATGGCGAGTTGAGTCCAATGCTTTGGCTTAGACCATTTCATAGAAAAATCCGAACATATTCTGTAAAAGAACTAGTCCAATAGAGTCAATCAAATCTTGGTTTTGCCGTTAGGTCTTGCCCAGTCTGGATCATGGGGTTGCTTCGACGAATTCAACCGTATTGAGCTTCCTGTGCTCTCAGTAGCTGCACAACAAATTTGGATCGTACTTCAATGTAAGAAAATGAAAAAATCAGAGTTTATCTTCACTGATGGAGACGTCGTCAGACTTGACAGAGAATTCGGAATATTTTTGACTATGGTAGGTAGAGAACTTTGAGTCATGACAGGCTACTTTTCCTCAAGATATTTCAGTGAATGCCACATTTTAAAATGAAATAGGGGCTGCCACGCGGGAAAGTGAAAGTAACCACGGCAGCAGCAAAAACACCAATAAAAAACAGGAGGACAAAACCCAAATACTATTATTAATACAAGCATTTCACTCTTACTTGACCTTCAATTTATTTATTCTCATGTATAACAAACAACATTTGTTATTTGTTCATTCCCAGAATTATTTTCAAAGTGAGGTATAAGAGGCGTCATTATATATAGAACACGGGTCGCAAATGGTTTAATAATTCAGTCTATACCGAAATCTAATGTGTCATTAGTGGGAATTTTTTTTTTATTGAATTCCTACGGCTGCTAACAAAAAAAAAAACTGTAATCATTTTGATCCACCGGAGTCAGAGCTCCCAGAACAAAGAGTCGCATGCGACTTCGGAGCCGCAGGTATCAATCAGAGAATTGTAATTTTCTTTACCATGGCATATATTCAGGCATGGCCACTATTCTTCAATATCCCAGATTTCAAATGTGTCCTATGGTATGTCTTTTGTTAAATACTGTACATGCGCAATAACGTCCTTTTTCGTTTTTTAGAACCCTGGTTATGCAGGTCGTCAAGAACTGCCAGAAAACTTGAAGATTCAATTTCGTACAGTGGCTATGATGGTACCTGACAGAGCTATCATCATTCGTGTGAAACTTGCTTCTTGTGGTTTTCTACAGAACCAGACACTTTCTAAGAAATTCTACACTTTATACAAACTGTGCGAAGAACAACTGTCAAAACAGGTACGCCTACTGTAATCATGCTGAAATCAAAACATTTTGAGTAATATTGCCCGAATTGGCTGTAGAATAGATATATCACGTGCTATAATTATGTAGCTAGACCAGGTTGGACGAATCACGGCCAGCGGGCCGGATTATGATAATAGTTTTCAAGGATATAAATTTCCCCTGCAACAAATACCTATTGCATTACATGAGTCAAATGAGCAGCTAGGACAAAGTGGTCCGAACCCAGGCCCTCGGGCCACATGTGGCCCGCCGCTTCATTATCTGTGGCCCGCGCTGCATTCGAATAGTAATCAAAATATCATATTTTAAATTGCTTCTCAAAAAATAAATCAGAAAAATCGTTTGACATATTGTTGTTATATCACCACTGTGACTGAATTGACTAGTATGATAGCTTGATGGGCAGTCTAAATTGTTACCTGGATTTTTATCGTTTTGGTCGGGAATATATGCTAACAATGTAGGCATGATAGAAAACTAAACATCAGATGCGGATTCTATTAGCCTAGGTTGGCAATGCCTGATAACTTTGTGTATACACAATAGAAGTGCTTGTTTTGTATTGCACTATTTACCTATTCTTGGTACTATTGTGGCCCGCGACCAATGCCAAAATAATTTTGTGGCCCGCGGAGCCCACAATCTTGAACCACCTTGACATAGGAGATTGTTATCGACGCTTTATTTTGGAATAAACTGTTTTTCATTCATAATTCCATGTTTAGTTTTGAACCTCCGGCCCGGTCTATTTTCAGTAAGTGGCCCACTTCGTAAAGTAATTAATTGCCCATCCCTAGAGCTAGACCATACTTGCTAAAATAGGTATCAAATGTCGCATTTATTACAAAGAAAAAATAACAATTGAACGAAACAAAAATGTAATGGAATGTTCCTCTCAATCTATTACATAGCTCTCTCAAAGTTAATAAACTCCTTTACAATTTGATGAATTCATCATTTTTCTTGTAATCATTTTTTGTAATCTAAAGTTTCTTATTAAAAAATGAAAAGGTTGTGAGACCTTTTAATACTCATTTCAGGTTTTGTAATACACTATTCCTATTAAAAGAAAATGTTGTGAGACTTTTTAATACTCATTTAGGTCCACTACGATTTCGGTCTTCGTAACATCCTCTCAGTACTCCGTACACTTGGTGGCGTGAAGAGAGCCAGCCCGGATGACCCCGAACCCCTCCACGTCATGAGAGTTTTGCGTGACATGAATCTTTCCAAACTTGTAGATGAAGACGAACCTCTCTTCTTGTCTCTGATTAATGACTTGTTTCCTGGTATTGTGTTGGACAAAGCTGGATATGCGGACCTTGAAGCCGCAATACACCACCAGGTAATTTATTAGATACTGATATGCAGCGACGCAGTTCAAAATTTTTAAAAAGATTCTGGCGAACCCCTGTATCTCATCAATTTTAATAGTCTGACGTTTAGGAAATCCCTTTTTTTTAAATACTTTTACTTAACATAAAACTGCGACGAAACCTTGTTATACAAATGTTCGTTGACTATGTGACAAGTCAAGTCTTTCGCGACACCTTGTCAAGTGTGTGCTACTTTGGTATGCAATCTCAGTTGCGGTTGTGTGATCTCAGCCATTTTAGTATTAATTTAACCCTAACACAACGATGTCAGGATTAGGATTAGGAACTGAAATCTATGGAAATGTCTTTTCGAGATTAAACGTACACCAAAGCGAGCACTATAATCGATGTCACCTTTGTATGCGAATGTGATTATGATAAGCAAGTAAATAACAACGTATTTAAATATTCAGTCAAATACATAACACATTTTATAAGTTACAAATTGTTTTATATATTTTGAGCGGATGTCCCTTTTTATTTCCTTAATTTCATTCGATATTTCAAATAGCAATTTAGACAAGTTGTAGAATTCTGATGATATTTTTCAACTACAACACTAGATAATCATAAAACAATGACTGTACCTCACTGGTTCATTTTGTTTCTTCTGGCGCTCAAAAGTTACCGCCACGTAGATGGTTCCATCATCAAATTTGAATATCCGAAATGGAATTCCGATATTTGAATGCTTATCGAATTAAAATATCTATGTCACAGATTCTGAAAAATTTTTTTGATTTACTTTTAGGTCACTGAAGCAGGTCTCATGAACCACCCTTCCTGGATTTTGAAACTAATTCAACTGTTTGAAACCCAGCGTGTACGTCACGGAATGATGGCCCTAGGACCAAGTGGTGCTGGGAAAACTAAATGTATCCACATACTCATGAAAGCGATGACAGATTGTGGCGAACCACACAGGTAAATAGAAAAAAATTGTGGCATGTTGAGAATATTTGGAAAAAGGTACTCCAGTAGTGTGTGTACCAGGTTAGGGTTGGGCCATAATTTTATTCCGATTTACCTCATTTTAGTTCCATTACGAGTTCGGGTACTGTCTGTGTTAGCCAAGTGAATATAAACCCTGCCCATAGGTTTCAGTCCCTTTACACAACATGATGTAAAATAGGCGAACAAAATTAGTTACCTCCATACACACACTTCCGGAGCGCTCGTAAATGTGTTCCCGGAGATGAAAACTTGTATCCGTTGCTCTTTATTGTCAATTACTCACTTGTAAACATTGATATTTCAGAGAAATGAGAATGAATCCAAAAGCTATAACCGCGCCTCAGATGTTCGGTACATTGGATGTTGCAACTAATGATTGGACTGACGGTATCTTCTCAACATTGTGGCGCAGAACACACAAAGCCAAGAAGGTTTGCAGTTGGAATTCTATTCTTGTGTGAAAAAGCTAAAAATATCAGTGCTTTAAACTTTTCTGTACCAGGGGCCAAACATTTCTAAACCAGGGGCCAAAAAATTTGCCCACCTAGACTGGCGGGCCATGTAAGTGTGACATAAAAAGTGACATTTTATGAATAATATTTACAGTGTTACAAAAGCAGAAGTGACAAACAATAATCCTCGTGCCAAAACTAAATTTAATCACAATCTCAACAGATTCCTCGTGGTATTTTTTAGCTAAAACATCAAAATTTGGGTTTAGTTTGGTTGGGGCAGCATCAGGCGGGCCAGATTGAAATACCAATCGGACCGGATTTTGCCCGCGCGCCATGGTTTACCCATGTCAGGTCTACTCTCTCCAGGGTTTGAAGGTGGGTAATCTGTTGGTGCTATATATCTTATCTAACATGTGACGCAAATAAGTGAGTTGAGGCTGTGGAATTTAGGAATTACGTTTAACTTACACATTAATGAGAAACTTTAACATAAATAGATTTTAGCTAGAGATAAACAAATACTAATATGGACCAGTTTTGATACATAGCACTTTGGCATGATGATCCACTGTAATGCAAGTGCAACATACTTGGTATATCAAATGGCATTTGTCGAATATGTCATCAACTGAACTAATTTAAAATTCACTTTAATTAAAACAGTTCCAATTAAACTCTACTAATGAGTGTAATTTCTAGCAAACATATAATTTAGTATAAATATCTATGTGTTTATCTGACACCGGTAAACTACGATCCACTGGTCAAATTCGGTCTGTTGGGTAATTCATTCTGGCCCGCCTAATGCTGACATAACCAAACTGAAACCAAATTCTAATGTTTTTGTTAAAAATTGAAATTTATTAAGATTGCGGTTAAATTTAGTTTTGGCACGGGGTTTATATTTTCTTTTTTACATGGCCCGTCAGCTCAGAGAAACAATACTGTTGGCCACTGGTCCAGAAACCTTGCCCACCCCTGGTGTATATCATAACGATAACGGCGGTGTGGCTCAACGGGCTAAGCGTTAGGAATACGCTCGCCACCGCACCTCTAATTACTCTGCGTGGGTTCGCAGGTTCGAATCCCATGCAGGGATGGTTATGTGCGAGAGGATTGCTGGTCTCCTCGCCGTCGTTGGGTGGTTCACGTAACCGCTGGTCGGTTACGGCTTCCTCCACCACCAAGTCCATGCTTCCGAAAACAAACAATACAGTAAAAACTAATCCCATACCCGACTTGGAATGGTAACCGGACGAGAGGCCGTGGTTCGCCATATGGATAAGCCGTCCTATCGGCTTTCCTCTCCCCCGGGATAAATATGTAAATCATATCCTATCCTTCTTTAACAGGGAGAACACATTTGGCTTGTACTTGACGGCCCCGTAGACGCAATCTGGATTGAAAATCTGAACTCTGTCTTGGACGACAACAAAACCTTGACTCTGGCTAATGGTGACAGGATTCCTATGGCTCCAAACTGCAAGATCATTTTTGAACCCCACAATGTTGACAATGCTTCACCAGCTACTGTCTCTCGTAATGGTTAGTGTTGATATTTGAAAGTTTCGTAAATATTTGTTCAAAGCAAGTTAATATTAATAATAAATAATAAATCTACTAATATTCAAAGAAAATTCCCTCAATCTCAAGTAGCTAAGAGTAAATATACAGCTGATGTGCTAAGATCTTAACCAGGGGTGTGCCAACCGCGGCCCGCGGGCCAAATGCGGCTTACAAGAAAAAATTGTGCGGCCCGCGCAGAAGCGCCACTTTTGTATGGTGTGCGGCCAGCGAAACGAGTTTTTAATTTAATCTAGTATGTGTTGTCTAGTATGTTTAGTGTTGCAATGCCTATATCTGGTCTTGTGCAAACGCATGCCACAAGATCAATAAATAAAATTTGGTGCTCCCGAAGTATGCGAACCAAGATGGCGGACATCGGAACGTAACATGGGTAACAGGTTAGGGTTAGGCGATAATTTTTTTCCAATTTTCCTTATTTTAGTCCTATTATCAGTTCGAAGACTAGCCATGAGCCTCCCGTAGTATTTATACTTAAAATTATGGCCTAACCCTAACCTAGTACACATATTACATTCCGATGTCCGCCATCTTGGTTCGCATACTTCGGGAGCCCCCAAAATTTTTGTGTCTGCAACTACTAGAAATCCTATGTTGGGTAAAGGTGTGGCCCGTGGTTTCACCCAGGTATTTGTATCTGGCTCTCATGTATTAAAAGTTGCACACCCCTGATATAAACGAATGCTGGATAATTATCGAATCGTCAACGAATATCATTGATGAGAGTTTATAAAATTTTCTAAATATTTACTCCAGCGATGAGGGAAAAACTTCCTTGAAAGTGACATAGGAACTATTTGATTTGGGTACTTCCGCAGTATGTGTGCCAGGTTAGGTCATAATTTTATTCCGATTTACCTTATTTTAGTTCTATTACGAGTTCGGGGACTGTCTTTGTTAGCCAAGTGAATATACATACCCCTGTCCATAGGTTTCAGTCCCTTTACACAACTTCAAAGTAAGCGAACAAAATTAGTTATATTCATATTGGTACACATACTTCTGGAGCGTCTTGATTTGTACCGATGACAGTTAACTGTGATGACGTATGGAAACAACTTCAACTTTTTTCATCTGTTCATTTGTGCGTTTAAGACTTGATCATCAATACATGCATAAAATATTATTGTTTCTTAGAATAAATCGAAAGTTTATTTTTCTCAAACGCTTCATGCTTTGGGTTTGTGAATATTCTGCGTATGTATTCTATTCTTATCACCAAAAGGTACAGTCTCTGCTTGTATTTTTTTTTCAATATTCAACCTGGCTATTTATAAATCTTTTCCAGGTATGGTCTTCATGAGCTCTTCAGCTTTGGATTGGCGTCCAATACTTCAGGGATGGCTGGCAACCTTACCACAAGCGCAAAACGATCAGCTGTGGGAATTGTTTGATTTCATTTTCCAAGTGGGTGGCTGCTTTCATTTGTTATATCTTCACTTTACATTATTTTTCATGTTTAATTATTTTATTTCGCAGTGAATAAATTAGAAATCCTTGAATTGCTAATAATAGTGTAATCTAGGTTTGCCATGGACCGCTGTTCTTGGCCTGAATTATTAAATTGAGCCATTATAAAATACAATCATGTATGGTTGTGTTTATTCTGGATTCGCTTGCTAGTATAATATAAAGTTATTATAATTATAATTTTGTACTCAGCTAAACAGTAATAAAATGTAAACACAAAATTCATTTGTATTATAAAATGAGATTATATTTTATAGGATCTTCTGAACTACGTCTCAACATCTTGTTTTGCAAAAATGCCAATATTGGAATGTATGTACATCAGGCAAGCAATTGATTTGCTCCAAGGTGAGTTGACTTTCATGGAAGGTTGCGTGTTGGACCCAACCCTCTTCCACCTCCTTTGAAATATAAGAAAAAAAATTGTAGCAGACATGGCACTTTTCCGTAGCTTAAAACACTTTCTAGTTTTTCAAGGCTCTTGAAACTCTGACCTGCCGGCTGTAACGGTCTAAATTGGCAATTTGAAAATTCAAAACCCTCCTTTGAAAATTCTTGACTACGCTCCGGTCAGATAGCCGATTTTTTTTTGGAATTGAGCAGAATCTCATGGCTTTTTTGCATAAATACAACATTTTAAACAATAGTGGTATTCGGGGACGTTCTTGAAATGTCGTGATAATCGGCTAACTCGATCTTGTTTTTCGTGTTCTAAAGTTCGTCAGGGTTTTCTAAATGAGGGATTCTGTTGTTAGTGAGTAGGGATGGGCATTTCGAATCGAATAGCAAATTATTCGAATCGGTTCAGAGTAAAATTTTGAATCGCCGCCATCTTGTTTTTTTATTATTCCAATGGTCTTATATGAATCTTATATTTTCAATACAATTCAGATATATGACTATTTTCTTCAGTGATTTGTTGGTAAAACGTGTTTCTTATTTTGTGTTTAACGCTCAGCAATCTGTCCGAGAGATGTACTTTATGTTTTCAGTAATTCATTTGCTGACAGGACCAATTGCAATAAAAAAGTGGCATACAATTATATATCTCTCAAGTATTCGAAATTTGATTCGAAAAAAATATTCGATTCGATTCTGAAATCAGGTATTAGAAATCAAGTATTTGAAAAATGCCCAGCCCTAATAGTGAGTTCCATACCACAGAGAATCCATTCTAAAATATTAAATCACATCCCTGTTTAACCTTTTGATTATGCTTAAAATATAACAGGTTTAATTCCGAGCCATGAAGATCAAAATAAAGCGCCGAACAATGTTCATTTGTCACGTTTGTTTTTCTTTTCTTTGATGTGGTCTCTTGGTTCCTTGCTGGAGTTGGATGACAGAGCAAAGATTGAGGCTTTCCTAAACGAACATGAAGCCAAACTCCCGATTCCACCGGTCAAGGATGATGAAACCATCTTTGAATACGTGGTATGTTGAGATGATATTTAATAAATTTTACTTGACACAAGTTAACGCAATAATTGTAAGCTCATTTTGTCATTTTCAATTTTTTTTCATCTCTTTTCCCTAACACTTCCTTCAATACTTATCGATCTTCAGATCGGTAAGTATGTTGATAGGTATTTGTCTGTTGGTCTGTCTGTCTGTCTGTTTGTCTGTTGCACGCAGAGAAACAGACAGACAGACGAAAGCGTGGTTGAATATGCTTGCAAATTTTTCATGTGCATTCATCATATCTCGGACCAAGAGCCTATTGATTTTGGATGAATTATGTCGTATAATTAGCGAGTTATTAATTAATTAATGATGGAACACGCGGTTTCACAGATCGAAAACACAGTTTCGATCGATAAGTCTTCGGTCTTCGACCGATATTCTCGTTTCAATTTTATATGTTCGTATTTGCAAAGACAATATTACGCTGTAAAATGGAATCACATCAGCTAAACTTTTTCAAACGATTTACCATAATATTGCAATGGTTTCACTGGATCAGTTATTTCATCATTTCACAATCTATCGTTTCAATAAAACAATTCTCCAACTCTCCTGGCGCTATCAACATTTGGGCACAGTGGTTCCAACTGCTTAGAGCCAAGGATAGACGACCTCACAACTCATTGTTCCTTCACTAATTAGTTGAGTGTAGGGATGGTATTATGACTTCAATTCATTTGAATGATATCCTACTAAACTAAAAACGCCTAAAAAACGTTTCTAGCTGACAATTGTGAACAAGCTGATTTTGAAAGACAGCAGAATTGTACTACCAACGTACACGTACCAATCAACATCTTTCATCAATGCTTCTTTCATTAATGTGTTCAAATGTTCATAGCCTGGATAAAAAGTTTAATAAAAGTACCGAGAACTCTGTGGATATTAAATAATGAACATTGCGAAAAATTGAAGGACGACTTCACAATTAATTCTTGTTTCATTAATCAGTACAATCCGGCTTTAGCAGTGGCTCTCAACTTGCTTTGTTCAATTCCTCTTTTTGCCTAATTTGTAATTTTTTATTCCCCTTTCCTATGCATCCTACTACTTTATTTATTTAATGAATCCATAGTTAGTGTTATGCGCAATTCGCACTATTTTTTTCTACAGTTCAAGTATATTTCTAATTAGTGCATAAATAAGTATTAGGAAAATAATATTATACTAAAATATATTAGTAATACCACAGAGAATACAATGCAGTTCTTTTCAAAAATGGCAAAAATCTTTCCCGGTCAGGCTAAAGCAAAGTCCTCCCGTGGCGGTGTTTTTCAAAATTATGATTGAGAAATACCTTAAAACCCAGTGTCACTAACAAATCTAATTTTCCGCAACTCTCAATTTTGCAATAAATTCTCTGATGGGAAAGATGCCCGCGACACTAGATGGTTTGGAAATGTTTGGGCTAAAGACTTGATTGGTTTACAAAATTATTAATTCACTCATTTGTTTTCATCAGGTCAACGACTCAGGTGAATGGGAACACTGGAACACCAGAGTCCCAGATTATATTTATCCGAAAGACTCTGTTCCAGATTACATGGGAATTCTCGTTCCCAATGTTGACAACGTTCGAACTACATACCTCGTTGAGACTATTCAAAAGCAAGTAAGTACATTGTTTCATTTGTGTTTACTTTAATAAAAGTGTTATCTCATCCATACGTATATAATCTGTGAATTTTTCTCCTGCTAAAGATTTGAGCTCTAAGATAAGAAAAGAAATCCTCTCAAATATCAAATATATTTTCTAGTACATAGAGCAGGGAATGCATTTTTGATTCTAACTTGTATCCAGAATTTTACAATTCCTATTGCATTTGTCTCTTGAAAATTATGGCACTTCTCGTGCTTTTTCCACATTGCTCTTTTATTAAGTCTTGATCAAACCTGTTTGTTATATGATACATTTTAATATAGCGTACTTTTTCCGGTACCCAAACTATGAAAAGCAAGATGGCGGACACCGGAACGTAGTATGTGTATCAGGTTAGGATTAGGGCCTAATTTTCAGGTACGAATACTACGGGAGTCACTTGGCTAGTCCCCGAACTCGTAATAAAACTAAAATAAGGAAAATTGGAAAAGAATTATGGGTTAACTCTAAACTGGTACACAACTACACATACTATACGTTCCAGTGTCCGCCATCTTGGTACGCATATTTCAGGAGTACATTTGCTTAGTTCCATTCTTCCTTTAAATGTATTCATATTTGTCGTTATATGGATCATCGAGTAAAAGCAGAGTAACGTATTCTGAAATTGCTCTTAGGCGCATAGTTAATGATTGCGTCCAGGTAATTATACTCATTCTTATAAGGTTCCAACCTTTCTTTTAAATGCATTCATATATCATATGTTTACCTCCAGGAAAAAGCTGTCTTGTTGATTGGTGAGCAAGGTACTGCAAAGACTGTAATGATCAAAGGTTCCATGGGCAAGAACGACCCAGAAGTCCATCTTACTAAAGCTCTCAACTTTAGTAGCGCGACAACACCAAACATGTTTCAGGTAATATTTCTATCGTATTTTACTGACGATAATCTGCACTTAAAATTCCCTTTTTCTTGAAAATAGATTGTTTGCCATGTAAGCCAGTGCGCCTAATGTATGGATCAGGTTTCGATTTATGCTTTATTGCCAAAACCAGTACCAGTTCCAGTTGCGGCTCATGAGTCCATGCGCCTCGTGAACATGAATAAACACTTCATGGCAATTGATTTCCGATGCATGTGTCTTATTGTTCGTACAAAACAGTAAATTCACGGACATTTTTTCATGTCAATTAATACATTGTGCTATTAATTGAGTTTTTACATTTTCCTCTTCTGTGCTTTTGTGCCAGTGGGGTTGTATACATGTGATGCAAGGATGATGTATCAGGTTACCAGTCGAAGTAGGGTATAGGGTCAGTTAGCCAATTAATTATTTGTTTTATAAGTATGGACTTGATGTTAGAGGAATCCGTAAGGAATGGTCATGAGATTTTTAACCTGCCAATCAAGTAAAGTCCAGCGCCTTAGCAGCATTTATTATAACATATTTGATGCATTCTCTTAACAAAATTGTTTACCAAGAACTGCTCCCTTAGTAAACCTTTTTTTTTCTACAGAGAACCGTTGAAAGCTACGTTGACAAGAGAGTAGGTACGACCTATGGCCCACCAGCAGGAAAGAAGATGACTGTCTTCATTGATGATATCAACATGCCGATCATCAACGAATGGGGAGATCAGGTACAATCAAACTATATATTTTGGTTTGATTATTTTCGTTAAATATCTGTTTGTTAAAGTGCACCGTAATCATGTGAAGTACAATAATTTATCCCCAGTACTGGCTTTATAAATAAGATCAATTACGACTCAACTCAAAATTAGGATAGTCTGATGACTTATACATATTATTTAGCACTCAATACAAAAACCAATCAGTGCATTAAGTGTTCACTAAATGTTTTTAATCAGCTAGTTATGCTAGTATATGTTATCAGGACAACAGCTGACTATAGGGAGTTGTTAAAAAATTCCACGGAACACATCAGTGGTTCGCTGAACCCTGGTTGATAACCACTGGTCTATTGCACTGTTTCTTTGACCATGTTTCTTACTTTGAGCAATTTCTTTATTTTTTCTAGATCACCAATGAAATTGTAAGACAACTGATGGCAACTAGGGGATTCTACAGCATAGATAAACCTGGCGATTTCACCACTATCGTTGACATCCAGTTTATCGCCGCCATGATTCATCCAGGTATGCAATCTGTTCCAGAAAGCTATTGTATTATCAGACACGACGGTTGACGCACTGTGCTAACCGTCGAGAACATCATTTTTTGATATATTATATAAAAAATCTGGTTGTCGAAGTCATACTTTTTGTGCAAACTTATTTTGGTAGTAAAGATGGTTCGCTTCGTGAGAATAGCGTTACGATTCATTGTTGCTTTGCAATTGATTAGTTTATTCTTCAGTTTTGATTTCTCTGATGTCTAAATCATTTGTTTAAGGTGTTCCACATAAAAATTACTTCTCAAGATTCATATATTTGATTTGCTGTTTAATTCTTTACGTAAAAATACAGATCAAAGGTCCATTTCTATATTTTTTGTCCAATGTTATTGTAGTAACGGGATCCGACAATTATCGTCACCTTCATTTTTGCAGTTTTATATTATTTTGTCTTAAGAAGTTACACTATAATCTAACGAAAACTAACAAAAATACTTGCTATTTCGTAGAAAGAGATTATGTTATTTTTATTTAACACTTATTTGATTACTATTTCATCAAAGTACGCCTTTGCTAGGAGGAGCCTATAAATATCCTAGCATTCCTCGTGATATGCAATTCAAGAGTCCTGACGCAGTTTGCATTGCAATCTTGAATTGCATTGTATTTTTATTCCTGCTACAGCATCCTGCATTTATTATATGTATACAGATCCACTAGCGCAAAGGCATTGAGGAAGGATTTGGAGTTATTCTCGCGCAACCACTACTGATATTTATACTTAAGAATTGATAAAATTGATTCGATTTGAATTTTTGTTTTAGTTTAGAACTTTTTTTCTTCACTTATTCTTGTATATTTTACAGGTGGTGGCAGAAACGATATACCCCAACGTTTGAAACGTCAGTTCTGTATCTTCAACTGTACTTTACCCTCCAACAACTCCATCGACAAAATCTTTTTAACAATTTCTGAAGGATATTTCTGCAAAGAACGAGGATTCTCAAAAGATGTAATTTTATTTTTTATTTTTATGAGAATTTTACTCATCTCTGAACAAAGTTATGAATATTTAGACCCAGTGATTTTGTCTCGAGTGATGAAATGATTTTATCTACTGTCTTCGAGTATTCCTGATTGTTAGTCTAAAAAAATTGCAAATAAATTTAGATTTGTCAAAAACGATTAGTGTATAAATTGAAAAACCGAACTAAATGAGGTCTCGAATTGAGAAGACTTGACTTCATTACATTTGGCTTCCATACTAATCATATGAAAGGATGACAAATAATTCTAAGTTAATGAAGCCTTTATGATGCAAGTCTTCTAATCGAATATCTTAAAGATTTTTTAGTGTATTTTTGTTGTAATATGTTGATTTAATGATATATTATAATTTACGACATTATATTTTCAAATTTGGAACAAATTTAAACAAATTCGATTGTATTTCATTTCACACAAAATATTGTATGTATGTATGTTTATTTGCCCCATAATATGACTGTATCTGCATAATAAATGAACAGTGTAAAAGAGACGGGATACATGTTCAAGACCTTATTGGTCTAAGACATAGATGTGCAACATGCATCCTTACAAGTATAACTGCAGTTTAGGACTGCTGCGTTATATAAGAACAATATTCTTCAAATGCTTTATACCATTTCTACAGATCTGCGCTTTAGCTCCGGAGCTTGTCGGGATCACTCGACGAATTTGGCAAGCAACTAAAGTAAAGATGTTGCCAACACCAGCAAAGTTCCATTACATTTTCAATTTGAGAGATTTGAGCAGAATTTGGCAGGTAGGAAGTGCTATCGCGAATTTTGGCGAAAGTCAGATTCCAGCGCGCTAAATTTATAGCTTTTTTTTCGACATTAATGACGCTGGTCAGTATAAATCTCACGCTTTCTCGCCAGCTGTTACGGTCTTAACCATGAAAAATTTTATTTGTTATTCAGGAATCTACCACTTTTGAAGGGACTATTGGGCATTGTCCATCCAATTTATAACACCCTAAGTAAGGTGTGGGTCTGGGCCTCGATGTGACAAACCATCTTCTCGTCATCGTCATATTTTATTAGTCCAGCACTAGGATGCATTCATAGACCAGTTTGACATCACATGTTTAATAGAATCGATAACTTAGCTTATTTTCCCGGTAGAGAGGAAAGTCGATAAGACGGCCTAATGATATGGTCACAAGTCCATGTCGGGTATAGGATAAATTGACTAATTACTTGGTAATTTAGTTATATTTCTTATATATAATTTTTTGGAACCATAATCTATCTTTTTGTCTGTTAGGGCATTCTCGTCATTACGCACGAGAGTTGCACATCAGAAGAAGTTCTTCTCGGGCTGTGGAAACATGAATGCCATCGAGTTGTTGCTGATCGTTTCACAAATCACGAAGACAAAGTCTGGTTTGAGTCTAATTTAATCAAGGTACAGTGATTTTTTTATTAGCTTTGTGTTTATTTATTTGTAAGCTTAAAACCATTTTCCCCAGACTATTTTTGTGTTGGGGCTTTCAAATGTTGGTTTAAAATTATTAAAATATTTTTGGTTTCGGTATCGCCGACCGACTTGGGCATAGGGAAAACGCTTTGGCCCTGACATGGGCAAACTACGGCCCGCGGTCCAAATCCAGCCAGTTAGGTAATTCAATCTGGCCCGCCCGATGTTGCCACAACCAAGGTAAAACTAAATTTTGATTTTTCAGCTGAAAAATAGCTCAATGAATTTGTTAAGATTGCGATTAAATTTAATTTTAGCACGAGGCCTATTGTTTTTCAATTTTGCTCTTGTAACTGTGTAAATATTGTCAAAAAAGCTTCATCAAATTGGGATTTTACTGTAGTAACAGTCGCGGGTGAGATTAGTTTCTCGAGCACTATACTACTTTCACTTTGTGCCTTTTTTCAGACTATCACCACTGATAGGCAGGATTTAGTCGCTAAACTTCCACAAGAACCGTACTTTGTAGACTTCTTACGTGAGGCTCCTGAAGCGACTGGTATGTTAGGATTGTATTTATATTTTTTTGTACTGTTTATTTTCTTTAGTTTGATATAACATTTTACTGACTCACTAGTTTTCGACAACTTACAAACGAAAACTACCCACTTCATATGCTTACTCTAATTATTTGCCATAAGTTTTATAATTATTCTAACCCAGAACATACCTTATATCCTATTTTGTATGCTTACTCTGATCATTTGCCTAAAGTTTTATATGTATCCTAACCCAGAACATACCATACATCCCACTTCGTATGTTTACTTTAACCATTTGCGTAAAGTTTTGTATCTACAATCTATAAATGTAATAACAGGCGAAGAAGGTGAAGACACAGACCTGGATGCACCAAAGATCTATGAACCTATTGAATCGTATGAGCAGCTGAATGATCGACTTGCAATGTTTGAAGAGCAGTACAATGAAACTGTCCGTGGTGCCAAGATGGATCTGGTGTTCTTCAAGGTTGGTTAAAGATGCAACAATTCTCAACTCCCGAATATGAATAAAGTGGTTGTTTATTTCTCAAGTACTTGTATCAGGGCCCCCAAAACATCATGTCCCCAAACCTTTTTTCCGTGCGATGCCAAATCATCAGCAATAAAAATCAAGGCGACCCCACGCAAAAAACGAATGATGCTCTTAAACAAAACTTGTTTAGGTATCGTTATTGTGTACTCTATACCTTTTGCAGTTTGTAAACATGTAGGCGCAAATAATAATGGCAAAAGGTAAACTCTTTTTTCTTATATCTGCCTGATTTTTCTTGATGGAAATGCTAAAAAATCACTTATGTTCGCTTAACTGAGTCCAACATATAAATAAACTGCAGCTCACGAAATTGCAGTAAGTAGTGTTCCTGGGTTCTTTCTGTCTATTTTGATTCTGAGCTCATCCTTTAACTTTAGAAATCTTGTTGCTGTGCTCTTTTTGAAGTGACAATAGACAATATAATATAATTTATATTGCTACTTGCACATGCTACGAATTTTCTAGTAATTTTGTTGTTTCGTTTACGTTATTTGTAACACACATTGATCCACAGAAGGGCTAACTTGTGTGAACGTCTAGACACAGGGCACAATAAGTATAGCATGAGAAGAAACATAAGTGATTCAAGAGTCATGCTGCACACTAACACAAATATATTTCTGTAACGTTTCAGACATACAGAGTTCAACTATAGTTGCAGCAAGACTCTTGAATCATTTGGGATAGTTATCTTCACTCTTGCCTCCTTGCATTATATGCATACGGATCCACCGGCACAAAAGCATAGTAGAAGTAGAAGTAGTTAGTCTCGCAGAAACCAAATCATTAGCGCATGATAGGAAACATGTTCTTTTACTTCTTTCGTTCCAAAACACATCTTATCTAGCATCGCTATTATTTAAATTACAAATATATTTAAAACTCATTACCATATTAATATTATGTAAAACAGGATGCCATGGTCCATTCTTGATTTTCTTGATTTAACGGTATTTAAATGTATAAATAAATTTGTAATTACAATGTTATTACTACATGCGTTCACGATGCTATGGTTTATCACGTTACGATTTATCAAATTTTCTTGTGTGGGTCCCTCAAGTTCTTGCAACAAACCTTTAGGTGTCTTATTCGGTAGAGTACCAAGAAGTGTCGTTTTATCAGTTATATTCTCGGGTGTCCCTGCTCGATAACCGGCTTTGGTTCTCCGCGACTCCCCTTCCCCAGTAAAACAGTATAAATTATCATTTTCTTGTAATTTGTGCTTGTGATATTTTTTCACTTTCACTTTCACAAATAAACTTGACTATACAATATACATACACCTCCTGCTTGGCATCGTCTTTTTCAAATGAACAATGTGTATACCCGATTCATTATCCAATATTATTTATATAACAGGATGCCATGGTCCATCTCGTCAAAATCTCTCGCATCATCCGAACCCCAAGAGGTAATGCATTACTAGTGGGTGTCGGCGGATCAGGAAAGCAGTCCCTTACTCGACTCGCTTCATTCATTGCCGGATACAAAAGCTTCCAGATTACTCTGAGTAGAACTTACAACGTTACAAACCTGATGGACGATTTGAAGGTAAAATACTACATTCAATGTGCCCTTTTTCAAGTAGAAAACTGTCATACACTTTAAACAAGATTCTTTATATACATTATTGGTTACTCAGAAGTGTGTGTACCAATATGGAGGTAACTAATTATGTTCGCTTTCTTTATATCAACTTGTACAAAGAAACTACAACCATTGGCCAGGGGGTATATTCACCTGACTAACACAGACACTCCTCGTAACTGGAACTCATAAAATATTCTCAGTTCAACCGGAAAGCTTAAGAAAAATCAAGATAAAATTATGGCCTTACCCTAATCCGGAATCATATTATGGTACATATACTACGGGGGTACCGGAAAACCAACGTTAAACCACATGCCACTAAATTATATGAACCATTTTTCTGTTTCAGGTATTGTACAGAATTGCTGGTAAAGACGGACAAGGCGTTACTTTCGTTTTCACTGATAATGAAATCAAAGATGAAGGTTTCCTGGAGTATATGAACAATGTACTTGCATCTGGAGAGGTAAAATGTTCACATATATATTTGAGAATAAAATAATCACGTTTCACGAAATAGCAAGTACAATTGTAAGATTTTGTTCGATCATAGTCAAACTTCCTCAAAAAAAAAGAGATATAACTTCATTGAACAGCATATTAGTCTCTGTTTATTTAAGCTATATCCCGTGTCATCTGAAGAACCAATTTATATACTTAATACTTACACTTACTCTTTCATGGAAAGAGATTATGTTATTAATATTTATCACCTCTATACTATTTTGTTTAAACGCCCTTGCAACATTCACATACGATTTCAAAGTAGGAAGGAGAAAGATGCCCTGCAGATCAATACACTATATTCTTCTAGTCATCATGTTCATTTAATTTGCAGATTTTTGCGTTTGCCACACAATACTAGGATATCGTCTTTCTTAACTCAAAGAAATAACTTTGAAACTTTAATATGAATTTTACATAATTGTTTCATATGGAGCTTCGTGCTTATTCATCGTTCATGCTTATTGAAGCTTAATGCTTATGGGGCCTAGGATTCAATATGAAAAACTCTTGTCCAATGCAAACATTGGGAATCAGACATAATTATTGTTTTTTTATTCCCACTCAATATAATTTATTTTTGTTAATTCTCGTGAACTTTGACTACTAGGTTTCAAATCTCTTCCAACGTGATGAAATCGATGAAATCACACAAGAACTGATACCAATTATGAAGAAGGAATACCCAAGACATCCACCTACCAATGAAAACTTGTACGAATACTTCCTGTCCCGTGTCAGAGCCAATCTCCACGTTGTCTTGTGTTTCTCTCCGGTCGGTGAAAAGTTCAGGAACAGAGCTTTGAAGTTTCCAGGTAATATCAGGATCGGTATAGCTTTGTGGATTCTAAAAATTGCATGAACTTTCAATGAACTGTAAATTTTAAGTGTCATGAATCGTTATAAAAATTTATAAAATATACCAAACTTGTTGATTCTCGGGAAACTTGGCAAAGTTTGCTAAATCTGATAGAACATGGGCGCTCCAGATGTATGTGTACCAATATGGACGTAACTAATTGTGTTCGCCTACTTTATATCAAGTTGTGTTAAGGGACTGAAACCTATGCAACCTGAAACCTATTCACTTGGCTAACACAGACATTCCTCGAACTCGTAATAGAACTAAAATAAGGAAAATCGTAATAAAATTATGGCCTAATGGTTTGCTTAGTGCAATACTTTAGTCGCATTCCCGTTTTTTCATTGGAGTTTATTATGTGCCAATTAAAATAGATATCATAATAATAATATTAATAAAGAATATTAGGAATACTACAGTAAATGATAAGAAAAATTCTCACGGAAAACGCCAAATTTTCTCCATGATAAGAAATTCTTCCTAGGCTGGGGATCGTCATCACGATGGAACAATAAAATTATAGTCAGCAGGGTTTTTAACAATAATACTATTCCCTTTTCCATCTTCTAATCAAAAAATGAGTGGGTGAGCTTTATGAAAGCTGAGATGGGGATTACAAACAAATTTTTAGGTAAGGGAGACTATACTATTTATAATTACAAACAACTTATATTCTTTATTACATTCCAGCTCTGATTTCTGGTTGCACCATGGACTGGTTCCTTCGTTGGCCGAAAGATGCCTTGATTCAAGTAGCAGAACATTTCTTGTCAAGTTATAAGATTGAATGCACTGATGATACAAAATCGAGCATGGTCCAGGTTAGTTTTAGTCTATACGGGCATATTCGAATCAATTACCGTACTTTACGCACTGGGTCATAAGGTACACTGTTAATAAATTACTTAGATTGGGTTTGAGTGAAGGCAATAATACACCAAGCACTAGCTGATCCATGCTATACATCGGGTATATCCGAATCAATTACTTTATTTTACGGGTCATATGGCCCACCGGGCAGTAACTGCCAATATATTGCTTGAATTAGGATTTTCGCCATGTATAATACGCACTGGACCATAAATCGAAACTAGTACTGGCACTACCAATTGGGTTGTATTTGCGAATTTCTCTTCTCAAAAGTAGTAAACATAAAATAAAATTCATATGTCGGTTGAAATAGCTAATCAGTTGGCGGTGAAAAAAGTTGTATCCGACCAATGGTCCGAGTAGACAAGACATCTCTCCCTCTGTTTGAAACCGCGAATCATACATTTCACTTTACACCGCTTAGAAATAATCTTGAAATGATATGTTTCTATAATTTTTATTTCATCCCCTATGTACTCCTTAGGTAATGGGCACAGTTCAAGATCTTGTCGCCGAGAAATGCGTGGAATACTTCGACAGATACAGGAGAGCATGTCACGTGACTCCAAAGTCCTATCTCTCTTTCATCACAGGTTACAAGACCATATACTCGTAAGTGTAACGTTGTTTTCCATACGCTAGGCGAAACAAAAAGACCTTTTAGCAGTTGATGCCAATATTTTGAATCCAGGCCAAAATCATGACCAGCCAAAAATTTGGGAATTTGGGTTTTACCTATCTCGTTTTGGTTTATTCGGTGAAAGGATTATTGATACCAAGCCAGGTAACGTCCGGTTTTCAGTAAATCGTTCAAGAATAGAGCAAAATGGTGTTGGAAAGGCCTGTGAATTTGTGTCTTACTGCAAATGTCTTAAAATTGCATTGCTACGCCTATGATCCATGCTACCCTGCACTGTATAGTTTACAAGGGTTCACCTGGCTAACACAGACAGTCCCCGAACTCGTAATAGAACTAAAATAAGGATGATCGGAATAAGAATAAAATTATGGTCTAATCCTAACTTGGTGCACATACTACGGGAGTACCCACTTGCACTCATTGTACAATGATGCTGATGTATTGTCCATTTATTAACATAAAATACTATAATTTCAAACAGAATGAAACTGGAGGAGATTGGAATATTAGCAAAAAGAATGAAGACTGGTCTTGAAAAACTGGTCGAAGCTGAAAAATCTGTGAATGAATTGTCTAAAGAGTTGGCAGTAAAGGAAAAAGATCTTGCTGTCGCATCTAAGGAAGCAGATGAGGTGAGACTATCAGAAATAGGAAGACATATTAGATTTTTTGTACAAATCTACTGCCAAAATCACCCCCGCTAATTCTATAAAGACTATAAATAAAGAATATAAAGGCTATCAAGCCTATAAACGAGCAGAAATATAAAGTCAGAGAACAACTCTTTCTTTGATGAAGTTGAATCTCTCATGGGATCTTTTGTACGAATCCCGACTAAAAACCCACCAGCGCTCAAAATAAGAAACATTAGTAATTATCCGGTTAGGGTTTGGGAATGCAGATTGCGTTGGCAATTCAAATTTTTAAATCATTTCTAACCGTAACCCCAACTGGAAAATTACTAATTTGTTATTTTAAAACGTGGCGGGGGTGTTTTTCCTAAATCTCACATTTTGAATTACTAGAGGGGCTTTGTAAAGGGTACATTTGGCGCTGAGCATTTTAGCAGATGAATCCCATTCTGCCGACTTGTGTGTGCGTGCGTCTACTAAATAACCTAATACTTGGTGAGCGAACACGTACCTCTTATTTTGACAACACTTTTTAATCTGTATATTTTGAACCTAACTAAAGGATTTGTTCGCTTACCTGATTCTGTAATAAGTTTTATTTATTTTGTTTTATCATCTTTGTTTTTATCGTCTTTTATGCTGATTATGAAAACAAAATAAACTTTTACTCATACTCTATATCAACTTGGGCTGAACTCTTTTCAAAAGAATTATTTTTATCCAAGGTGTTGAAAGTCGTGACTACAAAAGCTACAGCGGCGGAAGCGGTCAAAGCGGAAGTTCAAAAGGTCAAAGACAAAGCCCAGAATATTGTCGATGTGATTGCTGTCGACAAAGGACAAGCAGAAGAAAAACTCGAAGCAGCAAGACCAGCTCTTGCAGCTGCAGAGGCCGCTTTGCAGGTAGCGTTCGCGATTGTTTGATATTAGATGGTGTAAAATTCAGTGGTTCTCAACCTTTTAAATCTCGTGGCCACCTTTTGGAGGCTTTTAGCACTCACGACCCCCATTTGTCATTACAGTGGTATTTATAGTGTTATTTTGATTGGAAGATTTCAAATCCCATTCATTTCAAACAATTCATGCTCAAGAAAGTGAAACACACTGCTGTGATAAAACCTTTGCCATGCAATGAAGCTGGGAAGAACGGGGAGTTTTCATGTGAAGGAAAAAGTAAAATCAGTTTTTCGTCTAGCATTGTGGCCGCCTTAGGGGGCCACGGGCCGCCGATTGGGAACCGCTGAAGTAAATAATGAATAACACCTACTACGTTATATATGAATGTAATGCTGGATAGTGCAATACACTTCATTTTGGTGAAAGATTCTGGCTTAGTCTCTCGAACTCATATCTTATTGTATCCGTTGGAAGATACAATAAACTAGGTGGGAAATGCCAAATCGTGAAGATATATAGCTCATTACATGAAAAACAACATTTTTTAAAATAGAAACGCTTGTAAAATGTCTAATTCACTAATCAGCCTTCTGGCGGTACTGTATTTGTCATTCAACCATAGTTTGTCCTCGTTTCCCTGAAAACTGTTCATCTAAAAGCTACAAATATTTATTTTCACAGACCATCAAGCCAGCAGATATTGCCACCGTTCGTAAACTCGGCAAACCTCCGCATCTTATCATGAGAATTATGGATGTTGTACTAATTCTGATGCAACGTAGGGTCAATCCTTGTGAACAGGACCCTGAGCGACCAACCTCAAACAAACCATCTTGGGGAGAAGCTCTTAAGCTAATGAACAATTCGGGATTCCTCGGAATGTTGCTGAACTTCCCCAAGGTAAGCTATGGTTGCCGTCTTAACCCCTAATACGATGAATAATTTCAAATTTAGACGGAGTGAGCTATCTCGTTTTAGGTTAATAACATATGCAAGCTATCTTCTACGGTAGTTCAAAAATTATGGTTTTGAGTGCTACAGAATAGTTTGTAGAAGCGTATAACATAACTCGTGGACATCTTTAAATTTAAAAGTTTTCAAAAGTCTTCATTGTTGATATGGATGTTTCCCCGAGCATCGATTTCCTTATTTATTTCCGTAACAATTACAAATCAGCAATAAGTTAACAATGACGTAACAATTGGAATTTATGTCGCCGCTCAGACACTTCTTTCGCTCAGACAGTCTCAGACTAATAACATTATATACTTTCATACCACAGGACAGCATTAACGGTGAAACGGTTGAACTCGTCCAACCGTATTTGCAAATGGAAGACTTTAACATCGATTCGGCTAAGAAAGTCTGTGGTAATGTGGCTGGGTTGTGCTCATGGGCTGAAGCTATGGCTTACTTTTACACCATCAACAAAGAAGTCTTACCACTAAAGGTATGAATAGTTATTGTGGAAATGACCTTTTTTGAATAAATAAGTTAATTCAAACGAACTAATTTCTAAACGCTTCTGATTATAATAGAAAAGGAACGAACCTCCTTCGTCAACAAATTTATCCCACTTGAGATAGAACCCGGAATTATTGAAGTTTACTTGAAAAAAATGTTAATTTGCCTTACATGGAGAATCTCGAAGTTAGCAATTGAGAAAAAAAAAATTGTCATTCCGATTACAATTAAAAATGTATATTATAAAAACGAAATTGCCCTTAAGGATTCAAAACAAAAAATGCAAAAACACCAAACTTGTAAGCTACCATAAGCTATATGTATTTAAGTTGGAGCAACATAAAATGGGTCTTCCTAGTCATCTTTATCCACCGCTTTTGTCACATTGTTGTTGTATTCTGTTTATTAAAGTCCAATTATCCAATCATTTTGTGCAGTAATTTTAAACCGTCTAAGTGCTCCCGAAGTATTCGTACCAAGTTGCCGCACAACCTGAACATAGTATGTGTACCAGTCTAGGGTTGTTCAGATTGTGCGTCATCTTGGTACAAATACTTCCGGAGCGCCGTAAAATCACTGACATATCGACTTCGAAACTCGATTGTCTGTGAGTCCCAGCTCCCATCTGTTTACTGTCGCGCAAGTCTTCATTATAAATTCAATTATACTGAAGTTGCTACGTCGTATCTGTTTTCTTGAATAAACTTTGTGTCTCGCTTTATGACTCGCGGTTATTGGAACTTACCTATGCGCGATTCTTTCTATACTTTGTACCAGCAGCTCTCAGTACTTTTGTGTCGCTCTTAACTTCGTTTAAAGATTAATCTAATGTAATGTTGTGTGCTTCGCTTTCGGAAAATTTCTTTGGAGAATAAAAAATGGCCATCTCTTACAGAGGTATCATAGGATAGGATTTACATATTTATCTCGGGGGAGAGAAAAGCCGATAAGACGGCTTAACAATATGACGAACCACGGCCTCTCGTCCGGTTGCCATTCTATGTCGGATATGGTATTAGCTAGTTATTTGTTTTCAATGCATGGACTTGGTGGTGGAGAAAGCCGTAACCGACCAGCGGTTTCATCTGTTTACAGTTTAACACTTGTCCAATTAACAGACAAAATATTACAAATTACTTTATCAGGCGAACTTAATCGTCCAAGAAGCAAAACTTGGGAAAGCAATGGCAGATTTGAACGCAGCACAAGCGACATTAGACGAAAAGAATGCTGAATTGAAGGTTGTGCAGGACCAATATGACAAGGCAATGGGACACAAACAAGCTCTCATTGATGATGCGGAAGCCTGCAAAAGAAAAATGATCAACGCCAGTGCTTTAATTGAAGGTCTCGGTGGCGAGAAGGTATATAGTCAATGTACACGTTCAAGCATGAATCATATGAGAAGTGTGTTTCACTAGTTCGTAAAACACCTTCAGATGTTCAGCGTCAAATCGTTGTCTCACGTTTCTTGATTGCCATTGTTTATGACAACAAATGTAATCAAATATATATATATATATATAGAGAGAGAGAGATTATATATATAATCAGGCGTTTCAGAAGTATGTGCACCTAGATGGCGCACAATCTGAACCATAATCTGGTACACATACTATGTTCAGGTCGTGTGCCATCTTGGTGCACATACTTCTGGAGGTTCTATAATCAATAGGACAGAGGTCCATAGATCCCTAGAAATGTTTCATCTAGATTCCGCGTTAGCAGAAAGGTTGAAATTCACTGATTGAAGGTCACCCTTATAAAAAGTAAACAAAAACTATATAATTATTGTTCTCAAGGTGCGCTGGACTGCAGCAGGTATTGCTTTGCAAAGAGGTACCAATTATTTGGACAATTTGTCTACTGATAATGAGTGCAAATGAATATTAATTTTTAAAATGCAGAAAACAAAAACTATAACTATTTGTTCTCAAGGTGCGCTGGACGGCAGCAGGCAAACGTTTCCAAGATCAAATCAACAGGCTTATCGGTGACGTACTCCTAGCTACCGGATTCCTTTCCTATTCTGGACCTTTCAATCAAGATTTCCGAAATCTTCTCATCAATTCTTGGAAGAAAGAAATGGCTGTCAACAAAATTCCGTATTCGGAGGTATTCCGATTTCAAAAATATTTTCTAGTCAAAATATATTTTATATAATTTCAGAAAATTACGAAGGCTAACTAATGATATTGTTACTCAATTTTTTATGACATGAATTTAAGTTAATACAATAGAAGACCATATAAAATCGCCAAACATCAACCTTTTACTTCATCTTTTTGTATTGTTTATTCTCAATGTGTACTTTTGTATGCTGGAAAAATAAATTTTCTGATTACTGAAGGTTTGACATTCTGTTCATTCAATTCAAATATTTCGTCACCCAAGAAATCAAATTTTCGAAATTTAATTTCTATAACTTTCATTTATAACAGTGATTCTTCAAGTTGTATGTAGATAGTCATAGTCAAGTTTATCTATTCCATCCAGTAAACATACAAAATTGACAGAATACAAAACTGAAAATACATTTTTACTGGGGAAGGGTAGTCGCGGGGAACCAGGAATGGTTATCGATCACCGGCACCAGGTGTCAATATCTAATTGAATTTATAAGGAAATTGAGTTTTTAAAACACTTTTATTATGAATGAGCATGACTTTGGCAGCTGAACCACATATGGCATCCAATAGACATGAAAGTTATATGAGACGACCATGAATTGTACACTGCAACATCTCTAATCGAACCCATAACCTAAAAAGCTTCAAACCATTATTTACTTTGCTCCATTAGCAAATTGCTCCATTTGCTCCAAATTAGTATATACAACCTTATACTTTTTTTCAGGACATCAATTTGATTTCCATGCTGGTCGACAATGCTACAATAGGCGAGTGGAATCTGCAAGGACTTCCCAATGATGAACTGTCCGTTCAGAACGGTATTATCGTCACTAGAGCAACGCGATATCCATTGCTGATTGATCCACAAGGTCAAGGAAAAATCTGGATCAAAAATAGAGAGAAGAACAATGAATTCCAGGTATATTACATACTTTGCAAGATCCAAGTTTCAAAATTTATTTTTTCATCTTCTTCTTGACTAAGAATAACGCTGAACGCAAGCAGTAGCTCAAACTATCTATGATCAAATAACACCGCTGCCGCCGCTCAAAATAACTAAATTAGTTATTATCCAGGTAAAATTTGGATTGGAGTTTGGGAACGCAAATTGCGTTATATTTGGCCGGGGCTTCGTACAAAGGATCTGTCTGTAAGGAAATGAACTTTGTATGAATTTGTACATCTCGAGATATTGATCTCGTACTTTTGACTTGTGATGCAAACGTAAAAAATTTGAATACATCAGTGCTATTAAGCGCATTAACTATAGTTAACTTTTTAAGCGAAACCAAAATAAGCGATACGGCTTCCTCAATCATAAATGAATGTGGAACAAATGAAATTGGTCAACTAATCTCATATCCAACATGGACTGGTAACCGGACGGTAGCTCTTGGTTCTCCATATGATTGAGCTGTCTTATCGGCTTTCCTCGCCCCCGGGATGAATATGTAAATTCTATTCGAACCTATACTAAGCGGTTCGCTCTTTGTGTCACGTTGTAGCATTTAGAAATTGAGTCATTTCTTAACATTTGTTCTGTTCAGGTCACCACACTGAATCACAAATATTTCCGAACCCATCTTGAAGATGCACTTTCTCTTGGAAGGGCAATGATTATTGAAGATGTCGCTGAAGATCTTGATCCTGCTCTGGACAATGTACTCGAACAAAACTTCATCAAGTCTGGTTCTACTTTCAAGGTAATTTCCTGGTGATTTCATTGATAATTAAAAAGAGAGAGATTTATTTTTCGCCAATCAGAAAAAGGAGCATTGCAACAATAAAAAGATATACATTAACATAGGTAGAGTTCTTCGGTATTGACTGAGTGGAGCGATATGACCATACGGTCATCAGAGTCAGTTCCCCAATATTCACTATTTTAATTATGTATATAAGACTTGGCAGTTTGTATTGTACATACACATACTTTACATTAATACTAAATAAGTGAAGATTGTTTGTAACAAAACATGAAAATAGAAGTAAATTGCCAACCTGCGTCCCTAAAACAATGTTGGAAAACACTACTCTAGATACACATCTCTCACTACCAGTCAATGATGCTCATGAGCTGCAGCCAGTAGCTTAAGTCGGGAATGAAAATATATCAGAGTGAGATATTTTACCTCTGGTATTCTGTTAATGGTATTTGAGACTTAACTTGTTCGAGTAGTCCAATATTAAGTTGGCAGTAATGGCATTTGACAAATTTTGTTTACAATATTCAAAGCATTAAAATCTCTGCTGTGTTGTATCTCTGCTGTATTGTATTTGACGAGTTTTTTATAATATTCAAAGCATTGAAATTTCTGCTGTGTTGTATTCCTTTTTCTAACAGATATTTCAAGGGGACTCTTCCGAAAAATCATTCGGTTATGTTGGTTTACCCAATTAATGCAAAACTTCTTGATTAACTGGGAAAAAAAAGTAACGACATACAGTCTTGTATTAAAACTATGAAAACGTGGCAGCAGAATAATTATTAAGTAAACTCAGCATTCAACATCTTTATCCCTATATGCCGAAGATTTTCCAAAATCACAAAAACAAAAATCGGACTATTTCCAAGTAGTTATTTATTAAATTGTCATATTTTCATATAATACGATGTTTAAAAATGAAAACCTATACTATCTAAACAGGTTAAAGTTGGTGACAAAGAGGTTGACGTAATGAAAGGGTTCAAGTTATACATCACAACAAAGCTTGCCAACCCTGTCTACACACCTGAAATATACGCCAGGACTTCTATCATTGATTTCACTGTAACAATGAAGGGACTTGAAGATCAACTGCTGGGTCGTGTCATCTTGACTGAGAAGCAGGTAAGAATATTGATAAATTCTTAGGCTTTTATGTTGGATAATAATGATTGTTAAAATATGTGTCTGTATTTTTTATACTATTGTATTTACATGCCACGTTACGACGCCATTGTATTATGACACTTTATTGATAATAACCAGATTTTTTGCATCATTTTCTTGAGATTTTTAGTTGTTCTGACATTATGTTTTCGAACAATTTATCTCATTAACCCTTAATATGCTTCCGGATCAATGCTTCAAAGATGTCGTGACCCACTTGCAGGGGCAAAGACTTGAAATTGAAAAATGGTTGGCGTCTGAAGTTAGACCGTAACAGCTAGCGGCTCTGACGTGGACTTTTAAGAGTCTTTGGGGTCTAATAAATGTTTTAAGCTACAAATAATTGTTATGTATGATTCAGAAAATTGCTTTTTTCTACATTTCAAAATGGAGGTTCTGTCCCCACAACCCAATCTCCTTCTGGACACGCAATTGCCCCACTTGTTTCATTTGAAATATCATGTACATTTTCATACTGGAAGGATTTTATATAAACCTATCTTATATGTGGTAGTATTTAACACTGACATCATTTTAGGAACTAGAAGCAGAGCGTGTGGCATTGATGGAAGAGGTCACAGCAAACAAAAGAAAAATGCAGGAACTCGAGGATAATCTTCTGTATCGTCTCACATCGACTGAAGGATCCCTTGTGGAAGACGAGTCTTTGATTCAAGTGTTGAAGGTTTGGCTGTTTGTGTATTATATTAAACAAAAATAAAAGTTTAAAATTTCATTTACCAAGCGCGCATTCGCTTACATATGTTTCAATTTGGTTTGTTCTAATTTGTGGAATTTCACATATCTGGTCAAAATATAAGGAATGAAGCAAACTTGATACAGGTAACCAAAGAGACAGCAGAAGACGTCAGTGAGAAACTTACTGTTGCTGCAGAAACAGAGGTGAAGATCAACACAGCACGTGAAGAATTCCGACCCGTTGCAACTCGAGGATCGATTCTATATTTCTTGATCGTGGAAATGTCTCTTGTGAACGTCATGTACCAGGTAAAAATAGTTTTTTTTTTTCTGTAAAAATTTTTTTTTTTGGCACATGGCACATTGTTGTAGTGTTTGAAGAGCCATCATACTTTTGTATGTAATGCTGGAGAAAAGGGGCTCGTCTTTGAGGCATGGAGTGATTGTATGCAAAAAAATTTCCGACATGTAAATATGTTAAGTATTGTTAAAAAATAGTTGCTCGGTTGTTCGCACATCATGGTAGAATTTGTAAACACCACATTATTCCGTGTATTTTTCTGAAAATTTTTATATTTTGCGAGAAAGAATTGATGTCATGTAAGGGTGAATGACGTATATATGATTACTTAGATCAAGCCATTACAAAAAGAATGAACCAGATAACTTTTCACCCGCGCGCCTCACCCTCGTGACAGGCAATGATTTCCCCAACTTATAGGGAGCGAATACACCCATCAGATTCCAAACACCCATCTATTTTGATTACTAATCGGTTTTATTGCTAGTAGCAAAATATTTACTGCTCCCTAAATTTCGAAACACCCCTTCTCCCCCTAAAACGAAAACGTGGGGCACATACTGGTAACAGGGGCGGTATGCAGGTTCCGCCATATGATTTATTTTTTGTTTTTTACTAAAGAAACAACAGGAAGGGAGTAGGAATAGCGTACTTTTTATCAGAATAGAACGTGATTAGCAACATCCTCTGTCCTTAATAAAGTACAATTAGTTGTGAAGAATAGCACAACAATACGACCTCAAACAATAATTTATCAACACGATTCATATGTAAACTTTGTGTCCAATGATATGTGCTTATACCTTTGATGATTCGTCGTTGGCTAGAAACTGCAAAACATAGCAATTGTGTTTTCCAACATTATTTGTAAGGCATATATCAATGTTTATAAGTTAATAGTACGGAGACTTCTATTTTACTAACCCAAACTAAACATATATTTCAAATCTTTAGACCTCTCTACGCCAATTCCTTGGGCTTTTCGACTACTCTCTCGAGCATTCGGCAAAATCACCAATTCCAGCTAAGAGAATATCAAATATCATTGAGTATCTTACGTTTGAAGTGTTCAAGTACACAGCGAGAGGATTATATGAGGAACACAAGTTCTTGTATACGCTTCTACTCACCCTAAAGATCGATTTAAATGCTGGAAACATTACCTATCAAGAGTTCCAAACCTTCATCAAAGGTATATACATAAGTATATATATTTAGGTGTTCGGAAATTTCGCAACTGGAAATTTCCCCGCTGGAAATTTCGTCGCATGAAAAATCGCCGCAAGAGCATTTTGCTGTAAAACAAGTATTTGTAATGAAAACAGTCAGGGTTTTAGGGATAGGGTTAGGGTATTCTCTCAAATAACAAATCTTTTTTAATAAAAAGGACATTCAAAAACCTAACTGTTTTTATCAGAAATACTTGTTTTATAGAAAAATGCTCTTGCGGCGAATTTTCTAGAACCATATATATATATATATATTTATAGTGGTGATAACCAGTGGCGGGTAGAAATTTTTAGAAAATATTCTTTGTGGAATCGCTAACAACTTCCCACATTTAAAAAAAACATGCCTATAGAGAAGAGAAAGGTAGAGTTTTGCACAACGCCAACTGATAGCATCATCATTCTGATCTCGATTTCCTGAATATAGGACGCTTCACCATCCGCCCTCGACTGATAGAATAGCAGATTTAGGGGTACTTCCGCAGTGTGTGTAACAGGTTAGGGTGAGACCATGACTTTATTTCGATTTGACATATTTTAGTTCCATTACGAGCGGGGACTGTCTGCGTTAACCAAGTGCATATACCGCCTGCCCATAGGTTTCAGTCCCTTTACACAACTTGATGTAAAGTATAGACGATCAAAATTAGTTACCTCCATACTAGTACACACACTTCTGGAGCGCCGATTTAGGTATGCGTCTTATAATGAAGGGATATCAAAGGATTGAAATATATAAATATATTAAAAACATGAACGCTGTGTTTTTCTAGGCGGTGCAAGTTTGGATATGAACGCCGTTGAGCCCAAACCAAAGAAATGGATTCAGGACATGACATGGTTGAATTTGGTGCAGCTGAATAAACTTCCACAATTCTCACAACTTCTGAACCAAGTCAGCAGAAATGACAAGGTAATGTCAAATTGTAAAATTGTCTTTGTCATCTAGAATTGGGCATTTTCGAAAACCTGATGATTACAGAATCGAATCGAGTCTAAAATACTTGGAAGATATTCAATTGTACTTGACTTTTTTATTGTAATAGGGACTTAACCTACTGTAAATATAGAATTCATCACTCCGATAATTTTCTGAGCGTTCACACACATTAGGTAACATGTATTCGCGTAAAAATGCTCATTTGCCATGATATTGTTTTTAAATTATTTGGAAACGAATTTTGCCTTGTATTCGCTGTATTATTTTTTTTTATCTTTTTTATTATCATATTTTAAAATCGGGAGTTCGACTTGCACATAACACTAGCTAGGAATTCATTGAAGACCAAAACAAATGAAGTAGTTATATGCCTAGTGAGGGAGGAATAAAGAGTTCCTTACATTCCTCACAAATTCCTTATTTTAATTTTACCTAAAACATCAAAATTTGGTTTCACTTCGGTTGTGGCAGCCTCAGGCGGGCCGGATTGAATAACCCAACGGGCCGGATTTGGCCCGCGGGCCGTACTTTGCCCATATCTGCACTAGAACATCGCCCCCATTAAAATTTGCAATTGTATCAATACAGGGATGGAAAAATTGGTTTGATGAGGAGGCACCAGAAGAATTTACAATGCCGGAAGGTTACTCGTCCTCACTTGACACTTTCAGGAAGTTACTCTTGATCAGAAGTTGGTGTCCGGATCGTACAACAGCACAGGTAATTACAAATACTTTGGTTAGTAGAGGGATATAAAGTATGTTCACTCGCTCAATAAAGAAATAAGATACTTCATTCACTTAGTAAAAAAATGACAATACACAAAACACAGTACGAAAATCCAAGATGTAAATACTTTAAATGAGGTTAAAACAGAAGACTTAAAAGTGCCACATAATCAATCTCATCTTGTGACATAGAGTATGAGTGGAAAACATGATGAAAATCGGGCTTTACGGATAGGATACAGATAGGATAGGATTCACATATTTATCCCATGGAGATATGGAAGCCAAAAGAAGCTTAATCATATGGCGAATCCCTGCCTCTCGACCGATTACCAGTCCCTGTGGTGTATGGGATTGTTTTCGGAAGCATGTACTTGATGACGGAGGAAGCCGTATCCAGAGGTTACGTGAACCATCCTCCGGCGGCGAAGAGTCCAGCAACCCTTTCGCAAATAATTACCCTGCAAAATCAAAGGTTCGGTGGTGAGCATATTTCTAACGCTTAGCACGATGCACCACACCGCCGAGCCATATTACACGGATATATATATATGTAGAAAAACACGATGAGAGCTCCCAAAATCGAGCGTTGAGATTGAAAGCATCATGAAAAACACCATGAGTGACTGTTCAATCGTGCTTTGGACTTTTGAATGGGAGCTAGAATGACGGACAATATCCAATCAACTCACAGATTTTTTTTTTATATATATGTAAATAATATAGTAATGCAGTTTTCGGTGTGTGTTCAGTATAAAAGCATATGGCGATTTTAAAAAGTTGAGAGTTGTGAGGCAAGACTATTAAAAAAACGTTTAATGGGCCTATAGTAGTCTCCCAATGGGCTTCACAAAATTAAGTAGTGAAGGGGAAGTAGTATCGGATACAAAAATGGGCACGAAAATTGGAAATATCAAGTTAATTGTTTTTAAATTGCACAGGCTCGTCATTACATTGCTTCGTCCATGGGTGCCAGATACACGGAGGCTGTTATTCTTGATCTTGACGGGATGTTGGTTGAATCGACAGCAAGAGATCCCATGGTTTGTTTCCTGAGCATGGGTTCTGATCCGACTGAGAATATTGAGAGACTAGCACGAGCCAAGGGAATACGTAAGTAATATTTTGGGACCTTTTCTAGCATTTTACATCTGGAAGACACAAAATTTAGAATATAAAACTCTAACGGCCCGTGGGTCTCGTCTTTATGTCCGATATCGGTCCAGAAAGGGCATTAATATACCCAAACATTGTCCTAAACGCAGATATAGAGGCATGACCAATTTTGCTTTATGTAATTACAAAAAAAAAAGGTTAGACTTACAAATTGAAGAAGCATTTACTTTCAATACGAAATACTACCGTAGTTAGGCGTTATTTGGCGATACAACTTGAAAGACAGTTCCAGAAAAAGAATATTATTCACTATGGCCCGCAAAACCTAAGTGAAATAGTTTACCACTTTGCGTCTAGACACCACAAAGCATAACGTTATTATCATCGTTTAGGCAAGTGTATATTTGTAACAATTCAGCTCAGTATCTTAATTATACGTACCGGTACTGGTATCGTCCCCTCGAGGGCGCTCCCCTCTCCAGGCGAATATTTTTCAGCTTCCAATTTTGGCCCACGGTCAATCAACTTTGGAAACTACTGAGTTCTGAAATGATTGCTGGGCGTTTGAAATTTTGCATAAGACTATTTTCGGCGTTCGTGTTTTCAAAAAAGATCTGTAACATAAACAGATATAGGTATCAAAACATGACTTACATCCTTGAGAAATTCACGTCTGAATTCTCGTATATTACAGCCTGTCGTGCTCTCTCCATGGGACAAGGTCAAGAGGTCCACGCAAGACGAATTGTGACTCAGTCCTTCCAGGACGGTGGATGGGTCTTGCTGCAGAATTGCCATCTTGGACTCGATTACATGGATGAACTACTCGATCAGGTACGAAAAGAAGAGATTACTGACCATAGTTCATTTTAAAATATTTAAGAATATTTTGCTTTCGACTAACAACAAGTCTCTGCAGAAGCTTCCTCTAATATAATGAATTCAAAAACATTGAAATATTCAACGTTTTTTTTTTTACGTTTTTCACTCCGTATAATGCCCAACTGATATATCGAGTCCAAAGATATTGAGGGTATTTTTTTTAACATTTTTGAATGTCCCCCATAACCACTGATACATTGAATCCCAAAATATTAGAGATTAGGTTTTATACAACGTTTTCATTTCACTCCTAACAAGAATCTGTCCACGGAGTCTATATTATTAATGGTGACCGTACATTTGAACCCATGTACATTTGAACCCATGTACATTTGAACCCATGCGTCTATCCACGGGTTCAATCTATATGCGGGTGCTAAAACCCATGGGTTAGGGTTAGTATGGGTTTAACTATCCGTGAAACAAAAAAAAATTCTATAGCTGCAATAGCATACAGGTGCAATTGTCATGGGTTCAAATGTACGTGGGTTCAAATGTAATGGAACCATTATTAATATATGTATATTGTTACTTATCGATTTTAATCTGTAAGTACGTTGATAGGTATTTGTCTGTTTGTCTGTCTGTTAGATGCACGCGATATCTCACGAAAGTGAGATTGGATCTGCTGCAGATTTTGCATGTGCATTCATCATATCTCGGACCAGAAGCCCATCAATTTTGGGCGAATTATGTCTTATAATTAGCGAGTTATCAATTAATCAGTGATGGGACACAAAATGTCACTATGGAGTAAGAGCGCTGTTGTGGGATCCCCTAACTTTCGATCGATAAGTCTTCGGTCTCTGACCGATATTCTCGTTTTAATATTATCATAAACATATTAGGTTACCCACTATTATAAACTTGCGACACTTTAAAAAACATTCGCCAGCATTCGGTTTGCTTTCATATATATACTGTATTTATAATTTATACAATTTAGCAAATAAACTATTGCAACGCAACACTCGAGCTTCTGGAATATTTTTGTGAGATTCCACTTCACCGAAAAGATTGAAAATCACTGCCTCAACCACCGGGCCATCGAGCCAACTAACATTCCCACCGCATTTCACGACGTACTAAGCGTGAAGCCCGGCTATTATTTAGTCACACAAAAACTGAATAATTAATATTTTTCAGCTTGCAACTACTGAAAGCATCAATGACGGGTACAGGACTTGGGTCACGACTGAGGTTCATCCTCGCTTCCCTATCAACTTGCTTCAGACTTCGATCAAATTCACAAACGAACCACCGCAAGGAATAAAGGCTGGTTTGAAGCGAACTTATGCCGCCATTACTCAAGTAAATAAACTGTTATGTTTCTTTAATTTTTTCTTCTTCTATCAATTAAGGAAAAACAGGATGTCCATGAATTCGCGCACCAAGGTATATATCTAAATACCAGAGATACACAAACTTTGGAATCATTCGATATTGATTACTGATACACAGTCTTCTCTGATTCATCATGTTAATTAACATTCTAAAGTTAAAATAAAAGTTAAATGAGGAGCTAAAATTAATTGTGAGTTTTCCGCGATTTTATGGTCGCCCTGTATACAAGAAACTACTGATACTTCTGTGCTCTAAAAATGACAGGATTTGGTCCCTGCCATATGCGAATGGACTCGCCTGGCAAGTACTTTTGACCCTAATACACTAGTAAGTAGTCATAGTTTATGCCCGATTCAGAATTTACTATAAGTAATTGACTACATTCTATTTAATATGGCTTGCGTTGGTTCCGTCGGCAGTCCTTGTATTAAGAGCATTTTCAAATAAATATCCGCGAGTTTATTACAGTACGAATATTAAAATTTCTTTCTCTGATTTTCAGGAATTCCTCGACATTTCTAACATGCCACAATGGAAGCCAATGTTGTTTTGCGTTGCATTCTTGTACACGACAGTCCAAGAAAGACGTAAGTTTGGACCTCTGGGATGGAACATTCCTTACGAATTTAACCAAGCTGACTTCACAGCCAGTGTGCAGTTTATTCAAAACCATTTGGACGACATGGACATCAAGAAGGTAGATGGAGACAGAATTTTCTCTCCCAGTTTTTTATTATCTTCCAGGACAGGGAATAGAGTGTATTGATAACCGGTATTGTTTTTTTGCGTCTCCCTTCACCCTGGAATGCCATTTTTACGTTACTGATACACGGGCATCGAGTAGCCGTCTGTAAATAAGCTATTTATCTGCTCTATGCACATGCTCATTATAAAGTAGCCATAATCAATTTAGCGCTATGGCTAGGCACCACAATGAGGCGGGAAAACAAGATTGGATATATACTACTGACTGTCACCTAAGTCTGAATTTGAATGTATATCTAAATATTACGTATAATTGATCTACTTGTTCTCGACGCGTTTGAAAGCCCGAATGAGTATAATATAGTACGGTAAATTGAAATATTTCAATATGTTGGTATGTGACAACATTTTCTGGGTGTAGAAATATTGGTTTATAAAACACAATAACTTGATTAGAATTACGTTTATAATCGAAAAGCAACCAAAAACTTGTTCCGGTTTAAAATCCACATTATGCATTCTCTATATTAAAGATCATATACTGATGACGCTCAGTTCCATTTTTAATGTATATTTAACCCCGACTTGAAAGCGTTTTTGGCCTAGGAGTCCAGAATGTCATGATGTGATTGGCGTTGCACTAAATTTACTTATCCACTCCAAAAACTCTCAATTCAGATTCAGTCAAATTCTCAATTCCGTCACTCATTTCTTGTATTCAATTTTGATTCAAAAAATAAGTATCATCTCCTATTATAACAGGGTGTATCCTGGAACACAGTACGCTACATGTTAGGCGAGATCCAGTTTGGCGGAAGAGTCACAGATGATTTGGACAAAGAATTACTCAACACTTATTGCAAAGTGTGGTTCGGTGAACACATCTTCTCAGACAAGTTCATGTTTTACAAAGGTTTGTATCCTAACATATAGAAACTTTATTTTCCACTCATATATATCCCTCTACCTCTATATTCGAATTGTACAAATTAGTTGAAATAGACAAAAACTTATCTAACACGCTTGTACAGTGGTTCTCAAACTATTTCAGCATTGCGCCATTTTTAGAGTTTGTCAAGTCTCGCGCCCCATCCCAACAATAACTAACCAATAATAAGCTACGAATAACAGATAGTGAGGCAAGATTATGGACCTTGCTTGAGCCTATATGTGTAGTATGAATTCATTTTGTAGATCACAGATATTATAGTCCCAACATAATAATGTAATTGCAGAATTCAACGCGTGTCATATTTGTTTTGACATAGTATAAGATCAGGTGAATTTGAAGCGGAAAGTATGCTATAACGGCCCGAAATTAATGATTTAAAGCGCGAAATTGGTGATTTATTTTTGAAGACCTGTAAAGGGAACAATATTTAGCGCTTTTTAACAATGTTGATTTACTATCATTTCACCTGTTTGTAATTCTTATAATGCATTGCTTATCACATATACACTACATTATTATTAGTCATATTAAAACCTATTTTAATATTTCCGTGACAGGCTACGTCGTTCCAAAAGTAAAAACGATTGGCGAATACCACACTTACATCGATAATCTACCATTGGTCGACACCCCGGAAGTCATGGGATTGCATCCGAATGCTGATATCACTTATCAGGTGAAGGATAATATTGAAATTAAGAATTTTTTTTGGAAAATGGCGTTGAAACTTGAGGGCGAAGTTTGAGAATGTCGAGCTTGTGTACTGATCATTTGTAATAACTAGTGCGATAAAAATAAAACTTGCTGTCAAATATGGTATCCCAAGTCTGTCTGTGGAGGAACCATTCAAGCGGTGATTGCGGCCATTCAACTATACCTAAATACTTAACAGCACTACGCATCTTGCATAGCTGTATATATAACATGTTGTCTATAGGGCAGGATAAAAAGCTCAATTCGAAGAAGGCCGTCGAAATTGGGGTGCGAACCATATAGCCATTCCATCCACTTATATGCTGTTTATATCGCAGCCCAACGTTCCTCTACGAAGAAAGCCATTGAAATGGCTATTGTGGCCGTATATGAGATACAACCCTTTCATTGTTATAAATACCGTTTGACAAACCGTCGAACAATAAACCCGTCCTTGTGAAATTTCCAAAAAAAGTACTCATTTGCCTGAGAAGACAGATGATGATGATGCTATGTTTTCCCGTTTTAACTTTGATTGATTCTTTTTCAGACCAACTTTGCAACAACCGCTCTTTCAACTATCGTTAGTATCCAACCGAAAGAATCCAGCGCTGGGGCAGGAGAAACCCGTGAAGATGTTGTGAAAAGACAAGCTGAAGAGATTCTTGGAAAATTACCAGATGATTTCTTACCTCATGAGGTAAACTCTATGTTCATCACCATGCCTTGGGCGTAATAAATGCGGTAGTAAATGCTAAAGCAAAAAGATTTCAATCATTCCAAACTAAAATTTTACATTTTCATCATAAAACTTGTAAATTTGAAACAAGAAAATTAGCTTAGTAAAGTTCTGATTTGAATAATATTTAATTCTCCCTCTTTAGAAGCTCAAAAATAAATCTTTGCTCTTAGTCAAAAGCGCTTCATTACTCACTAGCAACTAGCGAAGCTGTTTTTACTTTCCAATCTAATAGGTAGTTTTGGCTATGCTCTAAAATGGACAATAGAAGCACCGTGTTATTTTGCTTTGGAGCGACTAATCAAAATATACAGGGACTTCATACCGCTTCCTTTATCATAAAGTCCATGCATCTGAAACAACTAAAAGGAGAACTAATCTAATGGAAGAGCTAGTCCAACATCTATGCTAACTTTTATATAATAATAAAAAGCACAATGTAACAATCGAGTGCATTATGACGTTATTTTCATTGATATCTTCGGCTGAACATCCGTAAAAACTATAGTCGTAATTGCAGCAAACACAAGTGGGCCGAGGGAAACACTTCTGTGGGCCGGATTCAGCCCGCCATTGCCCACCGCGGCTATAGGACGATTTTGAGCTTACTCTTTTTTTCTTCTGTTGTCTAGGTCAAATCTCGCCTACAGAAGATGGGTGCCATTCAGCCAATGAATATTTTCCTCCGCCAAGAGATTGATCGTATGCAGAGGGTCATTACTATTGTGAGAAACACACTCATAGACTTGAAACTTGCTATTGACGGTAAGATATTGATTTGAGTATTAATTATTAATCACTTTTTTTGTAAATTGAATCCTGAGATAGTCTCACTGAGAATACTTTTGGATCACAAATATTGATTAAATTTAGCAACCAAGACACTTTTCTGATTTTATCATGTCATAGCCTTACGAAATTAAATTCTGGATTGATTTTGATCATTATCTCACAATCTATATATATGTATATATACGAGACAGTGGCTTGTACAAGGCTCGTATATATATAAGGTGGTGGTGGTCCCCATTCGGTGGCTTTCATCGTTCATGGCCCTTGCTCATCACTTCAGTGGTATTTGTAGTGGTATTTTGATTGGAAGATTCAAAATTCCTTTATGTTCAAACAATTCATGCACAAAAAAGTGAAAACACCTTGTGAAATAGACTTGTCAAGCAATAATTTAGGAAGAACAGAGAGTTTTCTTGCAGAGTGAAAAGTAAAATCAGTTTTGCGCTTAGCAAAATAATCACGTGCTTAGTCAGTCGACACAGCGCCCAATATTCCCCTGGTTGAAATGAATTTTTGCTTGATTTCTGTTCTCAGATGTCATTTTTAACCTCTCTATAAATGTAATGTAATGAGGACAATACACAAAAATAACGCCAGTTTCATTAATATTATCTTAAATAAAGTTTTGGGCTTAGCATTCTAGCGAATTGCTCTCTGGCCCTCATGGGTTGGGAACCGCTGACGATTGCTGCTGCTGAACGCAATGTTAAAAAAAAACGTTAGCCTTTTATAACGATCACTATACGAAGATACATAAATCGTACATTTACGGGTAATTTTCAATAAAAAATTGGTCCTGGACCTGTTCTTCAACACTTCCTAAACATCATGTTGATCTCAAACGGTGGGGAGCGCCCCACAAATGGGTAGACAAGTTCCTGAAGGGGCGTGCAGCCGTGATTCATATTACTCTATTTTATATATTCAGGTACCATCATCATGAGCGAGAATCTGCGTGATGCTCTTGATCAAATGTTTGATGCCAGAATTCCAAAAGCTTGGCAAAAGGTTTGTGCTTATTGCAATGGAACCAGTCTTTGAAATAGACTTGATTTTATAAACTATGTAACGGATTTTTGCGTAGCCACTTACATAGTACAAACGTCCATCGTTTACGTTCCATTTGAGCAATACTTACTGAAAACGCATTCGGTGCTTAAACTTTTATTCATGCGCAAATTTCAAAAAAATCTATTTGCCCTAATTTCACCTTTTTTGAATTTTCTTAACTTTGCACTATCTTTCAAATTAATGTAGATCAGTACATGTCAGTGGCAGGCCAAATCCGTCCTAAAACTTTTTGACTTTTAAACGGCCGCCAATATCGACATAACAACATTGGGTTTGCCCTTTAGATACACATCATTAAGTTTTACGTTAGAAAATTAGTTAAAAATATGAAATGCTGAATCGACCTTCACAATCTGATTCAGGTATCATGGGACAGCACCACTCTTGGATTCTGGTTTACTGAACTTCTGGAAAGACACACTCAATTCCACAGCTGGATTTTCGATGGAAGACCAAACCAATTCTGGATGACCGGATTCTTCAATCCTCAGGTATATATTTGTATCAACATAATGATACGAAATATTTTTCTTCTTTTCTTAAAACGAAAATTACCCCTACTGCTTTGTCTAGTCTCCTACTAATCTACTTGATAGTTTATTTATGAGGTTTTACAATCTTTCAACTGTTAAACATTCGTATACGTTGTCGATTTCAACCACATTCGCACTGCAAGCATTTTTTTTTGCAATCGAACTAATTTGAAATGTTAGTGGCTTAGTTGTTAGAAATTAGATATTAAAACAATCGTGCGAAGTCACACGAAAATTTTTGAGTGAATTGTTCAAATACTGGGAATAAGCCAATCCTTAAGGCTATGTGTCCGATATACTCGAGAATATATCTCATATTCTCACAAGGTTTCCTGTCTGTAAAGACATTTTTAAATGAATAATAGTTTAAATATCTAATCCTAACTAATCAAACCGCGTCTTCTCACAGGGTTTCCTGACGGCTATGCGACAAGAGGTGACCCGTGCTCACACTGCTAAAGGATGGGCCTTGGACGGTGTCGTCTTGCACAATGACGTCACAAGATCAATGAAAGAGGACATCACATCTCCTCCACCAGCTGATATTGGTTTGTACTTTATTGATCATCTTAATGATTTCACTGATGTTTATTTCAATCACTTGAGCGCCATAGCCTAGTTCATAGGTTCCCAAAGTGATCCGTGCGAGGAACCAGGGCTAGTTGAGAGAAACTTAGGGGCTCCGCGAGCTATTCGTTTACGTATTAAAATATTGATTTGGCTGTCCAACGTAGCAAATTTGACAACGGTAGATTTAATTCAAATATGACATTCGCTATATGCACCAATAGATAATGCCAATCGGGCATTGCCCAATTACTGATAGATACAAGAACAAGAATTATTAACCTGAATAAAAAATGAAACAAATTTTAAAGTGAGGAGAAAACGACGTTTAGTTCAATCAAATTGATAAAGCATTTTTTTTTTGGTTTGTCTTTGCCGAGTTTTTTCGTACTTGCCACTTCTGTCCATTTTAAAACTTCTGTCCTTAATAATCTAACAGTGAATTAACTATTTCGTAGTAACCTACTACATTACAAAAAAATATTCTCGAATTCCTTTAATTCTATTTTAGTCTGTCTGTTTCTTCTTATTATAGAAATATATAGTAACATTTTATTCATTTTACAGGCGGCGTTTATGTTTATGGTCTATACCTTGACGGGGCGGGCTGGGATCGTCGCAACATGAAGCTGATTGAATCGCAGCCAAAAGTGCTTTTCACAAACATGCCGGTAGTCCACGTCTACGCTATTAACACCGCAACATCTGGAAAAGAAGATAAAGATAAGAAAGGAGCAGCAGCTATGAATATCTTGGAGTGCCCTGTCTACAAAAAGCCTCGTCGTACAGATCTTACCTTCATTTTCTATCTGAAATTACGTACCGTACAGCTTCCTGAGCACTGGAGTCTTCGTGGTTGCGCCATATTATGCGATACCAAATAGAAAAGGAGAGAATTAAAGAAGAGATTATTCATGCGTGTTATTTTGATGACTTTATGATGTAACAATACTATATTTGTATATATATATAGATTTGCCGTGAGTGTGTATTATCTTTTCATTTTGAGTTACTATTAGCATTGCCATCAGGCGTTCCAAATAAGTTTCAGTTTGGTAATTTGTTTATTTTTATTATTTCACTTCGGAGGAAAAGGAGCCATTACTTTTTGGCCAAACGTAGTAAGCCATTTGAGTGCTTTTTGTTTTATTTTCAATAAAATAATCTGCAACCAGAAGTAGTAACTGTTTATTTACATAATGTGTCGATTTAATTTTTTTTTTTTGCATTTGAACGATTCTAGATTTAGTTGCAAATACAAGCCCATAAAGCCGTTTTAGTGTATGTAGAAACGGACAATTTCATTTTTTTTCTTGGGTATATATTTGGTTTGGCTGAATAATCTTCTATTCTATCAAGCATTTATGATCTAATATACATATATAGCTTATGATAGTTTATCTAATATTGTCAATTTAAAAACAGCATCAAAATTTTGCGACTTTATTTATATTGAATGTCATTTTTGTTCGCAATTATAACCAAGTTCTGTAATTCGCCAAACAGCTGAAACAAGTATAATAATCCATGTGGTAGATTTATAATATGAAAGTTTTGTAAAATATTCATAATTAGAGTTATTTGAAATATTTATTATTTTCATACCAATAGCTTTAATAGTCATTCTTCCAAAATTAATAGTCCAAATTTCAAATGTGACCTGGTATAATTTTCTTGGATAAAACTTATTTATTTCCCCAGAATTATTTGAAATGTTTATTATTTTATAACTCATAGCTTGAATTTTATGATTCCAAAATTATTAGTCCAAAACTCAAGTATAATTTACTTTCGTAAAACTTATTTATTACTCAAAATTACAAACTAATCGAAACACATTTACAAAAATGTAATAATCTTCATAAAGACATGTAACGTTTCTAATTTTTATTTATTGTAAGTGGCTTCTGTAATCCATTTTACCACCTAAATCACATTAATTCTTCACGTTATAATGGTTGTAATGTTACATCCAGCGACTCTATTTTTTTGTGATTAATTATTCAAAGCCCCGCTTTATCGTGTAAATATGTGTTGTGTGAATTACTATATTTATATTACAGCTTGAAGAATTTACCTGAAAAAAGTAGATTTTAAATATATTTTTATTTAAGTTTGATTTATAATAAATGTACAAGTTATGATACCATCAAGTGTTATTTTAAGTAGTTTACTGTTGAAAATTTTGTAACATTCACATGTGTTTCACAGTAATTTGAACTGTTCGTTACTTGTTAAATGCATATCTTTTATAAAATTTTCGACTTTGTGAAATAGACCTATTAAAAGTTTTCTCAATGAATTTATTATCGAAATATTTGATGTTTCATAATTTTACGATAATTGCAACTTTTCCACAAAAGATTTTCTAATGAACTGTGTTATAGATATAAAGTTTGTGTTTTTGCTTGTATTGGATAAAAATCAAATAAAATTAGATTGTGTGAAATCCGACTTCAAGTTTATTTGCTGCAAATTTGATTTAATCAGTGGTGTGCAACTTTTAATACAGTAGGGCCAGATACAAATAACTTGGTGAAACCGCGGGCCGAATCTTTATTTAACATAGGCTTTCTATTAGTTGTAGGCACAAAAAAGGCGCTTTTTTATTCGATACTTAGTGAAACTTTGTCTTGAATTAGAAAATAAATAGGCGCGCCAATTTCGAGTTTACAAACTTCTATCAAATTTGTAACCATTTTTATGTTTGTCCTTGGTTTAAAAATAAATAATCGCGCCCAATTCGAAATTACAAACTTCTTTTATTTAACTTTGGATAAGACATTTCGGGGTAGCTCAGTTTATGAATTCTTCCAATTACACTCATATGCTGTTGTTTCAAAAATCTACCCTGATCCAAAACTTCCGCGAAGCCGATAACTGGGCTGTGTTTGAGCTCATTCTGAAATTCAGCTGTTCATACAAAATCTACCACGATTAATTAGGCAATGAGGTTTTTAGTCGAGTGCTGTTGGTGGTTTATAAGAAGCGTTGCCACCATACCAGAAATTTGCAAAAATATGCAAGAAACGATCTATTAAAAATGTCTGAGGCGCTGAATAGTCCAGGCAATGTGTTTTGAGTTCAGAAAGTAATCAAATTCAAATTAGAAAACTATGTTAAAACCTTAATTTAAAAAAAGGACATTTATTTATATTTCAATAACAACAGCGCCGTGTGCGCCGATCCACGGACTCTATATGGTCTGAATTCGTTCCATGATTCGCGGCCCCCTTTCATAGATTCTCAATACCCATGCTCCTCTGACTTCTATAGGAATTACTAATTCTGTTTCTACCACGCTTCAGTCAGTTATTTTATGCGCCATGTTTAATAATAAAAAGTTAACAAACGAAAGCAAAGGAATGAATTCAATACAGTCAAAGAATTAAACAAATTACAATTAATTTAGGCGAAGGGTACATAGTGCTAGTGGCTCACCGAGAATCACTCCGTGGCCCTATAGAAGGGACGGCAGTTTGAAAACTACGGGATCTTTTGAGCCAAGCCCCCATCATTAATGCAAAAATGTGAGATTTGAGGAAAACACTCCCGCCTAGTTTTGAAATAACAAATTAGTAATTATTCAGATTTGTTCAGGCCTTTAGGGTTAAAAATGCTTTGAAAATTTGAATTATAGGCGGATATCTGCATTGCTAACCCTAACTGGATAATTATTGCTTTTCCTATTTATAGCGTTGACGGGGTGTGTTTTTTTGACGGGGGCTTCGTACAAAAGATACAAACTTTGTTCTTGTAGAATTAAATAGTGCTACCTACTAGCAAATCGGGGTTAGACGATAAAATTCAGGTTAAAATTACTTTTCTTTTTAAACTTCTATAATACGACCTTGCGGACGACATCTGCTAGGCTAAACAAAAACTATTGTTTTGTCACATGTGATATCACAATACAATTATTGTGAAGTAACAATGGGAGACCACACGTGTGCTGTGTCTCGAAGCCTCCACAAACTAGGTAGAAAAAGCAAAAGGGTAAAGTTCGTGACTTCGGGGAAAGAATGCTCACCGGAAGAAATTCTAAAATTCCAATATTTTCGATTAAGGACGGGCGTAGCTTAAATAATAATTGGGTCGGCAGGATGGCATATAATGCCTACTTAGTGGTTACGGTTTTTAATTACAGTCACTCATACGGCAGAGGAATCAGTTCGCTGTGACATATTTAACAGGAGGCAGAGATATAATACAACAAATAAAAAACATTGGCCGCAGTTGTATGTTAGCAGTGGGATGAGCGTTAGTACCTGCATTGAGTGGAAGATATAATACAGCACATGGAAAAAGACGTTGAAATAACAACAGTAAACTTGGTCCATTAATTATAGCGTGAGATCTGCCGCCATTATCGACAATCTGAGGTATTGCTGAGGTTTGCGTTATGAGTACAAATGAAGTCATATACAAATTGGCATGTACAGTATAGGGATTGAAAACATATAACGCCAAGTCTTTGCCATACTGGAACGACAGATACAAAAATTGAAACTTTTGTACAAATCCCCCGCAAAATATACATCCCCGTCAACGCTTAAAAATTAGAAAGGTTAGGGTTCAGAATGCAGGTTGCGCAGAAAATTCAAATCATTCTAACCCTAACTCTAACCCCAACCTGATAATTGCTAATTTGTTAAAAAAAAATGGGGTGTTTTTCTCAAATTTCACATTTTTGCATTAGTTGCGAAGTTTGTACAAAAGATCCCAAAAACTATAAGGGATTAGGGCGCAATCACACAGTCATTAGTGATTATTTACGATCTTCGAACGGGACAACTGGAGCCAGATACCTGCCATTCATGAAATGGTTAGAGATACTAAGGTTGGAATTCATGGTGTCGTATGTCCCCAATGTTCTTATATATTACACCTGAGATTAGGAATGGGTTTATGCTGCCCCATGAAATAACTACAACATAAACATGAATTCTGTTATGCCAACAGTAATTTGCAAACGCTTCAATTACGCCATTAGACTCATAATTAGATCAATCGTAGCAACATTCCAGCAGACAATCATTCGATAAATGAATGAATAAAGTCGATGGATACAATAATCTAATGAACTGGATATAGAAATTCCGGCGCTCCAGAGGTGTGTGTATCAGTATGAGGGTAACTAACTTAGTTCGCCTATTTTACATCAAGTTGCGTAAAGGGACTGAAACCTATGTGCAGCGAGATATCATATGGCTAACACAGACATTCTCCAAATTCGTAATAGAATTATAATAAGGAAAATCGGAATAAAAATAATCCTAATCCGGTACACACACTACGGGAGTACCAACAAAAGTTCATAAATTTATTAATATAGTCGATGAATACAATAATCTTGTGACCTGGGTATAGAAATTCCCAGTAAAGCAAGACTTTTTGTTAGGAAATTTTCGTAATAAAACAAATTAAATTCGATTTGGACACCTGGGCGAATTTAATCTGTTCCTAATCCGAAGCCTTCAAGACATTTAACGTCGCGAACAAAAGATTTCTGAAATAAGTAATCTAAACAAAGAAATCATACCAACAAAGAAAATGGATATTATGTTTTGAAACTCAATATATAAAGGCAATTTAGGTCTCTGGAGGGCTTTTAAAAAATGTAAAATACATAGAATTAGTGATGGCTATAAACTAGAACAGGACCTAATTTAACTATGTAATTTAATTATAATAAATTGTTTTTACCTAAACGCCACTAGAGATCAATCTCACATAGTTGAGAAAAATGGGGGAGAGTTCTATAATTCTTAGTGTTTCGCCCAGCGTGTTTGAACGGCCCATTTAGAAGAATATTATCTCTTCTATACGTGAAAATCAATTTCAGTAATGCCTACTGCTTGTTTCATAGCGCTAAGTGGGGAGTATATCATCTATGATTTCGGGGGCTCGCTCGCTTGGGGCTCCCATACTGTTTGTTGTCTGGTGTGAAACCTAATATACCCGGTATTTACAACCCGAGAACCTAGGAGCCATAGGACAAGATATGGTTCGCCATACATGTTAAGGACTTCATTGTTTTAATCGACTATCGAGGAATGATACGATAGCAAGACTTGGTTTCTTGATTCCCTGGGGATTTATAATTATTTTTTACGCGTATTGTGTTATTACTCGAGAGTCGCTAAAGATAGATATATTCAAAACAAATACCAGACCGGCAGTGCTTCTTGCTATTCCACACACTTGCTTGAGATCTCTGTACTTTTGTCTCGTGTGATACATATCTTGTGTGATACTGAGTCTATGATGAGTGACAGCCTAGCGGATTTTGACGTTTGACGGAGAAATTTTGATCTGTATTCGTTGCAGTATTATTAATACTCTTTATTATTACTATAATAGGTATTCATGAACATAATACACTACCTAAACTGTACAAAAACGAGAGTGTGAGTTGCGCATAAAAACTATAGCAAAGGATCCACAATAGATTGAACAATAATTAGTTTTATATATGATGATATAGGAATAAAGAGTTCCAAAATAGGCAATAGGCTTGAAAACCATAATCTTAGCGGCTAAGAGTTAAACTTCGGTAAATTTTTGCTAAAAACGTTATTATATATTCAAGAACCAAGCATAAATATGAAAACATATTTCGGTTCAATATTTCTCTGGGGGATTGCATAGAATTTTACCCGTGATAGAATAATATTAATAAAATTCAGCATATGACCTACCGGAACGTATGCACTATAGATTGAAGGGCAATAGGCATTGTACTATTATTCCCGTTTGAATAGTCGGTGTCTCAGAAGTTTAAACGCGTACTTGAACTGATGTACTTGAGAGCGAAATGCCTGGCACAAATTATTGTTAAGTAGTTTTAATCTTGTATCATTAACTCTACATTCTGGAGTAGGATAATGGCTTCTAGTAATACGAGTGACAAACAACAAAGAGCAAGAATAAAATGCTTAACAAGATTGTTTCTAAAAATAATTTATTCAAAAGAATTTTATTTATGTTTTCCACTTTTATCTTTCGCAGTGACCATTCGTACTAGATTTTTACTTAAAATTGACCAGGCGCGATGGTTGTAATGTTTAGTCAAAGTCAAGTTTATTTTTTCCAACCAGTGATGAAAACAGATACAATGCAAACAGTATGCAAAAAGTCAAAAGTCAAAAGTCAAGAACAAGTTTTACTGGGTAAGGAAGCCACAGGGAACCAAAGCTGGTTATCTTGCAGCGGTTCTAGTATCTAATCGAGATTTAGAAGATTAATATAGTATTATTGGACACGTAGTGGACATAACGATCGTTTCAATATTATGTTGTTGTTGTTGTTCTTGTTCTTTGACACGTTTTTAAAAAGTCGCTTTTCTCTTCGAATACTGGACCAATTGCTTTGAAATTTTCAGTGGTTAAAGATAAAAATTTTCTCCAGAAGGCTATTACTTTTTTTTTTGCTATGACGTCATCAAAATTATGTGACTCTACGTGTCCATATATTTGAGCATAGCTCTCTTGTTTAATGTTGTTCTTAGCGAGCAATCGTTACGACACTAGGTTGTATATATCAAAGGGCCACGCAAACTAGCAAGCAAGTTAGAGATATTCGCCATTTAAGAGAATGCAGGGTTTGTTGGACTCAACTATATTGGTATTTCCGGATTTAGTTCCGGGTTCAAATTCATGCCACCATGCCAAAAAATAGTAAATACTTACAGATCGAGGGACTTAACTCAAAGGACGTAACATAAAAAAGAAATCAATATTCTTCAGTGAACATTGCTTCAAACTGCGCGTAAATACCAGCTTGAAAGGTTGAAAATTTTTTAATATTTTTTTTCGGAAATTTTAAGAATCGTTCCTCCTGTCTTTAAACAGACATTTCCTATTTTTTTTTTTCAATGAAACTATCTAACAGAAATTACACTGGAACCTATATTTCAATATGTTGCGTCGCGGCAGCAACATCTTAATAGGAACGTTTTTTTAATATTTTCAAATACATTTCTTTTTCTAATGGTTAAGATTTTTACTCCTGGCTTTAAACCGTCGACACTCTATATTTACATTGCTATTTGTATGTAGTTTTTATTGAAACTATCTAACAGAAGTTACACTCAACCAGATACTTCAATATGTCGCGCCAGGCGGCAACAACTTAAATATAAATTTCTTTGTAATATTTTCAAATGCATTTTTTTTTTCTCAAAATATTCCAAAATTTTCCCTATCTATCTTTAAACTGTCGAAACGCTATAATTTACATTGGTATATTCATGTAATTAGCACTTACACTAACACTGACAATCCAATATGCAGCGTCTTGGTAACATCCATAATTTCCCTTGCTTTTGGTCTGTTAGACCTATGCCAGTACTGTCCGGATAAATGGTAGTTTTATACATATTCTGTATTGTTTTCTCTTTATATTTATGCATTTTTTATTGTAATTTGCTAACAACAGTTACACTAAAACCGATATTTCAATATGTCACGTCGTGGTAGCAACCGTGATGCTCATTCAATAAGTTCTCTTGGTCTTGGGCCTTTATCGATGAACCGGAACGAACCACACCCGGAAGTTTGGACATTGGTCAATGTACATCGAATGGAAAAGCGAGAAGATTATGGAAATTGGTTCCTGGATATACAAGCTTCGATTTTAAACTGTGCAGAAAAATTGGTAAGTGGTAATTGCTTAGAGCAGGAGTGGGCGAAGTTTTTATGACAAGGGGCCAAAAATTTGCCCACTTAAACTGGCGGGCCATGAAAGTGTGACGTAAAAAATTACATTTTATGAACAATATATATAGTATTACAACGCAAAGATGGAAAACAATACCCATTGTGCCAAAACTAAATTTAATCGCAATCTAAACTCGGGTCATTTTTATCTAAAACATCAGAATTTGATTTCAATTTGGTCGTGGCAGCATCAGGCGGGTCAGATTGAATTACCCTACGGGTCGGATTTGCCCATAATGGGCTCAGAGTGAGTCCAATGTGTGCAAAATCGTTATTTCTTGAAAACCGTAAGGGTAACCAGGCGGTATCGACTGAGTGGTCGTAGTTTACATGGTTGCTTACTTCAAACTTAAATAGAATATGAGATTGTATTGACTAAGTTTATCAGATTTTTTAAATTATCCTTTGGTTAAATGGCAACGAATGAAAAAGTGCAAAAACAATCAAATTATGTGATGGCTTCCTGTAAGACTTTGTATATAAAATATAAATATATGCTTTGATCAATTTCTTTTTATGAAGTGTTTTGACGTTACTCAGTGGTGAATAAAATTGGTTTGAAAAATTAGACACCACCCTAACTATATTTTCGATTGAATATTTCCAACTCGGTAGAGGACTAAATCGAACTTGTCGATTTTCGCGCTTGTTTTTTTCTTCAAATCGGGCCGATTCCGCTTTCAGTATGCATTTTCGCTTGTAAATATGGAAGCCATAAAACAGCATTTATTTTTAGTTTAATTCTATTTATTTCAGACCGGCTTACTCGAAGAATGCCCACATCCCAATGCTGCATTTACACCGGACGAATTATCTGAAGCTCGTTACTCTATCGCATGGGATACCGCTAGATTGCAGCAGAGAGTTTATCAAACAAGACTTCCCCCACCTCCAATGAAACATCGTATAGTTTCAATGGTATCGGACAATATTCACCCAGGCTTGCGTTATTATTGATCTGAAAAGACCTAGTCCGGACTCAGTTTACACTCTGCAGTAATGTTACATTTAAGACCTAATTATTCTAGTCTTCCCAGGTTTGCAATATCATAGAGATGCTAGATTAAAATTTCTAGAATGACGTCATAGTAAAATATGACATCATAAACGTTTCCACCATTGACGTCACTGGCGGTAAAGTTAAACGTCGCTTGAAAAGTGTTAAATTGTTTTAAAAGCCATTCAAGACTGACAACATTGCTAGTAGAATTTTACATTTTAAATAGTTTAATCGAAAATTTATTTTATGCTTAATTTTTATGCTTAATTTACGAATGACTGACTAGCTTTGCCCAAATGACCAAGACTGGCAATCTCATCGAAAAATTGAAATGAGTTGAATTCTTTTCTATATTTTACAAATGCGTATGTATCTGTCTGTTATTTCATTTATAATCGCCAGCATGCCTAGTTATTTGAATCATATTTATCATGAAGAAATGAAAATCTTCAAAAAAGTACTGGCGTAGAAGCTATTTAACTTGGAAACGCCAAGCTTTGTGCGTTATTAGCAACTTAATTCTAATGTTTCATGTAGGCTACGTCCGAATGGCAACTCCATATATCATTATTTCTATCATGTTGGCATACGTTGCATATTTTGCATGTTTGCATTTTGTAAGATATTGTTTACTACACTAATAACCCCTTACAATGAGACAAATATAGGTTGTTGGAAAATTTGAGATTTCACTGATTTTCCCTGTAATTATTTGCGGGTTTTCACTAGAAGACACGCGTCCCAATCTTCAAACGTATGTAAATGAGTACAACTACGAAAAGATCGATAGTCGTTCACTGCTCATGGGTTCGGGGTGTACGGCCTTTAATGCAGGAGGAATAACCGGGTGAAACAGCTGGCTGCATCTTAATTTAACAGGGGCTATCTAGTAGTTGCAAGTACAAAAATTTTGGTTATTGATCTAGTAGCATGCGTTGTTTCCACAAGCTAGTGCTAAGGCATTGCAAAGTCGTAGGCATAGTTACGTATAAATTGGACACAGGTATAGGTTTTGCAACGCAAAGGGATTAAAATTGCTCGCGCATAACAAATTAAATTTGAAAACTCATTTCGCGGGCCACACACCATTCAAAATTGGCACTTTTCGATGCTTAACTGATAATTTATAACTTGTTCATTAAATCCCATTAGGTAGGTGCTTAAACAACAGTACATAATATATTTCAATATTCAGATAAATTGTTGCATATTATATATTTTAAATCACAATGTCGTAAAGTATGTTCTATGGTACAGATAATAACTTAATAATTTTGTACCATATACAAAAAAAAGGTACTCCTAAAGTATGCGCACCAAGATGTCGCCTAACCCGAACCCTAACCTGCTACACAACCTGAGCTCAGGTTGTGCGCCATCTTGGTGCGCATACTTCACGAGGTCCAAAAAAAATGTGAAATACAAAGCAAGATTTCTCAGATGTGGTATGATATTTCAGGCTCTTAGTGTTATTAAAATTTAAAGATATCGTTTAGTTTGAATTTGACCTCCAATTTCAATGTATAGAAATTGTACAAGTTTTGCTGAGGAAAGTTTCCACTCGAAGTCTACCACCGCTGTACAAGGATTTAAAATTGTCCCTTGCCAAATTGATCATCCACAGTGCGTACGCTCGCAATATCTACTATATACCTAAGCGTTTTCTTAAATGACAGCTATTATACTTTTTAAAGTTTTCATAGAGCTTTCTATCACTGGTCATGTGCTCAATACTATTGCAAAAGTCGAGAAATAAATAGTTTTCGTTAAAAGTTTTTGCCTTTATGAAATTTGAACTTTAAATGGGCTTCCAGGCACATTTTCTTCTCCCCATTTTACGATGACCGTAAACTCTCCCGTTTCCTTGGGAACGTATTTAACGTCATAACACCGATTGTCATTGTGCGTCACAAAGATATCTTCGCATGGTCCAACCGGTCCAACTATCCCAACAACCAGCATGTTTGAACCTAAATAAGTAAACGCAATTATTCGCACGCACAATAATACTCTATTATACGCTATAGTCACTCCTGAAATAATTTTCTCCCCAGCGAGAATAAGTTTGTTAAATTTGGAGCTTTCGGTACTATTTAAAAGTCTTTTATATTCTTGTATAAGGAGCTAGTTTGTCTGTATTTTACTTGTCAGTTTTAATTAATCACACAATTATAGTGAGAATACAATATCTTGATTTATTTGTGGGGTTTTTCTAATATTGAGCTGACGGCAAACTTGGAAGAACGCAACAACAAACGAATTACCGGTACACTTTTCTGTACCCCGTAGTGTGTGTGCCAGGTTAGGGTTAGGCCATAATTTTATTCCGATTTTCCTTATTTTAGTTCTATTACAGGTTTTAGTCCCTTTACACAACTTGTAAAGTAGGCGAACAAAAAAAGTTACCTCCATATTGGTACACACATTTCTGGAGCGCCGGTTTTTTATTATTGAGTTGACGGCGAAATCGGGAGAAAGTTGGAACAACGAACGAGTTACCGGTACAATTTTTACTATGTGACCGACACTGGCCTATCTATACGTAAAATATCGCCCATGACAAATTTCAGAAATGCGCCCGCTTGACCGTTGGTGGACAATTTTTAATGGCTGTTATTGAAATAAGATACTTGCACGTAATTATTTAAATAAAAATACACACAAGGTTCAGTTATTTCCAATTTAAAATTATTCTATTGAAACATTTTACGATTGAAAATTTTCAAGAGTTTTGCGCGAACCGCGCCCGTGGCACGAGCCTTGATTGGCACACCTACTGCTGACCGAAATTCTTAATATTATAGATTCATTAGCAAGCGGATAAATAGCGACTCATACATTAGTTTCTACTAGTCGTCAGTTTGAATTATACATGGGGTGAGTCAATTATGGTGATTATTATGTGACAATGCGTCAGCCTCAGTAAGACGGAACCAGAAGCGATTTGACAGAAAATATTGAATTTGCATGCATTTGCACATATCACACGCGATTCAATTTTTTTTATTGATATTCCCGATGTGCAAAAGATGAAATCTCGTTTTGCTAGAAATGTCCTAACTAACTCTTTTAAAGAGTATACGGGTAACACACCTTACGCAGAACTAAACTTTAAAGACTTATCAGATAGAGAAAGAAAGACAGCACAATATTCGGAATCGACCTACCTGCATCTGAGCAATTAACTTTGAAGAGGCATTCTTCTCCGACTTTTCCACTGATAACCCCGTTGCCAGATGTCTTCACTTTGGATGGCTCGGATTTCCCACGTAAAATCTACAGAATAGGAGTTCAGTATTCAGTATAGAAGAGAGTTACGTGTTACCATAAATTCAAGGTTCGTTTAGGTTACCATTGCATTAACCTTAATTTTGAGGTTGATAATCAATTTTGCAAACGTTTGGGGTATAACACCCAAAACTAAAGGTGACTAAAAAGTGCAAAGCTGTTTGAGAGAAAGGCGTATAAATATGTCGTATAAACTTAATAGTTACTTGAACTCTGGGAAATGTGGGACCGGTTCCAATTCCTGTTGCATTCACATTAAACGGACTGCCCGGTACATGCTCTTCATCAAATTTTACACCGACTTCATACTGACCTGAAAACAAAAATTCCAATTATTATTTTTTTTTTTGGAAAGAGAAAATTCAGAAGGTAAGGAGATTGATATCAGGGTGAAGATGTGAGCGGTCACTGAAATGCTCAAAAGATACAGACAATAAATATCTATAGCGTAGAAATATGTGTTAGTAAATATCGATCGAAGCGAGACTTGAAACAGTTTGCATCAATACGACCAGGAAAAATATGCGAGGTAGTTCTCGAAAAAACTAAATTTAGGGCATTAAAATTTTGCCTGTTAGGTGGCACACTGATCCGTCCGAACTGAAACCTGCAATAAGAATAAGTTTATCTTTTGCCAATAACTTCAGTTATGAAAATGCACTTCATTTCTATTGAAAAATCGCTTTGCGTAACAAAGTTGTATTTACACCTACCCCTACAGCATATGCGTAGCAACCATAAATTTGAAAGGTCTATTATCCCTTACCTAGACGGCATATTCTTCCTTTTTGAGAGCAAGATTAATTTCGAAGTTTTATCATTTTTTCATCGTTTTTAGTGAAAGCCTTTTTATCACAGCTGGCCGAATATTTAGTAGTCCAACCGTTACACTAAACAACAGCTAAGTAACCTTTCTAAATCTCGTGCCCCTGGCCAGAACAAAAATATTGCTTTTTTCAAAGAAAACTCTTATGCCAGTTACTGAATAATTAAGCCAACCACCAAAATGGAGATTTCAGAATTACAACCTTTTTCTTCCAAGTTGGAATAATTTTCCTGTAGATAAAGAGTTAACGATTTCGATTTTTTTCCAATTAAATTCGACTTTTTAGCACCATCTAACAGATCAATAATTTATCAACTTACCTGGTTCTGTGACAACATAAGAAACAGAACTTGAGCCATCTTTCCTGTCTACATAATTGATATCGGGTTTTGATGGCCCTTCTACTGTTATTGCTAGTTTTCCTCCGCCCGCTTGTGCAGTCCAAATTTCAAATTTCGCTGAAATATAAGAATACAGGAATTATTGAAGCAATACGGAAGGGTCCATTGTACAAACCTTCCGCACCTGATGCAAAGTTGTGAGATTCAAAAATGTGAGATTTGGGGAAACCACCCTCACCATGCTCTAAAATAACAAATTACCTAGTTAGGGTTCGAGTAGGGAATGTTTTAAAAATTTGAATTTCTGTCGCAATCTGCATTACTAATTTGGATCTTTTGTACAAAGCCCTCGCAAACGCTTAAAATAAACAAATTAGTAATTATCCAGTTAGGGTTATAAATTCAGATTGCACAAGGAATTCAAATTTTAAAATCATTTATAACACCAACTGGATAATTTCAAATTTTTTATTTAAAAACTTGATGGGAGTGTTTTCTTAAAGCTCACATTTTTACATTAGTGGGGCGGGTTTCCAACAAAAGACCCGGGATTTGTACTACAGATTTTACCCAAAAGATTCTATCAAATATAAGTCTAAAGCTTGGGACATTGAGCTAAATCATGAAGATTGCTGTTTTTTTGCATTTTATACGACATATCCAGAATTAGTGATGTCGCTATAGGGGGTGAATACTCCTCTTGAAATTTCAAACACCCCTTATTTTGAGATGTGACATAACACTTTAATTTCTAACTTGAATATAATTACATTTGAATATCCCTATGGTGAGGTATATGCCGGTGCAGATAGTCAGTCAAATATATAACACATTTGTATAAGTTAGAAATAGTTTTATCTTTAATAGCAAATTAAAAACCACCCTCTAAATTTGGAAACAATACAAATTTTGCCCGACTTCATAGTAATACCAATTGTATATTTATTGTTGTATGAATTTGTTGTATGATAAATAAAAACAAGCACAATAAAAACTGTTATTAAAGGCTATAAAAGATAATTTTTTTTTTTTAATTGTTATTACCATAAAATCGGCCAAAACTTATTGTAGTTCGTCGTACTGGAGTCATTCCGTTCCATCTCTAGTACGCCCCGGGTTAGGTGTTAAGGTTTAGAACAGGCTTTAACTGAGCAATGCTATCACAGCAGTAAAGTTTAACGCTTCACCATGCCATCTCGCTCACACTTGTACTAACATACAAAACAAACAACAAATTGCAAGTTACCTTTTTCGTTTGCAACAGCTTCGTGTAGTCCGGGGCCGTATACAAGAACTTTTTCTGGTCCGCCTTTACTGTGGTCTTTCACAGTGACTTGGTATGGACTGCCTGCAACGTGTTGTCCTTGCACTTGGACGTTTATTTTGTGTATACCGGCTTCCTAAAAAAATGTGTATAATTTTATGTCTGAATGAAATTTTCTGAAAGAACCTAGTGTATAGAGAAAGGTAATAGCTGTAACTTAGGAAAATGAACAATTTTCAATCATCGCCCCTCTAAAAATTTCGCTGGTTTTTCCTACTTTTACATTTTTAACGCGCTCTACTGCAATAAAAGTAGAAATCCACAACATTCGTCTGCGACCATATCACGAAACGAGAACAATCACAGAATAATACCAAAAGGATGTACCACCTCGTGCCCAATAAGACATATCATCTGAAAGCGACATCACAACACACACAGACGAGCTCGACACAAAAACGCGACTCGACTCTCCTGATAACTCTGTGTCATTTTCACGTCCCGAGGAATTAATTAAAGCGGTTATTACACTTAATAAAATAGAAAACAAAATGAAAACAATTGGGTAAGAAAACAGATGGAATTTCCCCAGACGTAGGCGTGCGTGATAAAAGTTGCTATTTTAATCAGTGATTTTTATATAAATCTAAATTTAAAATTTTTTTCGATTCCATCAAAGGTGAAGTTATGTGACGGGTTTTCAACGTCACGCTGATCGAGGCTATAGAGAAGCAGCAACCTACACTTAAAACAACACTTTTTTGTGGTGTCGAATCTTGTGCAATTGGCATTACAACACCAATTTATTATATTCTATAAAGAATAGGAATCCCAAGATTTTTATTTAAACCTGCGATGCTAGCCTTACTGACTCCAACGTTTTTGCGCTCAAAGTTCGCTGGCGTTAGAAATAAACAATTTTATGATTCAAACTAGATTCCGGCAATTTATTCACAGTGGTCAACCTTATCATCTGAATTGGTTTTTTTTCATCATTTTCATCCATCCAATAATCGGATCTTTTATAGAAACCCCATTTGTGCAGAAATGTGACATTCGATAAAAACACCACCAACACGTTTAAAGTAAGAAATCAGTAATTATCCAGTTTAAGTTAAGAATAAATTAATGAATAAAAATTTGAATTTCCACCGCAATGTGCATTCCTAACCTAAACCATAACTTGATAATTACCTATTGGCGGGAGTGTTTTTAATTTTTTTACAGGAGGGAGGGGTTGGAGGCTTCTGTACAAAAGATCCGGCTTCTTTATAATTTTTATTCACCAGTAATCTTACCTTCGGCAAAAACCCAAGACTGTATGTGTTGTTTCCATTTTCATAGATTGGTATCACTTTCGTTTTTCCTGTTGGTCGAGTAACGGTCGCTGTGATGTTCTCCATCGAACATTCTGTATTGATAATAAAAGAATTGGAAATTGAAATTTACTATTGAATCTACAAATCAAAATAACACTATAAAGATCTTTGGAATAATAAAGAGGGGCCATAAGTTCTAAGGCTTAAGTCTCCGAATGGGTAGGGGCACGAGCCACAGTATATTCACAGCGGTGGGGTTCTCATTTGAACATAATGAGATTTGGAATCTACAACTCAAAATAACACTATAAAGAACACCCGAACGATGAACAGGGTGGCCCATAAGTGCTAAAAGCCTCTAAATGGGGGGGGGGGGGGTCACGAGTCATAGGCAAGAGCCCCAGTATCTTTACAGTGGTGGGATTCTCATTTTCATCAAACGGGGAGGGGGTATTTCTCAAGCCAAAGTATCTTCACAGTAGTGGGGTTCTCATTTACATCAAACTCGCTACAAGTTTCAACTCAAATAAAACAAAAAACAACAACGGGTTTGCTCATATCACGACCTTCCAGGAATGGACCTTTTGCGTAACCCTTTTGCCCCTTGAATCCCGCCACTGGGTATTGCTGAAAGTATTGTAAAGCAATTCAAGAGTCCTGCTGCACACTAACACAAATGTGTTTTGGTACTCCCGTAGTGTGTGCACCGATTCGAGTAACTGTCTGTGTTGGCGAAGTGAATATACTTCCGTCCCCTTGCACAACTTGATTTAAAGTAGGCCAACACAATAAGTTACCTCCATGTTGGTACACATACTTCTGGAGCGCCTTTAATTCTATATTCATAATCGGCACACTTGTCCAACTTGTACTGAGAAATAAAAAAAGCATACCTTTTTTGTCACCGTTCCACCAAGTTTTCAAATCTGTTCTGTGATGGAAAGTTTCTGGCATTTTAAGAAAACTTGAGCTCAATTAGAATAACTAGTCAACAAAATAGAATACTTATACTATAATAAAAAACAGAATAGCTCATTATTATGATTTTACGTTTGTCTAATTATGACATTATATTTTTCTTTACTTTCATACCATTCGCAACACATCATTTTAATAGCGACTGCTTTCCTATTTCCTTTGCCATTGGAGAATAATTGTCGTCCTTCTCAACCATTCCTAGATTGGCAGTTTGTACTATAATATTGTGCAAAATTAGTTTAAACTTTTATCACATTGTAACAACATATTATCGTTTCTACAAATAAGCATCAGATAGCATTATTTCGCATTTAAGTTATCTCAACTATAAAATAATTGAGTTCACATCCAATGGTTCTTGCGCAAATCTAAGCTGCATTTTAACACGAAACATTTGTTCAACTGAATTATGTATAACAAGACCATTCAGTCAATCACTGTTATATTTATGCTACAGCTGTTAAATCGTTTAGCATAAAAAGGTGCGAAAAACTCGTCTCCGACGTCACCTTAGCACTATTATCCTTGGGTGAAATGAGTTCCTCGCTTTCGCTACTTTGTTTCATGAAGGAAAAATAAATTTGAGCGATATTTTCTTTTACGATTTATCTCCTTTTGTTTTTGTGTGCGGCTACATCAGAACTCCGTTAGCGTGATAAGAATATTAGGTTCAACCAGCAGAAATTTGATCTAAGATGTAAAAAAACTGATTATTTATTCTGAAAAAAAAACATTGAGTTATCTAACAAGGTATTTATTCTTAGATAATTACTACTCTGAGCCCTTTTTTCGGGTCACAGTGTGAAGCGCTTAATAAGATTTGAAGGCGTTTACTCTCGGTCCCATTCAAAGGAATTCTTTCGTTTAATCAGTAAAAAACTGATAATGTTTTATGCTGAATAAAATGATTGCGTTACTTGAAAACGTCATTTATTCTTAGATAACTACGACTCTAAGACCTTTTTCGGGTCACAGTTTAAAGCACTTAATAAGAATTGGAGGCCTTCAAATTCGGTCTAATTCAAGGGCGATTCTTTCGTTTACTTTTGAGTTTTTACGTCTCAAACGTGATGAAAAATATCGCAAATTCGCTCTAATCAAATTCAATCCCAATCGTTTTCCTTTCTTTTGTATTGGTTATGTTTTCATTGCAGAAATGTTTTTATAACATATCGTCGTCATTATATTTAGCGTGTTTGCAGGTTTGTAAGCGATATCGGAATTGCACCAAAGTGAAATAACAAAAATTAACAAAGTTACATTTATTCTTGTGGCATGTTGTTCTTACTCTTCGGTGTTGATCGACGGTGCTGTCGTAGCGAAGCCACAATTAGCCTTCTTGTTTTTGGACATGAAGAGGGCCTATAGATCGTTTTGTATTCTTTTTCTTGTTGTTCGCCTTCCCCTTTAACTACTCGACCAATTGTTTTTGTAATTTTCCGTGGTTAAAGATTATTATTGTCGCTAGAAGTCTATTACTTTTATTTATTCCTAAATTTCTTACGAATTCTATGAGATCTGATATTCCATGCAAAATTTCGCTGGTTTAGGTTTATTGATGTAACCCGGTTTTTATTCTGCCAAGCGTGACGTTTTGATTTTGAGGAATTCGGAGCTACTGCTCGCAATGCTCTGGACACATTTCCGCAAGAGTCGCGTAGACTCATAGTTATTGTACCTCCGTGTCCATATATATGACCTTTGCTCTCTCTTTTGTTAAGCAAGGCATCCTTGTTCTCGTTTCAAATAATGTTCTGATATGTATTCCATGCAGTATATTAGGAAAATGCCTACTTAATTCTAAAATAAAATACAAAATGAAATACATTGACTCCAGGGGAAATCCTGATGATTCTCAAGTTAAAATATTTTTCTCGCTACCTTAATCTATAAATGGATATGATGTTTTTTAATTAAGGCAATTAGCCAAAGCAAGGTCACGAGCACGCTCACAAATAGGGCTGTGCATTTTAAATATCCGAATCGAATAGTAAATTGTTCTAATTGGTTCCGACAATAATTTCGAATTGCCGTCATCTTGTTTTTTATTTGAAGCTGAAGGTCGAGGTGGATTCTTCAATTTTGTTATTGATGCCATATTTGTAAACTCAGAAAACTGCCTGAGTGATAAAGTCCATGTTTTCAGTCATTAATGTGCTTGGAGGATGGATCGCAATAAAAAATCACATGATATTTCAAGTATTCTAGATTCGATTTAATTCTGAAATCATCGAGTATTAGAAAACAAAGAAGACCGACCTCTGAGCAAAGTTACAGACAACCACTAATGACAACTACTAGCATTCAGGCTCAAAATTTGTCTGAAGTTTGGTAAAATTATCTATGCATCAGAATCTACTCAAATTAGAGGGCGGCATTTGTGAGTAAATAGGGTAAATTGCTTATTCAAAAGCATGTAAGTATGGCTGTTTTGTTCTGACAGCCAACTATGGTGTATGTTTTGTAGCAGCTGTAAAACATTTGTCAATGCTAGGTTTAATATCAAAGAAATGGCATAACTTCAAAGTGTTCGTGTATAGCATCTGAGGGTATGTGTGCTTTCGCGCATGAGATTTATTTGGGTTCCGAGTGACTGTGCCAATTTAACATGATTTTTTATAACAAATAGTTAAGCTCGATAATTTAGGGATAAATATATTTTCATGAGTTAAATTCATTATAATTTAGCGCGAAGTCTACCGCCTGTCCATTCTCAAATTCTTCCACGGCCTAAACTATAGTTAACATCGATTGAGGGCGAATCCCGTGTTAAAGATGCGACCAACACAACCTCTGGTTAAAGTACTAGCTTGATGTAGAGCTTCGGGCAAAATAGCGCAGCAATTCAAATTCAACATAGAAGGCTGGATTCGAATTTGTAATTAGAAATTAATTTTCCCATTTATACGTCTGGCCATCTTTCATCGGCTCATTACACCGCGAGTAAATCCCAGGAGACTTGGTATTCGCGCAATTCGCAGGTTCCATTGTAATGTATATTTTAAAAATATGATTTTTGCTAGGTTTTGTTAAAAATTTTCTGAGTTCACAATAAGTTCTATGAACGAATTGTCTTATCACTTATATGCCTTTTTTTCATAAAATTATCTAAACGAAAAAAAAAAACGAATTTACGACGGAGTAAAAAAAATCATTGGAATCATGAAAATTTCTTTTTTTCGATAACTAACTTTCTTGTTTAAATTGAAATCAAAAATCATTCCACGGAGATTATATTTCAATTTAAGAAAGATAATGGTAGTGCTGGGCGACCACTGTGATCAAGCTCGTCATAGGGTCCGCAGTAACTGAACACGATTTTTCAACGCCTATTTTCACATTTAAAATCGTAGAAATAAAAACACCTTCGAGTGCATTTGCTTGGCACAATTTTTTACATATACGTACATCAAAACTGGTTCTCTATGTGGCTTAATACGGCCCAGCGTGAACTGGTGAGTTCGGGCTTGATGCATATGTTGTTAATTTGAAGAATATATAATATACCCATGCTGTGTGTCGCTCGATATAATTTAGTTCACGTTGGATCAGATGTGAGCATATTGCATGGGTTGCCACCTTGTTCTTCAATTCCAAAGCGTAATTGAGTTTTTCAACTTGGCTCTAGCCTCATAGAAGAGTAAAGTCCCAAAACAATTTAACAGATATCGAATTCTGGTGAGACGAAATGAGAGTCAGGCTTACGTCTTTTCATATTAAAAACTGTAATAAAAAAAATTTTCTTAAAATTTTCAGAACAAAACAAAATTATATATATTAAAAACGTAGCAGAAGCGTTTGCCGACCTAAATGATAAGAAATCGCGTATTCAACTTATCAAGTCTTGTCTAAAGAATTTAGACTATGAAGTAACGAAAATATACTTGCTATTTTGTGGAGAGAGATTATGCTGTTCTTATTTTCATTTCGACTTAATTGATAACTCAAAAGCATTAGTTATATGTGCGATCTAAGGCGGCCGAGTATGATATGCTTCGCAGCAGCTGTAAATCACTTTTCAATGCGAGGTTATAAAGTTTAATATCAAAGAAATGACAGAACTTCAAAGTGCTCATGTATAGCATCTGAGGGCCTATGTGATCTTCAACAGACAGGGTGAATTGCACTGGATGCATTTGTGTGTATGAGCGCCGGTGGAATGCAATTGAAACTCAGCGTATAACGGTCCGCCATGGGCGCGACACCAATTCGTTTCCGACTAAGCCCGGATTTAGTTGATCGATTTCAATGCAGGTAAGCGCACCATGGCCCAATCTGTCTGCACGTGCTGCGTTTGACATAAGGTAACATCTTCAGTCCATTTACCGTGACATATGACATGTCCGTTAACTGCTGTGCGCTGCGACGTTTTCCAGTAACAATTAAGCATTTATTAGACGACAAATGTCGTATTTTTAAGAAAACCAAGTTCCAATGCAACGTCGTTCCATAAGGTGAATGTTGATTTTATATTGACTCGATCGAATCAAAAACTTGTCTATGAGAAATGAGACAGATCTGGTTTTACAATTCCAATATCCAATTTGAGCTCGTGCTACGCATTTACAAAAATGACAGGGTGTCCATAAAGTCCCTTCACAATTTCAATTTTGTTATGAAGCCAGTTCTCAATATGTCTTAACCAGGTTATAATCAGTAATTGTTCAAGTATTTTACTACTTTATTTAATACATCTGTGTGGGCCAAAACAATTGTAATATAAATTCCGTTTGCAATTTTAAAATGGAGACTCTATATTTCGGTCATATTCCGTATGCCCAAAGTAGGATTTTCTCAGACTAGCTTAATAGTTCAAGAGTGAAAGGAAACCTTAACAATCAATCAATCATATTTTATTCGTCAACACAATATAAACGTATCACAAGAAAGAACGTTACAATTAACAAAGGGAAACGGAATTGAATTGTGCGACAGGAGTCGCAAGGGACCTCAAGAGGTCTTCATGCAGCGACACTTACACATTCATGATAGCCGTTTAGAGTGGACATTCCCATTATTGCCATACCATTGTTACATTATAGACACACGGAT